CACCTTGTGGCTGTACCAGAGACAATCACGGCAAGTGGCTGTGCTTGTGTCTTTATTGACACCATCTTCCGACTTCATGGGTTGCCCCGTGAACTCGTATCAGACAGAGATCCACGATTCACTGCTGATTTCTGGCGTTCCGTGTTCAAATCACTCGGAACGCGCTTGAAGATGTCAACATCTGATCATCCAGAGTCAGATGGTCAGACGGAACGTGCCAATCGTGTCCTGGAAGAGATACTTCGAGGATACGTACACTCCTTTAAGAGTTGGAGTGAGTTTTTGCCGATGGTAGAGTTTGCCATCAACAACTCGGTGCATGCGTCCACGACACATACACCGTTTTACGTGAATGGCTTGCGCCATCCGCGTGTACCCACCTTACTAGAGTGTAACTCTGGTTTAAGGGGGAGGGACTCGCGCGAGCAAAAACCGATTTGGTTCACGCTCATCACGCTCTGACGAAGAAGTCATTGCGTTTGATGCCGATATCGATAACATCGATATCGAAGAAGATGATGCCAGTGAGAGTGCGGAAGCCCTCACTGAAGACAATGATCCCAGTGAGAGTGCGGAAGCCCTCACTGAAGAAAAGGTTGTTGTTGCTGCAGTGCGCTCACAGCACACTGAAGCTAACGAGTCATCAGATGAGTTCATACTGGCTCGTGAAACGGTAGTCCGTTTTGTGCAAGACTCCATCGCCGAAGCGGTGGATAAGCAAAAGCAAAACGCTGACAAGAATGGAAGGGCAAACACTCTTTTATTTAATAAAGGTGACTTAGTCCTACTGTCTACGGTTAATCTACCAAAACATGTAGTGACTAACTTGGGTAGCAGTAAACTACTACCCAAGTACATTGGCCCATTTCGTGTATTGCACCGCCTAGGCAATGCATACACGATCGAGTTACCACGTAAGATGCGAACGCATCCCACGTTTTACGTTGGTCGGCTTAAGCCGTACCATCAGTACGCTGCTTCTTCCGATGAAGAACGCCCTTGCGCTCAAGCATCTCGCAGAGAGCCTTGTGCTCCCGATGGTGGGCATCAACAAGGGTCTGAAGAGCAGTTATCTCAGCCCGAGACCGATCAACAATCCCACGAGCTACCCTTAGCTCGTCACGAAGAGGTGTCAGAGATCTCTCGCTCTCGAGCTGAGCAAAGGCAAGCTCAGCTCGATGCTTCAAGGCAGTGTCCACCATCTGGAGACGCCTATTCCGCTCATGCTCGAGATCGTCGCGTAACCCTTGCGTTACGCGATCAAAGATGCTCTCGGGAACACACCGATCCACATGATCGTGTGGAGAGCGTCTTTCCTCCTCCTCCACCTCCATTAGAGGACTCTCGCGGTGGCCAGCGCTATCTAGTAGAGCAGCTGTTGAACCACCGCGACGTGAACGGACGTCGGACGAGTTACCTCGTCCGGTGGCGCGGCTATCCCCCGTCCTGGGATTCTTGGGAGCCCCGCTCCCAATTGATGGTTGACGTACTGGGTCTGGTCGAGCAGTACGACGCGACACATCCTGTGCCGCAGAAGGACCGCCGGAGAAAGTCTTCCCGGCACGGTCGTAAAGGGATTTCAGGTTGTCAATCCCTTCGTACATCTCAGTAGAGACACGTACGCGCCACCACGGGCTGGTAAGGAGGTAAGCCTCCTTAGGTGCTCGTGCAGAGTTGTTCACACAACATGGGCACGAGTCTCCCCAAGAGAGGCAGGGTAATCCTTTCTCCCTTGACAGACGATGCAGCTTATAGCGTGCACCTGTCGGGGTTCGCTTTTCAAACTTATCACGAGCTTTGATAAGTTTGTCGTTCCAAGCGTCACGACCTACATCCTCGAGATTATGGATGTAGGCGTTCCACGCCTGAAGTAGTGAGGGACCATCACGTTTGTGATTCCCACTGTACCATCGATGTCTGAAGAAAGCATCGATGAAGAATTCGTGTTCAGCGCGATAGTCTTTCGCGCTGGGGTCAAGGTGATGGATCCTTGACGAATCGAACAATCGTGTTCGATAACGATCACTCGTCGTCGCCGACAAGTGATCCATGACAGATTTAGGAGGCATCCATGCCTTCTTTTCTGGAGCGAGACGCAACACATTGCGGTCCCGCTCTTCCTGCGACGTGCCGACAGAAGTACTGGCACCTCGCTGTGAAGTGGTGTCCATTGGAGAAACGACACCACTATTAGCGCCCGAGTCTCGCGACCTCGAGCGCCTTCGCTTCGGCGATGGTTCATCTGACTCATCAGATGAACCAAAGATGCTGCGACGCAAAGCATCGTCCATGCCACGCTTGGCAGGCGGCTTGGATTCAATTGCCGTCGATACGGATCCGTCATCCGTATCAGGAGAGTACGAGACACCGAGCTCGTACTCTGTGAAGACACGAGTGTCTTCATGACCAGCGCCTGCATCACCAGGTGATACAGGCTGAGTCGATTCAGCAACCGATGGGATATCAGTTGCTGTAGTTTCTGCTTCGGCGTCCGCACAGAGACGTGCAGACGCGCTCTCGGCGGCCTTGCTCGCGCATCGCATGGGCTTGTTTACCATGCGATGAGATGTTGGAAAGTGGACGCAGACCAACAAGTGCAAACCCCGTCCCAAATGATTTGGGACGAGTATCCATTTAGTCAATCAGTCACTAAAGTGACTGATGGTTAAGGGGGGTGATGTAACGGGGTGAATCGTTACATAACAATTTATAAGAAATTGTTAATAGAATATAACTATAAGAGTTATATTCTCAGAATATTGTCATAAGGACAATATTCTGTAGCACTTCCAAGTAGTTCCTAATTGGTTGATATAGGCCATTATATCAACCAACGAAGACGCGCCACGACAGACGCACGCAATGAGTGGTGAGCAGATAACTGATTTACACATTTGTATTTAGACATAGTTAGATGAAGATAAATAGTGATTTATTGCAGACATTAACTATTATAAATACAGTTCTACTTTTTACTCTAACCGAGTACTCGCTTCTTCTTACCGTCTTCCTCTGCACGTACGAGTGTACGTGAAGTTACGAGGCACCGCCTTATTCTGTTATCAGAATAAGTAGCTTGTACTGTCACCAGTACAAGCTTCAGGGTGCCCCGTTACAATCTCAAATCGAATCAGTCTTATCGACTCAAGTCTAGGATTGAGTGCGAGTGCTGCCAATTATAGCGAGGATGCACACACACTTTTGTCATTGGAAATTTTGGCCTACAGCATTTTGTTCTAAGGAGATAAAAACAGCACCCAATGAGTACAGTCGTTTGAGAATCTACGTAAGATTCAACAGTCAACAAGAGAAAGCTTAGCATTTCTGAGGAAACTATTAGCGCAAGGTACTCAGTGTAATAATCCTGTAAACTGATAACTTCTGCTCAAAAGAGAAAATGAACTGTATTTATGACTTATCAATGGCAAATAACCCTCTCTCGTGTAACCCTGCACAGAGATAAATTGTAGTACTATAATTTGGGTCCAAAGGGTGATGCTACAGGTGACTGTGCACAAAGTGAATACCGAGCTTTCAAAATCTACTTTCCGCCTGTATGTCCGTAAACAATGCAATATACCTTACACGTCGTACTAAACCCGATTTAGCCCATTACCTTCTCATGTGTAGGTATGCATCATACATGCCAATATGGGTAGGCCGCTTATCGCAAACAGGTTTAGTGTTGATCGCACACACGCATCTAATCTCGAACGTAATTGTCTTACAAACGATAGATTGCGAATAAAGGAGTATGTTAGCAAATGCTCGACACTCTGGTGCAGCAAACGTTCCACACCTCGGGAAAACGGTAAATGTAAAGTGTAATCCATACTTAATACATTACCAATTGGATACGTAAGAATTGCTGCGCACCTACCTCTTTCGGTGGCGGTGATACACCACTCCGTCAATGTGATTTCTATGGTTATTCATCACTGACACGTCGTCGGCCACACAATGGTGTTAATATCATTACCAGGCAGGACCATCTTCTGTCTATTGGATATCATGTGTATCTCTTCGGAAAAACCAGCAGTGTCAAATCAGTAGCTTGAAACACGCATCAAAAAAAAATTAATCAGTACATTCATTAATTACAACACACGGTACAACCCAATTCCCTAACCTCCAGTCACCCAAATGGGTACGTGAACATACAGAACTTGATTCATTTCTTTGGACTATATTACTTAAATTATACGACTTACATGGAGCGACGATCTTTAGAGATCGCTCACCTATCTACTAACAATTAGCACGAATTTATGGCCACCTTCCTCTCGCGGTGGCAGAGCAAGCTCTCTCATTTTACTTGCTCTTCACCGTTAATCAATTATACGCATCGACCGCACTTTGTTGCTCACGGCGTAACCGAGGATTATTTCCAATCTTCCTTTTTGTAGTCGTCTCGTTACAACTTTAATAAGCACTAACGAGTAGCTTTAACATGCAGCAATCCATCAGCACTTTCACTGATAACGACACTCATGACAACCCATTCCTCTGCCGCCAACCCACTTGATATAAGTACGTACAGTCACAGACCTTGATTCAGTTCTGTGAACTGAATCACTTGTATCAAAGGGCGAGTTCCAGAGCTTGCTCACCTGTCTTATTCTTCCATGCAGATTTTACAAGCTAGCGAAGGAAAACAAAACGTCTACCATTTTTCGAATTGGCCCTCGATGTGTTTACTTTAGTTGCAAATAGTGCGACAACGAAGCGATATCATTTGTCTCCTGCCATCAAGTGTGCTTACCGCAGTCATAGTCGAATAAAGTTGCAACATCTTACGCTCTGCAGCACGCAAAAATGTGCTCGCGCCAAAAAAAACATTCTCACAACACCTCTATTTTCACCCCTATTTTCTATTTAAAAATTAATCGATACCCACAATCACATCATCCGCCTACAATCGTGAACAACTGTATCTGATTGGCCATAATTCACGCACATGGTCCTTCATTTGCATCACGTTCCGTAGCTGCTCAATCGTCATGGCAGATTACTCGCTCGCAGCGGTTCTAGGCGCCGTCCAGGCTCTCTATAGCATGGTACGTTGTCTCCGCCTTATCCAACAATCTTCCCCCTTCTTTGTCATACCTCTGTCTCGTGGTTTGTGTCGCGTGGTTCTGTCTAGCAAGTTGACGCACTGACAATTAATTTGTCATTGACATTAGGAAGGCGCTGCACGCCAGCAAGCAGCCAATGAGTTTCTACACACATTTGCAGCTTCTGATGCTGCGTGGGGTATAGGAATACAGCTTCTGCTGGACGAGACGCTCGCACTGCCTTTGGAAGCGCTCTTTTTTGCAGCCAATATGCTGCATGCAAAAGTACGCAAGGAGTGGGTGCAGCTGCCTGCAGAACATAAGACAGCTATGACTGAGTTGCTGGAAAAATTGATGCAGGTGCTGCAAGCTGGCACGAGATTGGATCTCGGGCACGGACCGCTCGTGAGCAAGCTGTGTGCGGTCTACGCAGTGGTGATGATCTCGTCGCCCGATGAGTGTAGAGCTATGCTGTCACACTTTTTGACTACGTGTTTGACAACGGCCGATACAGAAAAAGCGGCCTTTTTGCTAGTCTTTGCACGCTGCGTGTGTGAAGAAATGGAAAACGCGGAGTTACCGTTTGCAGCGAAGGATGCAATGGAAATGCATTTAGCAACTCTGAGTGAAGACGTGGTGACGTTGATTGGAAAAATTGTTTGCACGCGTGAAGACCATGACGCACGTGTGGCTTCTTTGCATGGCGAGGCTTTGGCGTGTTTGAATGTCTGGATTAGACGTGCAGGGCTATCGCTAGCGTCGTTGTACGCCAAGGACGAAGCTGTAGTGCTGGCGCTGTTAAATGCACTGCAGACCAAATCTAGACACTTGCGGGCAAGTTCCGCGATACTCACAAAGCTTATCACGGTATCATCGTACCCGACTCCAGCCAGCTTGGAACGAACGCTGCAGGTAGTGGCACAAGGGCTGCTTCAGACACGTGCTGCATGCGAAAGCGCTATGGTCGCGGAAGAAGAGGAAGTTAGTCATGCTCTTACAGACGTCATATCAACGTTTTGCGAAACGTTTGTGGATTGGATACTGGAAGGCAAGTATCCTCAGGAAGCTACTGCTCTGGGTGAGCTCATGCTGTACCTTGGGTCCCATCCCCGCCGACAAATCGCGTCGCTTACTCTGGAGTTTTGGATGGTTGTCCAGGACGATCCTGTTTCCTCTCGTTTACAGTTTTATCAGCGGGGTGCCTTTGTGCACCTTTTTGAGGTTCTACTCAAGCAGTGCTCGTTTCCAGCAGGAAATGTTGAGGACATGGATGAACTTGAGATTGACGACCTAAACGCCTTCCGGTGCGACATTCACGGTGCCCCTGATGCTTTCATAGCCGTATTTTCGTTGTTAAAGGAGCAATACCTTGCGCGTCTACTTCGTATTCTTACACTGGCAGCACCCAGTGAATGGCAAAGTATCGAAGTCGCTCTATTTGCTGTCTCTGCAGTTGCGGATGAAATAAAAAAAATGTCAACGAAGGCTTGTGCCGACACTCCTCTACGTGTTGAATTGGAAAGGATGATGTCGCAATTAATACGAGCAATTCTGGACTCAACGATCAATACCCACCCTCTGGTAATCGCCATTGCCTCACGATTGCTGGGACAGTTTGCGGCCTGGATCAATGATAGGGCTCTAAGAGCTCACATGTTCGAGACGATCGGAGCAGTTCTTCAGTATTTATGTGGCGCGCTCGGGCTTGTACCAAGTCGTGCAAACGCTGCTAAAAGTTTTATGCAAGTATCAACGTGCTGCATGATTTGTCTTACTGAGATGCCGCCGAGCTTGCTTATGGCTGGTGTGCAGCATTTCGGTGGAACTTCCGGTCAAGACCTCATGCCAAAAGAAGAACGGTTATTGGTTGTTGAGGGGCTCGTACGTGCCGCTGCTGTTTCACGCCACTGCTCCGTGATATTGCAGACGATATTAGACGATTCGCTTACGCGTTTAGACCAAGCGGTTATAGCAAAGGGGACTGATGGTGTACCTTTGTACATTATAGTGTGCAACGAGCTTCAAGTACTCGGCAAGCTGATGCGATTCCTTGATGCACCTGACGATGTAGCTGGAGGCAAAGCGGTGACGGCATGGGCTGCTCAGCAAATTTATCCTCACTTGGAACCCATTGTACAACAGCTTGACGCAGACGAGACAGTAATGACGGCTCTGTTCGAACTGTATGGATGGTGTCTGCAGAGTTTGCGGGAGCAAATGGCACCACAACTTGGCGGAATCGCTACGTTAATTGTGAGAGTGTTTGAGAAGCTGCATTGCATGGCTCCACTTGAGTGTGCAGCAGCCGCCATTGATGTGTTTGGAAAGGAGGCAAACGCAGAAGTAACTGACAGTTTTCGAGGACTTTTGGGTGCACTGAGTCGATCAGCTTTTCAATTTTTCACGGCACATTCGCTGGCTGAAAGACCGAAGGTGCTGCAGTCATTTTTTGAGCTGGGCTACCGCTTTCTGCTGTTCTGCCCGGCTGCCGTTCTTACTGCAGCGGAATTCCCCGTGCTAATCGAGCTTGGTCTGGCTTGCCTAGGCAATCAAGATCGCGCGTCGACAAATGCGGTTCTCGTGTTTCTCACGTTCTTGCTCAACGAGAATACGACAAAATTGGCACCGTTTACAGCAGTGATCAACGCGCGTGTACTGGATGCTAGCCAAACGGAAAAGTGGCTCGATGGTCTTATTGGTGCACTAGCGTCAACGAGCCCAAGCACTCTTTATGAGTCGATGTCCAAGCTACTGTACGCACTGCTGACTAGCTTCACTGGTAATGAACACGTGCGTGCAACGCTGGTACAGTCTTTGACCCGCGATGCACTGGGCGTGGGAGCGCTCCGACCAGAAGACCGTCAACAGGTGCTACACTTGTGGCTGTCGCTCACTGCTCAGCCTTCACGCAACTCCGAGCGGCGCTTTCGTGGTTTATGCTCCGACTTTGCTAAGGTTTGCCGCAAGGAGTTAACGGTAGACGCGCTTTACTCTATCGAGATGCCAAAGTGAGGTAGACTCGTTTACAACACGACGTGTATTGACTCTGCTGTGGACGAGAACGCCCCACGCCTCAACCGGGTACGATCACAGTGGCTAGCTAGAACGCAGCACGCCACAGCAACGCGTGCGCTGATCAGGCCAGTTCTCCAACCTAAACAGACAGCACCAAACCTTGTTCAAAAACCGCAACGTGCATAAACCACACTATCATTGACAATGACAAAGACACGTACGATGGGGTACTTTTCGTAGTAGAATGCCTTCGTCTCCGCAAGTTCCTTCCTGTGTTTCTCGCTGAAATCCGAGACATCGTCATTCAAGTCCTATATGACCGCAACGAAACAAAGCATCCAAAGACGCGACATCAGCAGATACGGCACTCGATGCTATCCAACCAACGAAAGAGAGCACTCCTCTCCTCACCTCTTCCTTCAGTGACCCAAGCGCCAGAGCACGCGTACAAGCCTGCAAGACAGATGGAAGGACCAAATAACATCCGTTCGAAGTGCGAGGTCGTGCACTTATCAGCGAGATGCATTTGCCACTCAAATCAATCCTGTCGTAGCTGTACCTTTCCAGCAAATATGTGGTACGACTGTCCCTTGCCATAGAATTTGGCTCCAGACGTCACGTCCAGAACCTGTACCAGCAAAACAGCCAACACCACAACAGCCATGTCATAATACTGCTTCGTGTCCCATTTCCGTCCCACTACGTACCTTGCCACCAACTGCAAGCAAAAGGGGCTTCTCCTCGTCTGATCCGTCATACCTGCACATTGGAAGAACACCAAAAGGAACAACAACAGCAGCAACAAAGTCAGTGTATAGGCAAGTATACATGTATAGTGTTTACCGCCCGCATTATTGTGTACACGTATACATTCAAAACGGTTGCAAAGAAGCGATTGAGGTGTATACATACAGACGGAGCTGGTCGAGTGTATACGTCGGCAGTCCACTCGCTGTTACTGTCGCTTCCTTCTCCACGCTCTTGTCACGTAGCAGCACCGAAAAAGGGTACGGACATTTGTACCCACTATTGACAAGGTAGTGCTCCATGTGCGGCCACAGCATCGCCATCAGAGCGATCAGTAGCGCTGCACCAAAGACGTAGACGCGCGTCGGACGTGCCATTGGAAGGTCGCGTTATCCGGAAAGTGTCGTATACTGCAGTACTTCATGTGGTGCACACACATACCACGCACCTGCCGTACCCCCCCCCCTCCCGTCCCGGTCGTAACCTGCACATCTGCACACTTCAGCGTTACTTTACCAAACCAAAAATAAAAACATCTCTGACCATCGACATTATTGAAATAAGCATGACCGTGGACGTATCCAAGCTCCTGAGCAGCCCCGAGACGACGTATACAGTGCGCTATAACCAGCGTGACTTGCTGATTTATGCCGTGGGTATCGGCGAGTCGTCGTTGCAGTTTATGCACGAGTTACACGAGCACTTTGCCGCTTTCCCGCTCTATCCCGTGTGTTTTCTATTCAAGGGCGAGTCGCAAGACGTTGTGCCGTTCCCGCCCCCGACAGTTGGTGCTCTACTTGAAGAAACGATACAGAACTTCAATCCAGTCATGATGCTGCATGCTGAGCAGTCGGTGGAGATTCTACGGCCTCTGGATCCTATGGGTGCCACGCTGACAGGTCGGAGCAAGATCCTTTCGTGCTTCGATAAGGGCAAAGGAGCGCTCATTGAGACGCAGACGCTGTTTGAAGACGCTCATGGACCAGTGGCGAAGCTCATTAGCAGCTCTTTTATTCGTGGTCTTACGGGCTTTGAAGGCAAAGGACGCAAGCACCTAGCACGCGTGCAGATTCCTACGCGCGAGCCAGACTTTTGCGACGAGTTCACGACGTCGCCGTATCAGGCGCAGATCTATCGCCTATCAGGGTGAGTGGGTCGGGCAAATGTTTTTTTATTTTATATCTGTCGGATGCAAGAAAAGGATGCTGCTATAGTGATGAAGTAGAACGGCGAGAGAGAGATGACGATTGCTCTTGATGTAGTGATGATGATGGCAGCTTGTTGACGATCTGTTGTGTAATGTGGGACTTTCCGTTGCTGCAGTGACTACAACGCGCTGCACATTGATCCTGAGGTCGCTGCAAGTGTAGGCTTTAAGCAGCCTATCCTGCATGGTCTGTGCTCCATGGGCGTGGCTAGCCGTGCATTGTACGAGCAATTCTGCCAGGGTGACGCGGCGCGTTTCAAGTCCATTCGTGTGCGCTTCTCAAGCCTGTGCTTTCCGGGCGAGACTATTCAGACCCGAATGTGGCAGGAGAGCAGCAGTGAGGTGCTGTTCCAAGCCATAGTCAAAGAACGCGGCGTCGTGATTATCGACGGCGGCAAGTTTGTCTTTGACCCGAGTGCGTCCTCGCGTTTGTAAGTGATTGTTGCGGTTTATCGCAAAATGACACGACGCCGGGTGCTGTGACATGTATGTGTTCACGTTGTCCGTTTACACACAAAACGAATAGCTCTTTTAAACAACTGACTACCGATAGGTTACGTGCGACACGGACCTCCTCCCGATAAGGACATCACATAGACAGACCCAAGACTGGCTTCCCGTCAATCATGAGCTCCTCACGTGCACCGACTGAGCACCTGTCCATCCGGTCAAAGTCTCTTGTCGCCGGCTCGGTTTCTGGCATGGCGAGCGTCGTGATCTGCCATCCACTGGATACCATTCGGACGCGACTGCAGCTGTCACCCAGTCGCTTCCACGGCTTTTTCCACTGCGTGAAGCAGACGATCCAGCAAGAATCCATCCGTGGTCTCTACAAGGGCTTCCTGCCGCCGTTCTTGAGCCAGGGCGTCTATAAAGCCGTCATCTTTACGACATCTTCGACATTGCGCCATGACGTGCTCCCTCATGTCTCGATCCTCCAGCCAGTGCTCACGCCGACACTCACATCGTTGATAGCAGGTGCAGTAGCTGGAGGTGTCAATGCTGTTCTCGTAACGCCCGTGGAGCTCGTGCGCAATCGACTGCAAGTGCAATATGATAATCAGAGCGAGTCAAGGAAATACAGAGGAACAGGGCACTGCATTAGGCAAGTGGTGCGCGCTGAAGGCCTCACGGCCATGTGGAAAGGGTTGACAACAACCGTCATTCGAGACGCGGTTGGCGTGGCCTTCTACTTTCTCGGCTATGACCTCGTCAAACAGCGCATGAGTGCAAGTGGCACATTTGGAGAAACTGCGACGCTGTTAACTGCTGGTGCTTTAGGGGGCGTTAGCTTCTGGACGGTTGCACTACCTTTTGACACGGTCAAGTCCCTAATCCAGGCGGATGGAAAAGCGGGCAAGTATACAGGATTGGTATCAAGTACAGCAAGATTGGTGCGGGAAGAAGGCGTGATGCAGCTCTTTCGTGGATGGCAGGCTGCCTTTTCGCGTGGAATTCCAAGCGCCGCGATGACTTTCTGGACTTTTGATCGAGCGACCAAGTTCCTCGATGAAATGTGATCAAGGAGGAGGGATACACGAGTGGATCTGGTGAGTGGATTCGACTTCGCAATCACTTGGTGCCGGTGCTGATTGGACGTCGAATGGGCTGGCATGTAGGAACGGGTCATTATGGGTAGATCATGTGTAAGCGCGAGCACATGGGACCGAGAAAAGTACATGTGTTATTCCTAATGGAGAGGTTGGAGTGCTGAAAGTCGTTCAGGCGTACCTGTTGAATGAGGTCAGAGTAACGATACGGATACAAGGCGGTGCAACTGTCCGACGGTAGCAAACATGTCGATGCACCGACCAAATCAAGCGCGCGTCATATCGAGTACAGAAAGTATGACTTTGCTCAAAACAATCAGAAACGGCTATGTTGAAGCTGACGTTGATGTAGACGTCGACGTTCCTAATTTGTGACTTAAGTTTGTCGACGAATGTGATTGGCGCATCATTGCAAAACGTGTCATTTACAACGCTCCAGTCACACGCACACGCACTGATCCGCGAACGTTCCCTTTCCATCCATCCTTCGATAGAAATTTCCTCGCAGCCTCATTTGCAATACCACCAATCACCAATACCACCAATCACCAATACAGGTTCGCCCCCGGATCTCCCTCCTGTTATGCTGTATCCTGCAGCATACCATCAACTTCTCTTCGCCACGTTCGACTCCGTATCGTGTCTTCTCTCTCTCATCTGACTCTACCGATTAGAGTGAATAGGGATGAGTAAGGCTTCAACCGCATACGTCATCCGTACAAAAAAAGACGACGCCCTCCCCCCTCCACCAGTCAATCGATCCATCAACCAGTCAGTCACATATTTCGTCTACACTCGTTGTACCCATGTCGTCGTCCTTGCCCATCTCGCCTCCCCCCTCGGCTTGTGCCTCGCCTGACTCGTGCTTTATCCAGCAGCCACACGTCCATCGCCTCCTCCAGCAGCCTCGCGAGTCGCCGAAGATCCTGAACTCCATCTTGGACCACGTAGGTAACACGCCCCTCGTGCGGCTCAATGCTATTGCCAAGAAAGCTGGACTTGAGTGCGAATTGCTGGCCAAGTGCGAGTTTTTCAACGCTGGCGGCTCGGTCAAGGACCGGATTGGCAAGCGCATGATTGAAGACGCCATGGCTGCCGGTCGGATCAAGCCGGGAGACACGCTCATTGAACCGACGTCAGGGAACACGGGCATTGGACTCGCACTAGCTGCTGCGCTCTACGGCTTTCGGATCATCATTACGCTGCCCGAGAAGATGTCGCTCGAGAAAGTGGACGTGCTTAAAGCTCTGGGGGCGGAGATTATCCGCACGCCCACAGAAGCGCCTTGGGACTCGCCTGAGTCGCACATTGGCGTGGCTAAGCGTCTCGTCAAGGAGATCCCAAACGCTCATATTCTGGACCAGTATAGCAACCCGTCGAACCCGTTGGCACACTATGACGGCACGGCTGAAGAGATCCTGGAAGCTTGTGACGGGCATGTTGATATGATTGTTATGGGCGTCGGTACTGGGGGTACGCTATCGGGAACAGCACGTAAAGTGAAGGAGAAGTGTCCGAACTGCATTGTCGTTGGTGCAGACCCTATTGGCTCGATCTTGGCTCAGCCAGAGAGTCTCAATGATGAAAACCGCTTGCAGTCGTACCAGGTTGAAGGTATTGGCTACGACTTTATTCCGCAAGTGCTGGACCGCTCCCTTGTGGATCGCTGGATCAAGACTGGGGATCAAGAATCGTTCTTGATGGCACGTCGACTGATCCGCGAGGAGGGATTGCTCTGTGGTGGATCTTGTGGATCAGCTGTTGCTGCAGCGTTAAGGGCTGCCAAGGATCTCAACGCTGGCCAACGTTGCGTTGTCGTGCTGCCTGATTCGACGCGTAACTATATGTCGAAGTTCCTGTCGGATGACTGGATGTACAAGCACAATTACGTGACAGATATGTCCAAGAGCGCACTCAGCTCGACGTGGTGGGCGAAGAAGAACGTATCGGAGCTGCTACTACAAGCTCCTGTGACCATCACCCCTGATCTCACGTGCAAGGAAGCTGTGGACATTTTGAAGAAGGAGGGATTTGACAATCTACCGGTTGTAGCGGACGACAACTCGATCGTAGGTGTCGTGACCGAAGGCAACCTTATTGCTCAGCTTATGCCTGGCCGCGTGCGTCCAACTGACGCTGTGGAGAAGGCCATGTTCAAGCAGTTCAAGCAGATCAGTCCACAGACGTCGTTGTACGAGTTGAGTCGCATCTTTGACCGTGACCACTTTGCTCTTGTGGTGACGGAGCAGAAGCGTATATGCAAAGGCGGCGGAGCTGAGACCAAGTCGGTCATTTTTGGCGTCGTCACTCGGATTGATTTGCTCACGTACATTACGCGTCACAATGAGCAGTAGTGTATTCCAGACTAGTGTTTCGCCAAGTTTGTAGCGATTACTTCATGATGAGCGGATCATTTATACAACATGATTACGCTTACATCTTTCAATGATCACTTTAACTGCTTTTCGTGTCCCTTTTGCTTTGATTACACATTACACAGCAGACAATGAGCAATCGTTGTTCGCTGAAAGCTTCGGAGTTGTGAGCAGATACACAGCTAAGTTGAATCTTGTTCTGACTACTGGACAAGGTCGAGGCAAAGGTTAACCACAATAATTGTGATCGACATGGTGTTCGGCTTACATGTGAACTTGCTATCGCAGAGCTCGCTATAAATGAAGGTACAAGGCAAAGCGTTCTATAACAATTTCAGTAAATACGTTTGACTAAGCTTGTTAAGTCGTGTCAGTAAGGTTGCAAGAGGAAAGGGTTGTGCGTATGGGGACATGGGCTCAATAGTTATACCCATCGCAGCATATTCATCGCAGCATATGCAGTATTAGGCTTATGGAGTATGACGAATTGTTGTTGATGTTTGTGCTGTACGGACGGTCAATTGGTTCAGCACGAACGAGAATGCAATCGATTCAGAAGTATTGAGCTTTACGAGTACTGGGCGAGTCAATTCGATCGAAACAATCGAGACTCATTTCCTGTGATTATTTCGACCCGTTTCCTATTGTCTATGAAGGTTAAGCGAGGACTGAAACTCTGTTGACACCCAATTGCTGTTGTCTAGAATCAAAGGATACAAAGCTGTGAGCAAGAGCGGACCCTCAGAGCTTACACTTACTATTGCGATGGCTACCAAATTATACGTTGATCAGCCATAAAACTATCGTCTTTTTCGAAAAGGGTAATCTCGGATAGGTAGCCAAGTTTCTATTACCACCTTCTCGTCATACAAATGAGCAGAAGAGGTTGACACAGAATGGGTTGCAGGACTAAAGAAAATCAAATAGTTCTATCAAGATCAGTCCGGTTCAATATGGATCGTATCGCAGACCCTCCGTCGCCAATAATTGTGCCGACAGCGTCTATTCTAACGGTACTGAGCTCTACGAACAAGTTCTACCTTTCGCATCTCGTCGCCTCTAAGACCGAATCATTCACGCATATGTAGCGCCAGGAGACGTCTGGACAATAATTGTTTAAAGTGACCATAAAATCATACAAGCGTGGAGACCTCAATAAACGCCGCTAAGCGAAGGAATTGCACTGCAAGAGATTGGAGCGGGTAACGATGAAAGCAATTTGGTCTACGATATCACAAGGTCGAAAGCAAGCAAGAAGACTTGCTACTCTACAGGTCTTGTCGGATCCAAAGAATGCACTGTACGATCTTTCTCAACGCATTGAGCTGCATCTGTCAGCACTTGATGTTTGTACCGCTACTCTAACGCTCAAAACATTGCCGTGCTCAGTACATCCAGCTACACACTACCAAATGCTCGGATCCACGATCTACGACGTGCACCTTGCGACAGAGCAAGCAGAGGAATACTACACTCGACCAAGAGACGCCAAGGCATAACGAGGACTGTATCCTGTACGGGTATGCATTAGCGTTGCGACGTCTGTCGAGCTCACTGAGCTCAAATGGATTACAATCTGAAGCCGTGCGTCACGGCCTCCAACCAATCATCACCAACACACTAAATGACATTGACCCGTCCTCCTGCAAACGACCAGTTCCTCCATGCATAACAACAGTACAAACAACACGCGCATAGAAATGCAACTCATCGAGCTTGCTCGCCACATCGACGTCTTTGTATCGCTCCAGTCAGTCGTTCGAGTCAGTGCCAAAGGACCGAATAGTGGATGTTGAAGCTGAACTTTCGAGCTTTTACTCTTCTGTACCCATTTGTCCAATAGCTCCGTTTTCGAAAAAAATGAATGGCTAGCATTCGTTTGCCACAAAATTTTCCAAGATACCCGATACCCGTCATCAATCCCTCACGTCCCTCTTCGTAATCAAACTCGAAAGAGCTCGTCGTACGTGATTGATCCTTCATTCGCTTCCGTCCTGCGGCTCCAATACCCAAGAAGCACTCTCGGATCTCATCTCTATGGCTTCTTCCGACGACCTCACGCACTCCATCGTCGGTCTTGGCAACCCATTGCTCGACATTTTGGTCGATGTGACGCCTGACTTTTTGAAGAAATACAACCTCCAGCTGGACAATGCCATCCTCGCAGACGAGAGCCACGCGCCCATGTTCGAAGAGCTCCAGACACTCGATCCAGTGTTTGTAGCAGGTGGCGCGACGCAAAATAGCATCCGCATCGCGCAATGGATGCTCAACAAGTACAACAAGAGTGCCACATCTTTCTTTGGAAGTGTTGGGAAAGACAAGCACGGAGCCAAGCTGCAAGCGTGTGCCGAGGCAGACGGCGTGCACGTCTCGTACCTTGAGCATACAGGCATCAAGACTGGTACATGTGCCGTGTGTGTCGCAGACTCGGAGCGTTCGCTCGTGGCTGATCTGTCAGCTGCCAATCACTATCATCACGACCATTTGGCCAAGGCAGAGAGCCAGGAGATCATTGCCAAGGGCCGGTTGTTCTACACGGCGGGTTTCCACCTGACTGTGTCCCCACCGTCCGTGATGACGCTTGCTGAGCATGCCAAGGCCAATAATAAGGTCCTGCTCATGAATTTATCGGCTCCTTTTATCATTGAGTTTTTCAAAGAACCTTTGATGGCTGCGCTCTCGTTTGCTGACTTTGTCTTTGGCAACGAGAGCGAAGCCAAGACGCTTGGCAAGGTGCAGGGATGGGGTGACGACATTCCGACCATCGCTCTCAAGACTGCTCAGCTGGAAAAAGCCAGTGGATCGCGCTGTCGGACCGTCATTTTCACTCAAGGTGCCGATGCGACGGTGGTCGTGCACCAGGGCAAAGTGCACACGTTCGAGGTGCCAAAAATCGCTGCGTCGTCGATCATTGACACGAACGGCGCTGGTGATGCTTTTGTCGGTGGCTTCCTCTCTCGCTTGGCTCTGGACCAACCTCTTGAGAAGTGCGTGCATGCTGGTCACTGGGCTGCTCAAGTCGTGCTGACCCGCTCGGGCTGCACGTTTCCAGAGAATTGCGACTACCAAGAGTAAGCAGATGTTCTGATGTCTGGTGCAAAAAGGTCGCCTGCTTGCTGTTTCCAGCTCCTTGAACATGCTGTTGCAGGTGCTACTAGACAAGTTGAACGTTCCGTTGTTCACTGCGCTTTCGTGTAAGTGCAGATGATCGTTTGTAGGCAAAAGTGCGGCACGTACAACAAGGCACGACACTTTCCCTCAAAGCGACGAACGATCATCATGAATAGACGACTACATGGGCACTATGCAATGCTCCAAGCTGGTTTGACTGTTTCGATGGATGTTGATGGGGGTACTAATCTTGTCCATCTCGGCTGTAGAAGATCGGATCCTTGATGCTCCTTCAACTCACGGGCTTTATAGCTACTGCACCTACTTACATCATCTCAAAGCGACATTAGCTTCATACATGCAAGTACAAAACAGTATCAGTTCAACTAAGGTATGGACTCAAGAGAGCATCATCTCATGAACACTTCGAAATGGTCGAAGTTATAGTCAGGCTTGCAGATAGATACCTGATGACACACGCCTCTGCTATTGTCAGCAATGTCTTGAGGTTCATCATACCCGACAATCCACTACACCGGCAACTAACGTAGAAGTATAATATCAGCGACTGAGATAAATAATACGTCGGATACATAAACCGAGAGGTATTGTGCTTTGTGACGATAGGCACCAGATAGAGCACGCTGACAACGTCAAGACTGAGTCTATAACAGCTCTTCAAAATCTACATCGCAATCGATCTACTGCTGCGACTTCGTCTGCTTCTTCTGCTTTTTCTTTTTGTTACTGCGTTTCTGCGTACTTGCAGCCTTTGTGCGCTTTTTTGAAAAACCAGCTTCTTCATCGATCTCAACGACGACGTGAGGGACACCAGCGGCTGGAGCTGGAGACTTCTTGTCCAAAGCATTTTTCATCCTCTTGATTTTCTTAATCGTCGTGAAAGTAGCTTCATGCTCTGCTTCTTCATCGCCAGACTTCTCGCTCGCAACAACAACAGAAAGACATGTCACACGAGGTTTCGTGAGGAGGGTCGTCGAAGCCAGCGGCTCCACTGACTTGTTCGATTCTTCTGGCGACGACTCATCTAATGTGAACGAAGCAAAATCCCAAATCTGAAACGTCCCTTCAGACGTGGCTAGCACGATCCATGGCAGCTTGTCCTCGCCGTGTGGATACACCACTTGGAGACATCGAATGCGAGCGTAAATATCCTTATGCGTTACCTTTCCAACAAGTCTGCACAAGAGCATAGTAACGTTAGTCAGGGCGTGCAGAAGCGTGCGTCGATCTAACCTATCGTTCCGATTCAAAGTAATCATGACACTTCACGTACGCCCCATTCGTCTTCCAGATATAAATATGTCTGTCATCGCCTCCGCAGACGACGTATTGATCCATCGCAAAAACAGCGCAGCAAATCTTCTTCGTGTGTTCCAGTGTGCCCACCAGCTAACCATCAGCAAAAAAAACACTGTTACTCGACCACTCACATAAACATCTTCACTCGTATCCTCACCTCTGCATTCATATTAAAGACGGACAGATGCGTGCCAAATCCAAGCGCATAGTGCGTGCCCTTTTTCGAGATCATGACGAGCTCCGCCTCTTTCTCCAGTCGTCGAATAAAGGCGATCCGGCCCTTCACAAGATTCCACATGCGCAGCGTGCGATCACGTGCCACTGAAAAGCACAGTTTTCCACTCGGATGCACTGCAAGTGCATTAATCTCACCCCTACAACACAGGGTATGAGAAAAACACATGAGATAAACGAATCTCTCTCTCCGCTTGGTTTTCTATCGCTGCACTCCACTGCACTGCACTCCTCCCCCAATTATCACCAAGCACGTACTTATGACCCCCGAGAATGTGCACACAGTTCCAGTCGGACGTCCGCCAGATACAGATCGAGTGGTCTGCACTGCCACTAAGTACGTGGCTCTGGCCAAAGAACTCGAGACTCGTAATAGCACCGTGCTGCTCCATCAAGCTCCCAACCTCCACGCGCTTGTCCACATTGTAGATCCTAGATATAAACACCAACAACACAATAACCATACCAGCAACACTGTTAGTTATGACAAGCTCTACCATGATCTAAAGACTGTACATACGTTAAGTACGCACTTGATCATCTCGTCGCTGCCACCCGAGACAAGCGTCTTGCCCTGTTTCGCGCCCATTAACGCTACGCTCTTGATGCATTCAACGTGCGCTGCATACCCGAACGTGAGCTTCATCTTGGTGCACGTGCCATTGACCACGACGGGGCACTGCCAGCCGTAGAGCAAGCCTTCGTATGTTCCAGCGACGATGCGGATCATTTTGTCTGAAGAGCTCATTTGAAAGACTGATGGTGGTGCGTGACTGGACACGGCAGCTAAGTACGAAGGTCGGAGATGAAGCCATGTGGTCGAGAATGTGCTTTTTTGCAGGGTGGTGGGTGATGCGTGGATTAAAGTCGCTCCAGGTGGTGGAAAGACCCACATCAGCTGGGTCTTTCCACCATCTGGAGCGACTTTAGTTTCAGAAGCGTGGAATCTCTCGCTTGTTGAAGTTCATAACAATTGTAAGATAGGAGGGCGCGCTCCGGAGCTCGCCCCTTGATTAAAGTGATTTGGACCATAGAACTGAATCATGTCCAGTGTGTTCACGTACCTTGCGCACAGTCACAAGCTTCACCCTTGCAATTAATCGCGACTGAGAGTTGCAGTCGAATCTTAATAGTTGCAAAGCACGTTGTCGATTGATGACCAACGCGTACGACATCGTTGTACCGATCGAGTTGCGTGTCTGAATATATATATTGCTACGGTTCGTTGCTACAAGCACGTTCGATCATTCCGAACTGCTCAGACTGCATAGTATAATCGCGGCACAAGTGGAAGGGGAACTGAGCTTTCGGCTCGGCAGGAAGAGTACGAATCCAAATAGCAGACGACACACGCTTGACGGAAGATATCTTAATGGAGGCGGAGAGAACCAATGTTAACTGGCAGCACATACACGACCTACTTCGCAAATTGAAGACGATGAGCTACGACGAGGTATCGAACTCGATACATCTGTGTTTTTTCCGATCGAGCAACAGCGAAGAAGTTTCAAGTGTCGGTAGTCCCTCACAGCGCATGGTGTACTGCTTACACAATAATCATGGCGTGTCCGCACGGTGATCCTGGGACTGGACTACTGTAGTGTCTGATCTAAGCCGCCGAATTATGGAGTACGAAGTCCGCTAGTATAACGTATCGTGCTTCGTGGAAATTGGCAAAGTGTCGGCATTCCTCAGCACACACAGTCCAGTGCCCCATGATTGGAGACCATGGATACTTGTACATAAGAGTCCCGAACGTACGACGTCTGGATTCATACATTTCGGCTTTCGTGCTATCCGCAATTCCTTAGGGGAATTGTTCGGCTTGATTGGTTCGGAAAGTTGATTATTTTTAAACATTCTGCCGTCGGTCGACAACTGCAGTGCTTTTAGTGCGGCACGATTGGCCACACCGTAGCCCGGTGTAGCTATACTGATGAGCAGCTGCGGGTAGATGGCTGATTGGTATCCACGGAGCAAGACATTGTAGCTTTAGACAATGTCGCCAAGCCTTTCATCTCGCTGGCTAAAACGAAGGCCGCTGCATCACTCCGACGTCAAATCCATCAGGAAAAGTCGGCGGTTATAACCAGGACTTTACAACTTCACCCGACGCAAGCAAGCAAAGTATCCTCGGGCAGCTAAGACGTAGCAGAGCTACACAGCTCCTTAATTCATAGGAAGACTTAACGCTCAGCGAGCAACTTAGTTCTAAAGAACTAGACTCAGTGAGTCAACAAGCGTAAAGCTTATGGTCCTTGTACCAGGGGACCAAACGATTCAATGAATCGACAGCACTTAGTGCTCAAGAATAACTAGCTACCTCATAGAGGTGTTGCTAACTCTCCGTGATCAGCGATCAACGACCAAAGACACCTCGCAAGGCACGTGTCTTTACGATCAAAAAGGGGAACTGAATTTTGTTTATATTTACACCTACAGTGTAACGGGGCACCCTGAAGCTTGTACTGGTGACAGTTCAAGCTACTTATTCTGATGACAGAATAAGGCGGTGCCTCGTAACTTCACGTACACTGGTACGTGCAGAGGAAGACGGTAAGAAGAAGCGAGTACTTGGTTAAAATAAAAAGTAGAACTGTATTTATAATAGTTAATGTCTGCAATAAATCACTATTTATCTTCATCTAACTATGTCTAAATACAAATGTGTAAATCAGTTATCTGCTCACCACTCATTGCGTGCGTCTGTCGTGGCGCGTCTTCGTTGGTTGATATAATGGCCTATATCAACCAATTAGGAACTACTTGTAAGTGCTACAGAATATTTGTCCTTATGACAATATTCTGAGAATATAACTCTTATAGTTATATTCTATTAACAATTTCTTATAAATTGTTATGTAACGATTCACCCCGTTACATCACCCCCCTTAACCATCAGTCACTTTAGTGACTGATTGACTAAATGGATACTCGTCCCAAATCATTTGGGACAGGGTTTGCACTTGTTGGTCCGCGTCCACTTTCCAACATTTCATCGCATGGTAAACAAGCCCATGCGATGCGCGAGCAAGGCCGCCGAGAGCGCGTCTGCACGTCTCTGTGCGGACGCCGAAGCAGAAACAACAGCAACTGATGTCTCATCGGTTGCTGAAGCGACCCAGCCTGTGTCACTTGGTGATGCAGGCGCTGGTCATGAAGACACTCGTGTCTTCACAGAGTACGAGCTCGGTGTCTCGTACTCTCCTGATACGGATGACGGATCCGTATCGACGGCGATTGAATCTAAGCCGCCTGCCAAGCGTGGCATGGACGATGCTTTGCGTCGCAGCATCTTTGGTTCATCTGATGAATCAGATGAACCATCGCCGAAGCGAAGGCGCTCGAGGTCGCGAGACTCGGGCGCTAATAGTGGTGTCGGTTCTCCTATGGACACCACTTCACAGCGAGGTGCCAGTACTTCTGTCGGCACGTCGCAGGAAGAGCGGGACCGCAATGTGTTGCGTCTCGCTCCAGAAAAGAAGGCATGGATGCCTCCAAAATCCGTCATGGATCACTTGTCGGCGACGACGAGTGATCGTTATCGAACACGATTGTTCGATTCGTCAAGGATCCATCACCTTGACCCAAGCGCGAAAAACTATCGCGCTGAGAATGAATTCCTCATCGATGCTTTCTTTAGACATCGATGGTACAGTGGGAATCACAAGCGTGATGTTCCCTCACTGCTTCAAACGTGGAACGCCTACATCTATAACCTTGAGGATGTAGGTCGTGACGTTTAGAACGACAAACTTATCAAAGCTCGTGATAAGTTTAAAAAGCGAACCCCGACAGGTGCACGCTACAAGCTGCATCGTCTGTCAAGGGAGAAGGGATTACCCTGCCTCTCTTGGGGAGACTCGTGCCCATGTTGTGTGAACAACTCTGCACGAGCACCTAAGGAGGCTTACCTCCCTAATAGCCCGTGGTGGCGCGTACGTATCTCTACTGAGATGTACGAAGGGATTGACAACCTGAAATCCCTTTACACCGTGCCGGGAAGACTTTCTCCGGCGGTTCTTCTGCGGCACAGGATGTGCCGCGTCGTACTGCTCAACCAGACCCAGTACGTCGATCATCAGTTGGGAGCGGGGCTCCCAAGAATCCCAGGACGGGGGATAGCCGCGCCACCGGACGAGATAACTCGTCCGACGTCCGTTCACGTCGCGGTGGTTCAACAGCTGCTCAACTAGATAGCGCTGGCCACCGCGAGAGTCCTCTAATGGAGGTGGAGGAGGAGGAAAGACGCTCTCCACACGATCATGTGGATCGGTGTGTTCCCGAGAGCTTCTTTGATCGCGTAACGCAAGGGTTATGCGACGATCTCGAGCATGAGCGGAATAGGCGTCTCCAAATGGCGGACACTGCCTCGAAGCATCGAGCTGAGTTTGCCTTTGCTCAGCTTGAGAACGAGAGATCTCTGACATCTCTTCGTGACGAGCTAAGGGTAGCTCGTGGGATTGCTGATCGGTCTCGGGATGAGATAGCTGCTCTTCAGACCCTTGTCGATGCCCACCATCGGGAGCACAAGGCTCTCTGCGAGATGCTTGAGCGCAAGGGCGCTCTTCATCGGAAGAAGCAGCGTACTGATGGTACGGCTTAAGCCGACCAACGTAAAACGTGGGATGCGTTCGCATCTTACGTGGTAACTCGATCGTGTATGCATTGCCTAGGCGGTGCAATACACGAAATGGGCCGATGTACTTGGGTAGTAGTTTACTGCTACCCAATTTATTCACTACATGCTTTGGTAGATTAACCGTAGACAGTAGGACTAAGTCACCTTTATTAAATAAAAGAGTGTTTGCCCTTCCATTCTTGTCAGCGTTTTGCTTTTGCTTATCCACCGCTTCGGCGATGGAGTCTTGCACAAAACGGACTACTGTTTCACGAGCCAGTATGAACTCATCTGATGACTCGTTAGCTTCAGTGTGCTGTGATCGCACTGCAGCAACATCAACCTTTTCTTCAGTGAGGGCTTCCGCACTCTCACTGGCATCATCTTCTTCGATATCGATGTTATCGATATCGGCATCAAACGCAATGACTTCTTCGTCAGAGCGTGATGAGCGTGAACCAAATCGGTTTTTGCTCGCGCGAGTCCCTCCCCCCCTTAAACCAGAGTTACACTCTAGTAAGGTGGGTACACGCGGATGGCGCAAGCCATTCACGTAAAACGGTGTATGTGTCGTGGACGCATGCACCGAGTTGTTGATGGCAAACTCTACCATTGGCAAAAACTCGCTCCAACTCTTAAAGGAGTGTACGTATCCTCGAAGTATCTCTTCAAGGACAAGATTGGCACGTTCCGTCTGACCATCTGACTCTGGATGATCAGATGTCGACATCTTCAAGCGCGTTCCGTCTGACCATCTGACTCTGGATGATCAGATGTCGACATCTTCAAGCGCGTGCCGAGTGATTTGAACACGGAACGCCAGAAATCAGCAGTGAATCGTGGATCTCTGTCTGATACGAGTTCACGGGGCAACCTATGAAGTCGGAAGATGGTGTCAATAAAGACACAAGCACAGCCACTTGCCGTGATTGTCTCTGGTACAGCCACAAGGTGTACCATTTTGCTGAATCTGTCAACAAATACGAGAATACCCGTATTCCCGCGTGCGTCTTTGGGTAACCCGAAGACAAAAATCCATTGAGATGGATTCCCAGCACTCAGCCGGAACCTGTAGAGGCTGTAAAGGTGCACGCAGTGAAGGAATTGACTTCACTCGTTGGCAGACTTCGCATGCGCGAACATACTTTCGCACAAACTGATACTGGCGGGGACAGTAAAAGTCTCGACTCACCGTGAGATATGTTTTCTCCCGGCCACGATGTCCTCCTATAGGAGCATCGTGATACTCGAACATGATCCGCAAACGCAGATCAGTATCATCTGGAACGACAACACGTGGTGTGTCACCAGAAACGGCTGTATAATACAGTAACCCGTTACGAGTAGTGTATCGATCTGATGCAGATCGATACGCAGACGACAATCGTTTCAGCGATTCTCGAGATGGTTGGGAAAGATGTGTCAACAACTTCACTATCTCACCATCTTGGGCGTATGCCCGCCTCACATCATCATACAACGTTGTAGATGGGACTGAGGACGTCATAACCGCAACAGTGACTGTCTCACTGTTGGGTTTCACGACTGGTTCAAAGTCGGGACGACGTGAGAGTGCATCAGCAACGACATTAAGTCGTCCTGGTTTGTACTCGACCGTAAAGTTGTATTCCGCAAAGAATGACAACCACCGCGCCATTCGTTGTGAAAGGTGCGGGCTGTTCACTGCCGTGCGTAATGACGCATGGTCAGTGTAAACAACGAAGGGTCTATCTCCTAATAGATAGACTCTGAACTTCGCGAGTGCATACTTCATGGCAAGGAGTTCCTTGTCATGCACTGGATAGTTCCACTCAGCTGGTTGCAGCTGACGCGACTGATAGCAGACGACGCGTTCAACGCTATCAAGATCGTACTGCATTAATGCACAGCCGATTGCGAAATCGCTGGCATCACAGACCACATGAAATGGCCTGTCCTGATCGGCAATTGCTAGGACTGGGGATTGTATCAAGCTCTGATTGATACCCTCAAAGGAGCGTTGACATTCAGCGTTCCATAACCACCTCTCGTTATTTTTCAACAAACGAGAGAGGTGCACAGTCATCTCGGCGTAATTGCGTGAATACTTATGCAAATACGCCGCTAGCCCAAGGAATTTTCGAAGACCTTTGACATCAACCGGCACAGGCCAGTCGGTGATCGCCTTGATCTTTTCGGGATCAGGACGTACACCGTTCTTACCAACGATGCACCCAAGAAGTGGTATTTCGCTTGCTGCAAATATACACTTCTTGAGGTTAGCATACAATTGATGCTTTCGCATGATTGTAAGAACTTGTCGGACGTGGTACCTGTGAGCCTCAAAGTCCGACTTTCCATCCATAGCTCGACTATGGATGAATACGTCATCGAAATAACTCGGCGCGAATTCTCGTACTGGTCTCAACAGATGTGATACACATCTGGTGAACGTGGCAGGGGCATTACTGAGCCCTTGTGGCATTACTAGACATTCCCAGAGCATGCCGCTAGGCGTGCTAACTGCGGTATAGGGTATATCCCGTTCCCGCATAAGGATTTGATAGAATCCATCCATCAAATCCATGGACGAAAAGATGGTACTCTTTGACATACCATCAATGATTACGTCCTTCCTCGGTATCGGCGTCTGAGCCGGTACCGTTGCAGCGTTCAATTTGTTGAACGCGTGCACTATCCGCCGCCCTCCTGTTGCTTTTCGCACACAGAAGGTCGGAGAGCTATGTGGGGAAGTTGATTCCCTTACATGGCCCGCAGCTAAACGATCGGCAAAGAACTTGTCGATCGTAAGTACTTGTTCACGAGGCAGTGGCCACTGCTTCATGACACAGTACTTCGAGCCTGGTTTAAGCTCGACCTCGTGTCGAATACCTTTATCCTTCGGTAATTCGCACGGAACAGTTTCAGGGAATACATCCTTGAATTCAACCAAATCTTCATAGAGAGGATTTGTCTTGAGCGATTCCCATGATTGGGAGTCATATCGCTCAATTCGTGTCTTTTTCATCTAGGACACTCTCGTCCATAGATGAACTACTGAGAACTCTCTCGTTCTCAGTGAACACTTTTCCTGACCTTATGTCGGTTACACACTCGTCGTCAGCGACGAGTATGCAGATCTGCTTGACTTTGCCCCTACGCATATCACGCAAGAACCTTTTATGTTCGAGCGTTGGCAACTGAGTGATCTCCGAAGTTAACTTCGGAGGCGCAATCAGATCAAGTGTATAAGCGCCTACACTTGATCCGTTATTGACTATGACATTTAATGTCTCTGTCATTTCCTGGGGACTTATTCCCTCAGGCTTCGAAGGACTAATTCCTTCGTCTTCCCGGGGACTTATTCCCGCGGGTTTCGGGGAACTTATTTCCGCCGTATTTGTAATCTTGGGACTTATTCCCTTTACTTCCTCTAGCTGGGGTTGCGCAACCACAGCGAGATCCTCTACGAAAGACTCTCCAGTCGATCTAGGATTATCGTTTCGCTTAACCTGAGCGATCGATTGTTTTTCTTCTAGATGTTCCCCGCTAGGGATACATCTTTGTCCCGGTCCACCCGACTTATTCGAGTGGTGGACCTTTGGCGCAGCCTGTGTTTCCTCACAGCCGCCGGAACTTTGCTCCGAAGTGTAACCGATTGGTACACTAAGGTTTTGTGCAGTCGTACTAACGACCGTACCACAAGTGAGGCCATCGCACTCACTCGTAGTACATCCACACGCTTGTGGACGCTCCAAAACGTTCATCAGATGGCCATCTGATGAACAAGCGGCAGGCATCGTTACTGTCCGATGTTGCCAGTTTACTCGTGGTTCGTACCTTCTGAGCCACGGTATTCCAAGGATGACATCAAATTTGTCATCCAAATCCAATACGATAAAGTCATCGTCATATTGGGTATCTTCTAGCGTATAGTGGATCTTCACTATACGCTTCATGACGGTTACGGATGCGCCTGTCGCAAGACGTACCGTCATCCTCGTAGGAGGTGTGTCACATTCACTGAATTTAAAGTGACCATCTTCTAGCGATTGGCGTCGCACAAAATTGTTGGACGCCCCACAATCGACTAGAGCTCGAAGGGACAACTTATTCGTCACTTCGAGTTTCAAGGTAATGAGTGAGACCTCATTACCTAGAGCAGCAACGCACAACGTTTGTGTGTTGGGAGCAACCTTCATCAAGAGGCCTACAAATTCTCTTGACGTTGCTAGACCAGTAGGGTGCTCCGCACCTACTGATCCTGTCCGTTTTTTGACGGTCCATCCCGTTGTTGCGTCTTTGCACCAACTGCGGACCCGCGTCCCTGCCCCTTTCTCATGGGTGGACGGTCACTACGCCCAGTGTCGCGAGACACTGGACGAGGGGCACTACACTTGTAAGCGTAGTGTCCTGTCTTTTGACATCTGTTGCATCTCTGCAACTTCTTGTAGTCTGTAGAGCGAGCCTTCTCGCTCTCTACATAACAGAGTTCCATCGGCTCTGGACCTCCGTTGTCATATCGTCTCGGTTGACGATATGATGTCGAGCTGGCGCGAGCCTGTCTCAGACTGAAGTCTTCCTGCTCCGCAATGGAAATGGCTTGTTCTAGTGAATCTAGTTCAAGCCGGAACAGGTGAGTCTTGACGGGACCATCCGCAAGACCCTGCATGAACACTGAAACCAACGTGTGTTCATCCACCGGATTGGAACTTATACAACTCGTGAGATGTCGTATATGTTGAGCGTAAGCGTGCACATCACGCTTACCCTGCTTGAGCTTCAAGAGTTCGGTTCGAGCCCTGAACTCAGCTCTAGGCGGTTCAAACGTTTGTCTGAGCCGCGACTTGAAGACTTCCAACGACCCAAACGCATATGGGTCGTGCAACTTGAGCCCCAGTGCCCAAGTCTTGGCACGTCCTGCCAGATTTGACTGGGCAAATGCAACTTGCATATCCCCGTCGTCGATGCGACGCGCCCTTATGGCGTCATCCAATTCGACGAACCATCTCAAGAGGGAGTCTTCTTCGACCCCCCTATACTTGGAGATGTCAATCTTCAAAGTCTCGGGTCGACGCGAGTGCATCGACCCACCAGCAGCAGCCTGCTGCTGTCTCAACAGTTCAAACTGTTGAGCACCTTGTTCTCTCAACAACTCTGCTTGTTGAGAACCTTGTTGGTGAAGCAAGGCTACTTTCTCGCGTTCTGCGTCAAGTTCATTTTGAATGAACTTGGCGATAGTAGCATGTTGGGCATCTCTATTGAGAGCTTCTATCATGACACTAACAGCATGGATGCCCATGGTCGAACCCATTCGTTCAACCGCATCCCATTCGACATCGCTCAAATGGGAGTAGCCGTCACGCGTAGCGTGAAAGCTTTGGTCATCTTCATCATCCAACATATTCATGTTGGATGTGAACGCGGTCCTTGGACGGACTACGAAGTGCTACCAGGTGTAACGGGGCACCCTGAAGCTTGTACTGGTGACAGTACAAGCTACTTATTCTGATGACAGAATAAGGCGGTGCCTCGTAACTTCACGTACACTGGTACGTGCAGAGGAAGACGGTAAGAAGAAGCGAGTACTTGGTTAGAGTAAAAAGTAGAACTGTATTTATAATAGTTAATGTCTGCAATAAATCACTATTTATCTTCATCTAACTATGTCTAAATACAAATGTGTAAATCAGTTATCTGCTCACCACTCATTGCGTGCGTCTGTCGTGGCGCGTCTTCGTTGGTTGATATAATGGCCTATATCAACCAATTAGGAACTACTTGTAAGTGCTACAGAATATTTGTCCTTATGACAATATTCTGAGAATATAACTCTTATAGTTATATTCTATTAACAATTTCTTATAAATTGTTATGTAACGGTTCACCCCGTTACAATTTCACTTCTACGGCCGACAGTAGGCACTAGGTAAACCCTAGTGCCTACTAGGACTTCTGTATACGCCTCGTAGCGCGGGTGGGGTCGCCCCAGTCTCCGTTGACGTTGCAATATGCACGCAAAATCTCAAGCACGCCAGGAAATGGTTGTTTCATAGACGAGATCGCTACATTATGCGTGGAAAGCCTGGACGTTTCAGGATACCGAGGCCTCGGCGCATTAAATGCTTTCTCCGAACCTCCCACATCCCCGGCGACATGTAATATCAGACGTTCCGCAGCCGGACATACGAGGGGAGGTCTGTGCTTAAATAGCTCCTCAGACGGAAGACATTCGGACAATCCACCAGCACCGCCGCGTATCATTCCAGCGATAAATGACCAACCTCGTTGCTAAAAACCAGGGATGAAAATAATTTTCTTCTTTAAAAGTACTAAGAATTTCCGACGCTCACAGCCGTGTACACGCAGGAGTACGAGTCGTTTTGGGCAGCCTATCGCTGGGATCTGAATCAATGGATTGCGGAAGATCGATAGCATGTGCTATCAACGAAAACCTACCCGCTGCTTAGAGCCGGTCGGCTCGAGAAATGACAAATTACGCGGGTGGCGACGCTAAACTATCGGATGAACATTCCGAGTAACGACTTGGGTAACTTCCACGCGATATCCAAATTTGGTCGTTGGGAGATGGCGATCCTTATGGCCCGCCCGGCTCTCCGAGTGGAGGAAAACCTCTGTGTAACGGCCCAGATCACGCTTAGAAACGGGCCTGGGGCCCTCGACCGATTTAGATGGACACCGATCAGTCCGGGTGTTGTCAGCGGTGAGCGTCTCGACCCCCACTGTCGGAACCACGCCAGCAACATTATTCAACAGAAGAGGAATGACGTTCACTGGGAGAGTGATCAAATGGTCGGTCTTCCGTCAGACAGTGCACATGACTAAGAAGAAATCCAACGGCGCACTCGCGGATGAGAGATAGTGTTAACGGCGCATCCGAAGCTACCTGCGTTTCCGTGGGCCTACCACCGACTGTCAACAAAATACACGTACATGACGCGTTACATCGCCATCCTTTCAGTCGGGTGAAACGACATACGGGATCGGCACTCATAGCAGTGCTAGCAAGAGTCCGACATAGAAACCAATTACACACAGGCGGGTATATCCCGCTATTCCAGTCGCCGACGCAGCTCTGGGAGCACCACCATAGCCTCACGGAATACCAAGTTGAGGTGCGCTACCGATCAGTTAAATATGAATACCCGGGCCGCGATCTGAATTCCACGTGCAAGCGGCATCTCACCTGCAGGGGGCAGCGTAGGGACCTTCTGCATATCCTCCGAGACTGCTTCGGGCTAAACCGTGATAGGGACATACATCATTGCCCAGTGGACGCGCTCTTTGGTAACAGACGCTCACTTGAGTCGGCACAAACAGGCTATGTATCTCGAACGGTCCAGGTCCTACCTTCGCGGGATGGACATCATGCGCAGGTTTCCCGATTCCACAGACGCCGTCGGCCGAGCCTGGAAACGGATCAGGTGGATTGCTTGCTCGGTCTGCGTCACGACGCTCTGGATTCAGCGAAATCGAAGTGTCTTCGAGCAGGAACACGTGACACACCGTCAGGCGGTCGCAGAAACTAAACACTTTTTACTGCATTAACTTCAAGCGGTAGCGGTCTAGGAAAGACAGCATGGTAGGGACGATATCAATATATTCTTCTTCCAACAAGATACGGAATTGCTCCAGGACACTGTTGTCCATCAGGCGGCAATTCATGAAAGCATCTCTAGGCGAAAGGAGTCATCTCCAGGATCCCTTGAGAGGCTCATGGTGTTTCAGAAATCTTGTAAGCCGTAAGGGGTCAATAGACAGGCTGGTTTTCATCATCGTCGGAATGGTATAAGGCAAATGCTAAAGGCTGGGTTAATTTTTATTTGACTGGGTCATTCTGATTCGTTATCAGAAGTAGCTCAGAAATATGCCCGATTTTTGTCAGTTGTAGATCCCAAGTGCTCATTCACTATTACTGTTTACTCACTTGCCCATGCAAAGTCACTCTTTGGCAAAGTCACTATTGTGACGCACGATTGTGATTGGGATAAACTCGATCTAAGATGAATATGATCATGTCACTAAACACTGGACGCTCATTCGCAAAGGCTGATCGCGTTACTCGAGTACGTTTTATGCATTAATTTAGACATGAACGGCATCATACTCATTCTTCAGTGCCTGCTGCTCTATAGTGCTTTGCAACTTGATTTAGTTCTCCGAACTGGATTACTTGTATCAAGGTGCGAGCCTCAGAGCTTGCTTTCCTATCTTTTACAGACAGACACACTCATGAGGGGACAGACTAGATTGTACTTAGTACGACGTGTAAGGTACGCCTAGCGTTTTCCACAGTCAGACAGATAGACCGGAGGTTTTTGGAGCTCGGCATGATCCTTCCGCACAGTCACATATCACTTTATCCTGCGGGCTAGCAATAACATGGCAGTCTGACCGATTGGAGGCCTCCGAATTCAAGTACTTGTTCGATGATGAGAAGTGAGGGTCTGTAGCGTAGACTGAAGGCTCATCATACAGCCATCCAATGCTATGGATGAAAAGTGGTTACAACTTGAATAACTCGATAAAGTAGTCTACCCTGACAAGAAGGCACGTGCAGCTGCACGTGGACACAGGCAGTCTTTCAATTGGAGCCCGTCCCCCGACCAGAACCCACTAAACCCTGATTTAAATCCAAGGCTCTGTTTATGCTCACATTCTAGTACATCTCTTGTTCTTTGTATGGTAGATGCATCCGGTCCAGTCGCTAGGCCCTCGACTGCGCGTCTAGCCGTTCGACTTCCGCGCGTCGAGCTCCCTTCCATATTGTCTTTTGACTTGCCGAGCTTACGTGCCATCCCAAGCCCCGACCACGCCCTGCAATGAAACTCAAGGGTTTGCTTTCCGTTGCTCTCGCCGCCATCATTTCCAATCCGGTGGTCAGCCAAACGGTCGACGGGTGTCCCATATCAAGCCCATGTACAAGTTTGCCTGCGAATTTCCACAAAGATGTCGAGGCCGCCTGCCCAGGCGAGGTGAAACACTATGATTGCTGCTTAAGAGAATGCGCCAAGAGAACTTGCAAGAAAGATGATGTCTGCAATACTCAAACTCGAGTCACGCACGGTTCACGACTCTGCGCCACATATTGGGGAGACGGCGATGAGTACAAGAATTGCTGCAAAAGAAGTTGTCCGTTAGCTGATTTGTTCCCGGGGGCGGCTTTGGCTCTTTAGTGAGTAGTAAGCTTTCAGCTCAGTGTCACTGCCTTTCAGTGGATCAGTCGTGAGCCCACCTGCCTTTATTCGCCAGAGCAGTGACGGTAGCTTTAAGCTGAATGCAATTGTTGCGGGTGTTGCTTGTCTCCCTCTCGTGTTCTTTTCTTCGCTTCTTTGTTGTCCTCTGCCCTCATCGCTAGTTGAGTTTAGCTGTAGGACAAGATGCACGGTAAGCAGTCGAGGAGCTCAACAAACGGATAACAACTACGGCGCCAACCCCTTCGCGAACAGCAGACGTCAAGAGCCGTAGCACGCACGGGCAGGAGATCCAAAATCGCGTCGAAGAATGCTGCATTGGACGCAGCAGGAGAAGGCACGACCCGAAGCGGAGACCAGGCGCTCCGTGCTGCGCTGCACGGTGCGAACAGTAGCGAGTGAAACGAAGATGATGATGGTGATGATGACGGCCGTGTTACGCGGTCGGTGCTTCACTTGAAACGTCGCACGACTGGATCGCCCTCCCCTTCCTCCTCTCTCCGCTCCTACTTTCGGGAAGCGGCCGTTCAAAGGCAGATCAGTGACCGACACGCGGCTGGAGCTTGCACTGGTGGATACTCGACGGGAAAGGTGGTGCTCACTCGTGTCGCTCTCACTCTTTTATCTGCTCCTTGTGCTGCTGCTTTTAGCGGTGCGTCTGCTGACAACGTTCGGGGAGCAAGGTCACCTTTGTCTCGTGCTGGAGCTTTTCTAGGGCCTTCTGTGCTCAAAGTGAGACGGTGGTGGGATCCGTAGCGTCGGGCACTAGCTCAGTGGAGCGGAAGCAGCTTCGAATCCATCGTTACAGCTCTTGAACCGCACGCGGCAGTTGTTTGCTCTTCCTGTGCTTGTGGTAATCACGCAGCAGACCCCTGGAGTATGGACGTGGATGGATCTCTGACGTGGCCAAGTGGCTAGCCCCACCTGTGTCTTTACTAGACATACGGCAGGTGGCGGAGCATCTCTGCGGAGCACTAGCTTTTCTCCGTGACCAGGGAGGGACTCATCCACACAGACATCAAGCCAGAGAACTTGGTGCAGTCAAGTCTGGAAGCTCCATTGAGACCGTCGACGTCAACGTCGTTGGCATCCTCGTTACCAGTCAATTTGGTGGACTTTGGCAACTGCTTGGATGCGGACGAGCCAGCGGCGTATGCTGACGTGGACGCTCGTGGGGGCTTTGACGTGCAGACTGTCACGTATCGTGCTCTACAAGTGACAGCAGGTCTCTTGCTCTGCTCGAAGATGGATATGTGGTCGATCGGGTGCCTCCTCTTGGAATGCGTGTTGGGAAAACCGCTGTTCACACTGCCACCTCTCGAGACGTCGATGCGAGAGCGTGCAGACGTCATGAAGGTTGAGAACGCCAATCTCTTGGAGCAGACCGAGCACGTCGTGACACACAGAGTCTTGCTGGATGCTACATATGCCCCGTATCAGTCTGCTGCATGCTACACTGAGGAAGCTCCCGAGAAGTGCCGAAGGGTTGGCCATGACAAGCAAGCGGAGACATTGCAAGCACGTCTACAAGCCGTAGATCCCGGGCAACACCGATTTTACGACTTTGTTTGCAGTCTATTGGACGTCAACCCCGCCACGAGAGTCGATGCAAAGCAAGCACACTCTTCCTTCTCTTCCTGCAAGCCTTCTTCCCGTTCGGAACTGTGTTTGCTCGATCAGAAGCTCATCCAGCTAGCTCAGAACGTGAGATCCGTCTTCCTGCTGCACTTGCATAAGGAATGGCGATCTCGATCACGCGAACACGAGGTACGAAAAGCTTTCGACCGAGTACGAACGCGTCAAAAGTCAGCCACGACGGCGACATTGACTCGCAATTAAGACTTGCGTCAGGTACTGGAAATTATACGGACGTCAGCGCTAGCTGACCGTCGATATCGTCGTCTGCTGATGCTCAGCACACAGCCACCTCACGGCTTAATAGTCCAGGAGTCCAAGTCTGCGATGTCTGATAGTCCAGAGTCCGAGTCTGCGATGGCTGAGGCTCCTCGAGGCGCGCTGATCCCATACGGCCTTAAAATGTCGTACGCAAACTGTTTTTGCCTCTACACGTTCGCGAAGGGTGCAGAAGGCCGCTTCCTTGCAGATTGCTGCAACGTCAGCAACCGTGAACGTGCGAGAGCTATGATGAATAAGCATTGCGAGGTCAGTTGAGTTAGTATCGAACGCTTTTCCGCGGTAGCAGTTGACACGAATGCAGTGTACTGTACCCTTTTGGTCATGCCGCAAGTTCTTGTATGCAACGCCTGAAGCGAGCGGCCTTTTCTCTTGTAGACAGCAAGATGTTCCTGGTTGGCGCAAGCGTCGCTTCGTCACCTTAGCCCCACAGATTACCACTTGCAATAGCGCTGTGTACCTCAATGTCGTCTTGTGTTGAAAATCCCAACTCGACAGTCTTGTCAATTCGGCCAGGATGAATCAGGCAGCGTCCAGCGCATTTTCTTGGTTTGTTGCGGCCACGACAAGGATACCACAGCTTTCGATGACTCGATTGAATCGCCATCAAGAGTCGATGTGGCATGCGCTTGAGCAGTCGCGTGTCGACAGATTCGTACGATGTCGCAAGCCACGTAGCCCCCACTAAGTGCCGCCAATCGCGACGCTATAATTTCGACATGATCATCGCCTTCACTGTCTGTTCCTCTTTCTAGTGGCAGCCCCATCAGATGCCGGTGCACTTGCAGTCGTCCCAACAACAACTAAACGCGTGAGGCGCACACTGAGTTCGTCAATTAATCGGAGCAATGCGCTGCCAAGTGACGCAAACTGCGTCTCGGAGCCGTCGGCGAGCTGGTCATCATCGAATCAATTCGAAGGGCATGTCCAAGTCATCGATCAGCACAGCGCCAGCACATGGCGATGGCCCGCGTTCGGTCTCGACGTCAGCTTGAGATCTAAATTGTGGGAAACGCTGCTCCAGTGCGTGAACCAAGTACTCAAAAGCCGTTGGAAATGCTGAACCTCCATCCGCCATGAGCAACGACGTACCGTCGATTCACCAAGTAGCAATCCTCTCGTGATCAAGCTCCCGCTGCAGAGCCAATAGTGCCAGCGATTTCCCACACCTCGTACTCCCGAAATCCGTAACCCGTGAGAGCCAACATGGTTGATCGCCACGCCGGTATCAAGTCTTCTCTGTTCAAGCTTCAGCACCAGGGCAACTTGAAACAGCACGTCTTACACAAAGGCAGTGAGTGTATCCTGCAAAGCCAGTTTGCCACCGCCAAGTGTTGAGCTCGCACTCGCACGATGAAGCTGCCGCTCTAGTAAATGCCTTTTATTGCATGCTCCGTGCCGCGACCTTCTCCGTCACTCCTGCTGTAGCCTGGTCGTCAGCCGACACTTGCTGCATTGCACTCCATCCTTTCACAAACAGGTGCAACTTGCACACCAAATCTCGCTTCCTCTCGATCCCGTCGACCTGAAAGAAAAGTACGTGTCTTCCAGAAGCCTCATGGGTACAACTTGTCCTTCCTGAGGAGCGTCAAGCACTCGTGCAGCACATATTTGGCGTGAGACCGAAGCGTGAAGCCATTAGGGACTGTGCGCAAGGTGAATCATGTACAAGTGTATTTATATGCACAAGTTACAAGGGAAGGACTCTGTTTCAATTCCTTTGTACCTTACAAGTGACAGCAAGAGGATCGTGCTACAAATATTTGTACGAGCAAATGTCGAGCTAAGGATGCGGATATTGTTGTTTGTACTGACAAATGTAGCAAGATAAAACGTGATCAACTATACGTGTACGTACAAGTTAGGGACTCGATTAGAGGTACAGATATTTGTACGCTGCAAATACTATCTATCTGTAGTGACAACTATGTCCATTCCTGGCGCTCACAAACACTGATCCTCATCGATCACTGAGTGACTTCACTACTCTCCGTCTTGCTTAGAGCGACGGAATCCTTCATGTTTTCTGACAAGCAGATCATTATCAGTAAAAGATGTGGAGCCTATTCTATGTAGTAGAACTATCGGTAATGCTTCCGCTCAATTCTCATTACAAATAATAAAGATCTTTTTATCACTAGCAGCTTTATTTTGGTTAATTGTTGCTGTCCATTCTCTCCAGACTCTCCGAGTTCCATGTCTCATGGCATCTCATCCTGAAGGGCAGTGTACAATTTGACGCGACATTGCCAGCCAACTACTGCAATCATAGACGGAAGTATTCGCCGTCATCGATACACCAGTAGCAGTAGCAGAAATGACTACGCCCATGATGGAGTTGTGGTAGAAAAAAAGTCATTTCGAGAGCAGCTAAGTCCAAATGAAGATGTTAGAAGATCTATTGCATTATTTGTGATACGAGGAAGGTGGTGTGAGGAGTATACGCTCGCTAAAGGGCCGAAGAAAGCTCTGAAGAACCGCATCGGTAGCCTCCTCATCTTTAGCATCATTATTGTGTCCCCTCGTCTTGAGCGTTATGAAAATGTCACAAAGAAACAGCAGGAGAAGAACGAGAAAAAAGAAGGATACACTCCCTTTGTTACTAGAAGAATTAGGTAGGTAAGTAGGTACTGGAGGTAACCAACAATCATGGGTGATTATATCTTCTATCACCAGGACTCGAGTACTACTTGTACATAATTTATTTACACAGGCACTTGTATTTGTGTTTGCACCTTCAATTATTTGTTAGACTACAAATAGCGCCATGGGAATCTCGGACAAGTACACTTGTAAATACAAATGCTCAACTCTTAAGCGTGATACAATTCTTTGTACCTATGAATATCGACCAAGCCGTCTGGTATAAATGTAGTTGTACCTACAAATATGTCAAACGAAGAGTTGTTCGAACATACTTGTACTTACAAATCTCTGGTCAGCGATCGTGCACAAATCAGGGCTGGAAATAATCCGATTAATTTAGGCGAGGCCGACGAGTTTTTGGCTCGATACATTAAAACCCGATTACGGGGCAAAACATGGTTTTATCTAGCTCGATGAGCAGCCGCCTTTTATGTGACTCCACCTTTCTTGATCAGTCTGTAGTAATCAGGGCATTCATCATCAGTCATCCCGTTCATTAGTGTCTCTAAATTATTACAAAAGTTGAGGTGTACCTTGGCGCTATCGCTCTTCTTATGGTGACCAACCATGTTCTTCCATTGCATTTATTGGCACTCTTGGCATTTTGTGGAGACGCATCATCTGTAAATTAGTTCCAGATCACGCAAGCAGATCGAACGCGTTCCGTTCCAAATCCGTATTTCCATTGATATATCGTCATCAACTATGATCATTTCGAAGTCCAACGTGGCGACCTGCTAGTCTCGCTGCTAAAGGTCGAGCACGTCGTCGTTGACGTTATTGACATGCACGTCAAACTGGCTTAGAGAAAACGACGATTTCGACATAGTAGTAAGGACGGCTAGAGGGTGCTAATCTTGCTAATGTAGTAATGATAGAGTAATTGTTTTCTGGCGTCCTTGCAGTTGCAGGGATCAACTGCTGGTCGGATCGTGCGTGAGCACCACGATTATCGGGGAATAGACCAAATAAAACCTGATCCAGGAAGATCGGAGGCGGTTGGGTTTATAAAAAATCAATGAATATAGATTATCAGATCCACTTGGTGCCAGCCCTGGCACAGATACACTTGTACCTACCAATAGTGCTACCTACAACTACATTTATTTGAAACTACAAAAAACCTTGTATTTTTACAATGTGTAACGGGGTAGCCCGTTACATGATGTTGACACCAAACGGTGTCAATGGGGAGATTGTCTCGCGTGACTATTCCCTGCCAATATTATCTGAGATAAGTAATATTGAATGAATATTATTCCCTTTGTAGGACATAGTTCATGCGCTGCTCAAAGATTGGTTGATAAAAGACACGTCAACCTAAATTACCGCCAACCGCTGCTAGACGCGCGCAATGAGTGGTGACTAGGTTGTCGTCACACGACAATGTAGTTTAATCTAGTCAGATAAAGACTGGAGTTATACTGATAGCTTAACTACATTAGATACAGTTCTCTTTTTACCTTTACTTGACCGAGTCGTTTAGGTAGATTAGCTTCTTCTGCACGTACTAGTGTACGTGAAGCTTCGCGACACCCTAAACAAAGGGTGACCCGTTACACCTGGTAGCGCTTTGTAGTCCGTCCAACGACTACTTAGTGTCCGTCCAACATGAACATGTTGGACGTAGAAGACGACAGTTTTACGTCACACGTGAAGGCTACTCCCATCTGAGTGACTCAGAGTGGGATGTAGTCGGCCGCATAAGTATGCTCATGGGCGAACCCGCCATCAGCGTTATGTTGGAGTCTCTAAGCAGAGACCAGCAACGTGCCGCTATCAACAAGTTCCTACAAGGGGAACTTGCCGTCGGAAGACAGAAGATAGCCTTGCTACAACAGCAAGGCTCTCATCAGTCGATGGGTCGGCCGACGCATATGCGTTGACCCAAAATCTTGCAGATTTTTATCTTTTGGTACAAGGGAACTGATGAAGATTCCCTTTTGAGACGGTTTGTCGAGTTAGACGATGCCATCAGGGCCCGTCACATCGAGGGTGACGAGATGCAAGTCACCTTCGCCCTGTTAAATTTGAAAGGACGAGCAAAGATTGGGGACTAAGAGCCCAAGCATCACGACCCAAACTTCTTTTAGTCGTTGGAGACCTTGAAGTCTCGGAATAAAGAGACGTTTGATCCGCCACGAGCCGAGTCCAGAGCACGCTTGCACTCCTGAGGCTCAAACAAGGTAAGCGTGACGTGCACGCTTACGAACAGCACCTGCGCTACCTTGTGGGTAGCGCCACGGAATACCCTGTTGATGATCACACTCTCATCAACTTGTTCATCTACGGTCTTGTAGATGGACTGGTCAAGACCTACAAGTTCCGAGAGGACTTCCATACGCTGGAAAAGGCGATAGCGTATGCGGAACAAGAAGACTTTGGCCTGAGACAGTCTCAGGCTAACTCGTCAAATTATCGTCTGACGAGACGACACTAAACCGGAGGTTCCGAAACCAATGGACCTCTGTTATATCAAGCCAAGATCTCTAGTTCTCTGAGTCACAAGCGAACGGTCAGGTGCCATCGCTGTCAGAAGATCAAACACTACGCTTAGTGCCCCAAGCACCGCATCACGTCCAAATACAGGATGTGGTGACCGCCGCCAGCCAAAGAAAAGTCCGAAGCACGGATCCGACCATGTCGCTAAGCCGCGACAGCAAGTCGGATTGCCGAAAAACGGTCAGGGTCAGTAGGGGCGGAGCACCCTGCTGATCCAGCAACGTCAATAGAATTTGCAGGACTCTTGACGAAGATTGCTCCCAATGCACAGTCTCTGTGTGTTACTGCCCCTAGTGATGAGGAGTTTCTCATCACTTAGAAGATCGAAGTGACAAGTGGAATGTCACTTCGCGCCCTAGTTGACTGTGGGGCGTCAAAAAATTTTGTTTGAAGCCAGTCGCTAGGGGATAGTAGGCTCAACTATGTTGAGCGAGAGTTCCCTTAAAACGAGGATGACGGTGTGCCTTGCTACAGGCGCATCCGTAACAGTGCACAAACGTGTAGTGCTAATCCACTACACGCTAGAAGATACCCAATATGACGATGACTTTATCGTACTAGATTTGGGTGACAAATTTTTTGTCATCCTCTGTCTGACTTAACTTAAAAGATACCGGCTGTGGGTTAGCTGGCAGCATCGATCCGTGTAGATACCTGCCGTTCGATCATCGGATGGCCATCTGATGAACGTCATGGAGCGTCCACAAGCGTGTGGATGTACTAAGAGTGAGTGCGATGGCCTCACTTGTGGTCCGGACTTTAGTACGACTGCGCAAGATTAATGTGTAGAAGGACACTGCACTGTGGAACCAGATTCCGGCACCTGTGTAGAGACACAGGCTGCGCCGAAGGTTCACCAATCGAAAAGATTGAGTGGACTGAAACATGGATGTACACCAAGCAGGGTGCATCCAAGAAGAGAGATGGGTGTTGTTCAGGATGAACAACACGTTACAGCGAGATCTACTATCAGAGAGTCGATCGTAGAGCAAGCCCGATCGACTGAAAGAGAGTGGATCGAAGAGGTGACTGTGGTAGTGCACTCACAGTCAGTACACGCATTGGAAAAAATTATAGCGTTCCTGAGAGTGATAACCTTCGAGAAAGTTATGTTGAGGGTGTGGATCCCCAACCACCTGCAGATGTGTTTTTCCAGGAAATCAACGAGACAGTGAATGTCTTGGTGAATGACGGATCAAGTGTATGCGCTTATACACTTGATCTGAGAACACCTCCGAAGTCAGCTTCGGAGTTAATCAAGTTGCCGATGCTAGTATCTAGACTATTCTTGCGAGATCTGCGCAGTGACGAGATCAAGCAGATCTGCGTACTCGGCACAGAGGACGAGTACGTCGCCAATATTCGGTTGGCACAAGTTTTTTCTGAGAAAGAACTGCCTCTTAGCAGCTCATCGATGAACGAGATTGTCCTCGATGGGAAGACCCGGATTGGTCAATACACGTCTCAATTTTGGGACTCTTCAGAAAGAAATCCTTTGTATAAGGATTTGGTGAAATTCAGGGATCTTTTCCCTGAATCCGTGCCATGCGAGCTGCCTAAGAACAAAGCCACTCGGCTTGAGATCGCACTGAAACCCGGTTCGAAGTACTGTGTCATGAAGCAGTGTCTACTGCCTCGTGAACTGGTCACAGTGATCGACAAATTCTTTGCCGATAACTTAGCGGCTGGTTATGAGAAGGAATCAACATCCCCACACAGATTTCCGACCTTCTGTGTGCAAAGGACTACAGGAGGGTGGCGGATAGTGCACGTGATCAACAAATTGAACGCTGCGACGGTACCAGCTCAGACGCCGATACCAAGGAAGGACGTCATCATAGATGGTGTAGCAAAAAGTACCATCTTTTCGTCTGGATCTGATGGCTGGATTCTATCAAATCATTAGGCATGAACGAAACATCCCATACACAGCAGTGAGCACCCCCAGTGGCATGCTCTGGGAGTGGCTAGTGATGACACAGGGGCTATGTAACGCCCTTGCAACGTTCATCAGATGTGTTACGATTCTGTTGCGATCGGTTTGAGACTTCGCGTCGAGTTCCTTTGACGATGTATTCGTCCACAGCCGGGCTATGGATGGAAAGACGGACGTGAAGGTTCAAAGAATCCACGTCCGGAAGGCTCTTACACTCATGAGTGAGTACAGGATATTCGCGAACCTCAAGAAGTGTATATTCGCAGCAAACGAAATACCACTTCTTGGCTGCATCGTGGGTAAAAACGGCGTATGCCCTGATCCGGAAGATGTCATGGCAATTGGCGACCAGCCTGTGCCAGTCGACGTCAAGGACTTCGGAAGTTTCTTGGCATAGCGGCGTACTTGCACAAGTACTCGCGCAACTACGCCGAGATGACCGTGCACCACTCTCGTTTGTTATAGAATAACGAGAGGTGATCATGAAGGTCTGAGTGTAAGCACTCCTTCGAAGGTATTAAGAAAAGATTGATACAATCGCCTGTGTTGGTGATTGCGGACCAAGACAGACCATTCCACGTGGTCTGCAACGCCAGCGTTTTTGCAATCGGCTGCGCGTTAATGCAGTACGACTCATACGGCGTTGAGCGCATCGTCTATTACCGATCGCGTCAGCTGCAAGCAGCTGAGCGTAACTACCCAGTGCATGACAAGAAAAAAATCCTTGCAATGAAGTATGCACTGGCTAAGTTTCGGGTTTGTCTCTTAGAAATCAGGACCTTGACCGTTTGTACCGACCATGCGTCGATACGCACGGCCGTAAGCATTCCTTACCTCTCGCAACAAGTGGGGAGGTGGTTGTCTTTCTTCGTGGAGCACAGTTCAACCGTTGAGTTATAACCAAGACGACTTAATGTCGTCGCTAAAGCTCTTTCGCGTCGACCCAATTTCGATCCGACTGCTCAACCCAACAGTAGGAGTGATCCCACAGTTGCGACACTATCAGTGAGTGTTCCGTCGTCGAAATTGCTCAACGACGTGCGAAAAGCACACGCAGAAGATGAGTCTCTTCTGCGATTAGTAAATTACGTGTCTAATCCATGCAGTCAAGCTTTGAAAATATTGACGTCTCAATACCGCTCCTCAACCGAACGGTACTCAGCTCATGATGGGCTTCTGTACTGAATTGAAGTCAACGGTGACACACCTCGTGTCATCGTTCCCGCTCATGATGATTTGCGACTGCGCATCATGTACGAGTTTCACGATGCCCCAACAAGTGGGCATCACGGTAGAGAAAAGACTTACCTCACGGTAAGTCGTGACTTCTAGTGGCCACGCCAGTATGAGTTTGTGCGCAAATACATTCGCGCTTGCGAAGTTTGTCAACGGGTGAAGCCTATTCATTCATCCCGTGCACCCGTGCAGCCTCTAACGATTCCGGCAGAGTGTTGGCAGTCCGCATCGATGGACTTCGTCTTCGGGTTTCCCAAAGCCGTTCACAAAAAACTGGTATTCTTGTGTTTGTTGATCGATTCGGCAAGATGGTGCATCTTGTTTCCGAACCGGAGTCAATCACAGCCCAGGGCTGTGCGCGTGTCTTCATCGATACTATCTTCCGACTTCACGGGTTAACCCGTGAAATCATTTCTAAGAGGGATCCCAGCTTTACAGCGGATTTCTGAGAATCTGTGTTCCGTGCACTCGGAACACGTTTAAAGATGTCGACTTCTGACCATCCAGAAACAGATGGTCAGACGGAACGCGTCAACCGCGTTCTCAAATAGATACTTCGAGGGTATGTCCACTAGTTAACGAGTTGGAGTGAATTAATGCCGATGGCGGATTGCGCCATCAACTACTCGGTGCATGAGTTTACAGCGCATAAACCGTTCTTTGTGAATGGCCTACGCCATCCACATTTACCCGCATTCTTAGAGTGTAACTTTAGTTTAAGGGGGTGTGGACTCGCTCGAACGAAAACCGATCCGATTCTTGCTCATCGCGCGTCGACAATGGTGTAGACGTGATGGATGCCGATGTCGATCACATCGACACCGATGACGATGATGACGACGATGCTGGTATATTCAGCATCGCCAACAAATGCCACAGTGAGGACGATGACGCCCTCACTGGTGAAGACAACGTTCTTTCAGCAGTGCACACGAAACGCACTGCTGTTGACAAGGATAAATCAAGCAGAGGATTTTCGCTGACTCACGAAGCGGTTGTCCACTTCGTTCAAGACTCTATTGCAGATGCACTAGACAGACAGAAGAGAAACGCAGACAAACATGGAAGATAAAATGTTCTTTCGTTTGATGAAGCAAATTTAGTTTGACTGTCTACAGTAAATCTACCGAAACATGCAGTGACAAACGTGGGCAGCAGTAAATTGCTGCTCAAGTTTATCGGTCCATTTTGTATATTGCGCCACAGGGGTAACATGTACACAGTTGAACTGCCTTGTAGGATGCGTACGCATCCTACGCTTTACGTTGGACGTATCCGCCCGTACTATCAGTACGAGCCCGTTTCGAGAGGCAAAAATACCTCCGCGGTCAACGGTTGAAACCAACTTTAAGTGGTTCCGTTCGAACGAGCCAATCTGGTCGACTAGCGAAGCGACCTACTCACGCAGTTGAGCAATGTCTCGACGAGCTCCAACCAGCTCGTCACGAAAAGATCAAGTCGAACGTTCGTTCTCAAGTTGTACGAACGCAAACGCGGCACGATCGTCCGAACGATCGTGCGTTAAGAAATTTTAATTATCCCTTACAAGATCATAAAGCATATAACGCCGAGTCCGTTTTTGAGCCAGGTCATCTTGCAACTGTTCCGTTACACGGTTCAGCTCCTGAACATCAAGCTGATCCGACCCTCAAGCTGGATCAGGTGTTCCCGCCTCCACCACATCCTTTGGTGGACTCTGGCGGGGGTAAACGCTTTCTGGTGGAGCGCATTTTGAACCACCGCGACGCGAAAAGCGTTCGAACGAGTTATCTTGTCCGCTGGTGTGGCTATCCACCGGCCTGGGGCAGCTGGGTGCCTTGTGCTCAGCTGATTGTCGATGTTCTGGGTCCCGTCAAGTAATGTGACGAGACCCACCCGCTGCGTTCGAAAAAGGGCCGCCGGAAAACGAACTCTTCAAACGCGAGTACAGAGGTTGCAAAGTGGCGGTCTCTTTCGGCCACCTCAGCGGAGATGTGCGCCATCCAGCAGGTAACATTAGGGATGCATGCCTCCCTAGGGGCACGATTCGACTTGTCCAAGCAACTTGTCCACAAATTACCCCACGAGAGACAGGGCAACGATTCCTCTCTTGGCAGTCGGTGCAACTTGTATCTTACACCGGCTGAGTTACGTTTTTTCATACCTGATGCGAGCTGCGTCAAGTTTACCGATCCAGACGTCACGGCAGATGCACTTGATGTTATTGATGGAGTCATTACATCCCAGCACCAAGACCTTTCCGTCTCTGTCACGTTTGCCGTTGTACCACCAATGTTAAAAGAACACATCGATTAAGAATTATTTCTCAGCACGGATAGTTCCGTGCTGGAATTATGAGGACAGATCCTCCTACAATCGTACAACGGGATTCGATCCCATCCAGTGGTCACAACGACCACTCGTTCTAACTCCTTGAAGAATGGCATCCATAAAGACTCTACTTGAGGAGAATGGCGCATGACACTGTGGTCCTTGGCCTCTTGTGTGGTGTCAGCCTGAGCACTGACACCAGTAGCAGCTCAATTCCATAAGTTGGTTCTATCGTGGTGACGAAAAGGCGCATCGCCACCATCACCACGCGTCCTATTGTCAGGTATAGTTGCTTTTGAGGCAAGGATTCGTCAGACGAATCGCTTGATCAAGTATATCGGGCATTATAGCGCCATGTTTCCCAGAGCCATTCAACCTGGCTCTGGCAGTGTCCGCCCCGGGCAATCCAGAGGCAGGAGGCGCCCTATAGAGTCGGATGCCTCATCCGACTCGCCTGTACAAGTGAGCTCTATTTCAGGCTCATCCACATTGCTAGTCGAAACACCCGTTGCAGACGCGACGGTTGTATCTGTCGCACGTCGTAGCTCAACACGTGGAACAGTCGCAACAGGCACTTTCTGTTGCTCACTTGCAACAGCAGTAAATGATTACATGCTGCTGAGGCTCGAGAAGTACTCTCTCCGGCTGCACATATGCGTGCAGCCGCATATCTTGCTGCTGCAGTCGCAACTCGCTTGGGTTTCGAAACCATGCGTTGGATTGGCAAATGAAAGAAATTTGACCGACAAGTACTCCCTTTCCCAGAGTGATCCAACGGTGGTCACCCTGTCTTAAATACTTTAATTCAATCAACGGGTGATTGATGGGTAAGGGGGAGATGAAACGGGTAACCCGTTACATTAATTTGACACCAAACGTTGTCTATGGGGAGTTTGTCTAGCGTGACAATTCCCTGCCAATATTACCCGAGATGGATACTATTGAAAGAATATTATCCTCTTGCAGGATAACATTCATGCGCAGCTCAAAGATTTGTTGATAAAGACATTTCAACCAAGATTATCACAAATCGCTGCTAGACATGCGTAGTGAGTGGTAAGCAGGTTTTTGTCGTACGACAATATAGAAAAATGTAGTTAGATAAATGCTGAAGCTATATCTACAGATGAACTGTAATAATATATATTCTCTTTTTACCTTAAGTCAAACTGCTTATTTTAGTTGATTAGCATCCTCTGCACGTACTAGTGTACGTAGAGTTTCGTGGCACCCCAAACTAAGGGTATCCCGTTACATAAAATGTGAAGCACCTGCATTGACAGCATCATATGTTCAGGATCGGGATAAGCAGGCACGATGGATGTGGTACGACGTGCCAGATCAAGTTGGTGTCAGCGACTGTTTTTATGTGTAAAAGAGGGCAGTACACAAATGAAGGAGCTGCAAAGATAGGTGAAGAAGCTTGTAGCTACCAACAGGCAGGAAGCGAATCGTCGGAGTGGTGGTAAAGGGTAGCGCAACGACGGTAAGTCAACCTAGTAAGAGCGGCAGATACAGCGACATAGTGTGCGATAGCAAGCGGAATAGCTGGAAATAGCGACAAAGTTTAAATTTTAGTTTTCCTTCTACCTCGTTAAGTGCAAGCTAAACGTTGGACAACAGGTTATGAGCCCAAGACCCAATGGCTCCTCCGATTGATGAAACGACGACTTCTGCACCTGCAGATCACGTCCACTATAGGGCCATTGTTGTTAGTAAAAACAATGCCCAAGAAGAGGTTGCAAGGACGAACGGAAGGATCCTAAAAAATTACCGTGCTCACGGATCGGGTGTAAGCGCTCGAGGCGTCGCAAATGCAGATCGACGAGGACGAGCGACTGCGAGGCACGATCGACAGTGGCTTCTTTGTGTCAGCGCTGGGACGCGGCATGGGCGGTACGACTTAACATCGTGACGCTCTCGGATATGACGCGCCAGGCCGATTTTGTGGACGTGTTCTAGTGAAGCAACCAGGTGACTTGCTGTTTCAGCTGTTCGGGCCACAGTCGGTCCACGACAGCCAGCGCGCGCTGCTCGACCACAACACTGGACTATGCGCAAGTGTTCCTCCAGAGTTTGAAGACGTTAATGCGCCTAAGTCACCAATGCAGCAAGCACCGGCGCAGGAGATTCCGTTGCATGTCCTGGACGCATGTCAACGCAAGCTTGCTATTCGCAAGTTTGATGGCACGGAACTGTACCAGGGTCTCGGATCGGGTTTTGCTGACTGGGGTAGCACGTCTTTGCGCCAAGTCACAATGGCGCAGCAGGCCTGCGAATTTGCATGATCTGAAGATGTCAAGGTCGACTTTCTAGTACACTATCTAAGTGGGACAGCAGAGCGTTACTACCAAAAACAAGTGGTCGTTTGGTAAGTCGCAGAAGTCTCTCTCGATTAAGAAATGGGCCGGTTGCTACAACCTTTTAAGACCACTATCACGGCGTCGCATGAAGCTTTTCACTGCAAGAAAGGATCCCAAGAGATCATGTCCCGAACAATACTTGTATACGGTTGCCGTATGCGATGCCTGTGGCGGAGGTGCAGAAACACAAGATCTCGACAAAATTGTCCACTATGCGTCGGCTAATCTTACAACAGTTTTATGCTCAATTACAACAATGATTAACACGATCATCTGCGCCAATCTGAAGAGCTTGCGCACTTTGCAAATTATGTAGATATTAAGAAATAATACAGGAAGGACGTTAGGGCGCGATTTAGTCGCCGCTGTCACTAATGAAAGACTTCGCAAGGAGACACGTTTATGCTACAATTGTGGCAAAAAAGGGCCATTAAAGATTGACTGTAGGTCAAAATCGAACGTAAACAAGAGCGCCAAGAACGACAACGAGGTGGTGCTTGCTGTTAACGACGACAGTGGCAATGATACCGACGACTGGATACTCGACTGTGGTGCAATTCGACACTTGGTGAATGACGATCGCCTGCTAATTATCACAGAGGTTTGCAACGATTTAGTCTTGCTAGCTGAAAAACGCTGAGGTCGGTCTGACCAGTGTAGGTAGCGCGAGACTCTCCGTGGTTGCCAATAGACAAGAAAAACCAGTCAAACTCACGGACGTCTGCTATTCAACGAGTCTGGCTTGCAACATCATCAGCTATAGGAAACTTGATCAAAAGGGGTACAGTCTTAAGTATTCGAATGGCAAGCGATCAGTATCTCGACGGAGAGATGACCAAGTTGCGTTCGACGTGACTATGAAGAATAGTGTGCTGATTGTCGAGACGGAGGAAATGATTGCACAAAAAAAGGGACACCGGATGTTATAATGGCTGCCATTCAGGAGAAGGCAGCAGATGAACTCACTTCGGAGATGCATCGTGACTCCTTGCTAAACTTTCATTAACGTCCGGGGCACCTGTCGTACGATGCAATTGAGTAGATCGCGAGGGAACTAAGCTCGGGTATTGACCTGACAAATTCACAAACGGATGACATGCATCACGTGCGCACAATCCAAGCAGACAAAAAAGCAGAACCAGACAGGCTCCGGAAGGAACGCCCCGATTGACCGCATCTTCGGTTTCATCTGCTTGATCTTAAAGGTCAACTGACGCCTGCATGTCGACTTGGAAATTCGATATTTGATTAATTTCATCGTTTACACGACCAACTTCTGTCGATCATTACTAGCGCGAACAAAGGAAGCTGCGGCAAAGAAGTTCAAGCACTTCTTGGCGTTCTTTAAACGGCAAGTTGAGTGGTGAACCGCAGATCTTAGAACAGATGGCAGTGGAGAATATCAGAATTTTGATCTGTTCAGGCGTTGCAAGACAAGTGAATGAAGCGCGGAATCAAGCGTCGAAAGGGTACCAAAATAATGCACAGGACCGTTCTAAACATGAAACGGGCGATGATTTTCGCGTCTGGGTTTCCACGGGGTGATGCAGCTGAATACTCCACGTGTATTCTGAACAGGAGCCCTACAATTCTAAATCCTAAGAGAGCGTCGCCGCTTGAACTTTTAACGGAGAGAGAGATTTCACGACATTCTATTAGCACATAACTATGCACAAGATGCCTGGAAACTTCTAAGCCAGGACAATAGATTTAGACCCAGTAGCATGCCGTGGCTCACTCCTGAAGATATCGGCCCGTCTCGAGGTTCGAGAGTAAAGAGGTCGATACAGGTATGCATGATATCCCCGGCAACAGCTGTGTCGGGACCGCGATGTTCGCGTTTTGCTAACGCCTTAATATATTGAATTTCCAGCGCCCAAAAACGCGCGGCGCTTTGAATAGCCGTCGACTGCACTCTTCGGAAAACCGCGTCGTTCCGCTCATTCCGTAAGTGTGTCAGACAAACGCTGCTCATACTAAGCTGAAGACGCTTCCTAACCGCGACACCAGCCTCCAAGTCCTGCGGAAGCAGATGCTGGAGCCGAAGAAGCTGTCTGACCGGTATCACCGGTGCTTGACGATTCACACAACCGAGGAAACTACGCGCTCCCCACGGCCACGCAGCCCGTTCCATATCCAATGGCCAATGAGTTTACCCCAGCACGCGCGCGCCTTGGTGCAGTCCCAAAAAATGTGAGCTGTCGTTTCTTTGCAGCCGTGACACGCCGATAATGCCCGGCAACTATTTTCCGCCAGACTGCCGGCATGGTTCAGATTGAGTTTCTTAGTGGCGATTCGGTAACACGTCCAGACCTGATGGTCCGAAAGGCAAATGGCATGCTTCCAAACGTGGGACGGGTCTTTATTTGCAGCAGCCCGCTGCCACTGATCGAATTTACAGACGCCGCACCAGCGGTCGCAATGCGACAGCAAGAAGTCGTTTATGAAACGTGAACGCCAGGCGTGAAAAAGCTATGCGCATAGCTGTATTCGCGACCGACTCGGCGACGGCCCAAGGGAAGCAATGATTCCCGGGATGGGAGTAAAACACGATGCCGTGACGACGCAGGCGTGAGGCCCACATGGATCTGTCCTGGTCATAATCAGTATCTAACTCCGGTAGGTGCGAGGTGAAAAACCAGCAAATTCCATCCGCGCATCCGCACTCTGCTGTAGTTCGACTGGCTGGTCAGCGACGCCCAAGGACCCCGCTTGCCTCCCGACCACTCGACCTTGTTGCACCGAGGCCCAAATCCGATCCTGTCGGAAAGGAGGTGTATGGCGAAGAACCAGCACGGGTTCTAGCGCCAATTCCTACTCAATGGGAACCGGAGGGGATGCAAGCAAGATTGCAGTCGCCCACCGACGGAGTTTAGGCTGCGAGTGGTGAATACCTCGGGGTCCAGCCGACGTATTGCGAAATTTTTTTAGCTGGCCCTGTTCGTCGAATGTGCAGGTCCAAGATGGGGCAGGTCGCGATCCGGTCGTAGTTATTGGATCTCAACGAGAGGCCACTGCCGTCCTAAATTCACGGGTTATTACTCCAGCCCAATGTCCCCCAAGAGCGATGTAACGCACACTGTTGAGGATCGAGGGCAATTAATTCAGCCGGGAAAGGGTAATGATACGACAAAACCCACTCCTCCTCCCTCCACCAGCTACTGGCGCCATGGAGGACGATTTGGTAGTATGTACGTACCCGCTCGCTGAGTATGGTGGATTGCTCTATCGTAGGGTGTAGTAGCTTGTCGACGTCCGGGCCCCAGGACATTGGGGACGGTGGCCCGAAGCATGGTAAGGTCCCAGCCTTCTGCGTCCTGCAATGGAGAACCAGGCTCAAATTAGTCGGCCGGCCTTAATAAGTCCATCAACACCAGGCTTTAAAATACTTGTCCTGAGCTTGTGTGAGCCACTGTAAAGCGTGCTTATAACGCTGCGTTCTAATAGCCACCTCCAAACAGTCCAACCCCCCCTGCCTTATTGGGAGTGAAGAGTAGTCCCGGGTTAATCTTATGTCGGCTGGCTTCCGTTGAAGTCGCATGCGCCCACAAAAATTGTTTGTACAGGTTGTGGACAGCAAGTCGTGCCCACTCAGGCATATCAAAACTGCCGCCGTGAACAGAACAGACGGGAGAATGATGGAGTTGAGGAGCAACATCCTATTCGCCACACTGGTCGCCACCCTGGACGCTTTCATCAGCCGCCGTTGAAGCTTCCGGATGCGAAGCGCCCAGTTGCGATTGTGTAAGGTACTCAGCCCTACCTGATAGCCCAGGTACCGCACCGTGTCCGTCTGTTGAAGGACCGGAATGCCCCGCATTTCGGCTATGTGCACAGCCCGATTAAGACAAATCAGCTGACTCTTGGAGGGCTGGACATCAAACCTCGAAAGGGTCCCAAAATGAGAGACAAGAGCTAGCGCTGGCTCCAGCTGACTGGCCTTATCTAGAAAGATCGTTGAATCATCCGCAAGCGCCGAGAAAACGTGCGTAGCCGGATGTCGTCCAGGGACAGGAAGCCCCGACAAATTCGGTGATTGCTGTACCGCAACTTCCAATTACTTCACCACGACAAGAAAAAGCAAAGGGTCGAGTATACATCCCTGCTGAATACAGGAAACGACGGAGATGGGACGCGACTATTCCCCGTTTACAAGGAACGCGGCCGTAGTACGAGTATGCATGCGAGTAATAAGCTAAACATACCTTTCCGAGAAACCAAATTGGCGAAGAGCCTCATGTAAGAATTCGCGATCTACCGTGTCATAAGCCTTTCAAAAATCTAGTAGGAGGATGACTCGGCCGTCGTCGGCGGATGTAGTTGTATCCGATGTTGCTTTAACCAGTTGCACGAGCATCATCACCACTAGTTTAGACATCTGGTGTCCGTGTGCGAAGCCTTGCTGCGAGTCACCAATGACTTTTGGTTATACGCATTGCATTCGTGAGGCCAGCACTTTCGCAAAATCTTGTAATTGGTTTGGAGTAGAGAAATCGGTCTGTAATCCATCGCATCTGCCGAGTCTCCCTTTTTTCGCAAGGTTATGACCAAAGCTTCTAGAAAAGAAGGCGGCGGATCAGCTCCAGCCAAAATTTGATTGCTGAGCTGGACCAGGGCGGGGACAAGAAGCGCCGACGTATCCTCGTAAAAAATATTATTGAGCCCGTCCAGTCCGGCCGACTTGTGTCGACTGAAACCAGAGACGGCGGCAAGGACTTCAGCTTACGTAAAATCAGCCAAGAGAGCCCGGTTGTCGGCAGAAGACAAGACCCGGTCTGTGGGTAGAGTGACGAAACAGCGAACGGCTGGTGGCAAATCCACCCTCTGCTTCTTGCAATGAACTTTGCCAAGGATTGTAGACCATTCTGATGCAAATTTATCCGCAATAGTCATTTCCCGGTTGGAATGCGGGCCATGGAGACGCAAAATTGTTGTGTCTGTGTGATTGCGTTCCCAGTCGACGACCCATCTATAAAAAATAGCGCAACTGGTAAGCCGTCCGGGAGAGCTTCTGGCCCAGTCGCACCAGATTTTCCTGCTGTAATTCCTCCATATTGCAGGAGATGAATTGCGGCCGGGTGAGGAAAGGTCGCCGAGCTTTGCCTTGCAACTTCCGACAAAATCGCGCTCTGCGGTTCTTGAACTGTTAACGGATAAATCGCCAATATTGTACAGCATCATGGCGTTTGGCTACCACTGTCCTGTCTACCGTGATGTAAGCAACAATTCGTTTGCGCGCCGTGCTCAAGTGTACACGATTCTTATATGCGGTGACGAAACCAAGGGTTTCAGAATGTTCATAAGGAAGGAAAGCAAGTTGGTCACAACGCAGCATGTCAATTATATTGAAACGTTGTCTGCAGCTCAGAGCAGCCAGCTGCAACTGGCCCTTGATGAAGATGACTCGGTAGATACGAAGACATTGAGACACCTGTGCGACAGAGCAGTAGTGGTACTGCGAGCACGAAGCTCAAGAATAAGAAATAGTGGTATCGACAGCCACAAATGACATGATGGGCAAAGAAAGCTACTGCAAGCCAAGAAGAAGCTGTCAGCGCTGATGTCGTCAATTACTCTTTCGAAAGAGGCCCTCGCAACTTTGGTGAAGCAATGAAGAGCAAGAAGAGAAAGAATGAAAAAGCAATGCGTGAGGAGCTGGACGCGCTTAAAAGACCCGAATGTGGCGCTTGGTGCTCCGATCAGGCAACAGCAACGTTCTCCACATCAAATGTGTCTTCAAGACCAAGAAGACTGCCGGTAGAGATTTGGAAAGGCGCAAAGCGCGCCTCATTGCCTGCGGGATCGAACAAGTTTTCGGCGTGGACTAAGCGATAACAATTACTGCCGCCATGGACATGACGACAGTGAAAGTAATCTTGGGTCTATCTGCTACATGGCGAATCCCGGCCTTAGCACGGGGACGTTCCAATGCTGAAGTAAAATCAGAGAAGGCACATCACTCGAGATTCTGGTGCATATTCCCAAGGGCATGACGGTTGAACCAAGAGAATTATAATAAAAACTGGGGGCAAAGAGGATTGAAGATGTCGTGCTTGAACTAAAGAAAACTTTATGTGATTTAACGCAAGCAGGGCGCTTGTTGGGCCAATTGCTCAACAATTAGTTGATAAAAGCCGGATTTTACTCGCTGCATCAGCGACCTCTGCTTGTATTACAATCGCGACATCGATGGAGTTGTTATCGTCGGAGTCTACGTAGACATTTGCTGGTGACTGGAATGTCTGCTGTTGCAGTTGACGACTGTTTTGCGAGCCTCGAAAAAGTTTCGATTAAAGACATTGGTCCAGTGTCGAATTTTTATGGGGATGCGTGTGACGCGCAACGAAGATCGTGGAGATTTTTCTTTTTAGGAGGAGACAGATGTCAATTTGCTGCGTGACCACGGCATGACAGTTGCAACTCAAGTCATGCACCTATCGGGACAGATGTTTATAAAGCTCAAAGTGCAGACAGCGGACTATTTGCAGACACGGGCGCTTTAGGTCAACCTAGAGCTCGTGCTTTTTAGTCTATTGTCGGGTCGTTGCTCTGGGTGGCGAGGTGCACACGACCCGACATTGTATTTGCAGTGCACAGGGCAACCGTAAAACAAACGAACCACGGATCCATGACTGGAAATTGGTGAAGCGCATCATGCGTTTTTTTGTGTGGTATGCGTGAATTAAAGATCAGTATAGAGCCAGCGGTCGAAGAAAATGCACCACCTGTTCCAGTAATCTACAGCAACACAGACTACGCAGCCGAAAAGGCAGAAAGAAAGCTTTTGACAGGTAGCGTTATCATTCTAAATGAAATAATAGTCAGTTGGTGCTTGAAAAAGCAAGTAGGTGTGGCGCTCTCGACAATGGAGTCGGAATTTGTTGCAGCGTCTGAAGCTGGACGAGAGCTACTTGGAGTGAGAGAGACTCTGAATGAGATCGGTAAGTCACCTGCAATACTGATAAAAATCTCATCGACTCTCAGGCAGCGATACGGCGGATTGAGGGAGAAGCGTCGTCTGCTAAAGCAAAGTACATAGATGTGAGAGTCAACTACTTGTGCAACTACACTCCTTGAGGCGATGTGGTGCCACATTATGTGCGGCGACCTGATGCTCGCGGATGTACTCACCAAAGCACTCGACACAGCCAAGACGGTCAAGTTGCGATCACTGCTACATTTTGTGTAAGCGCAGTGCAAGTCTCCGGCAAGGAGTAGTATTGAAGATCGGGACGAGCAGTCACGATGGATGCGGCACGACATGCCAGATCAAGTTGGTGTCAGCGAATGTTTTTATGTGTATAAGAGGGCAGTACACAAATGAAGGAGCTGCAAGATGGGTGAAGAAGCTTGTAGTTACCAACAGGCAGGAAGCGAATCGTCGGAGTGGTGGTGAAGGGTAGCGCAACGACGGTAAGTCAACCTAGTAAGAGCGGCAGATACAGCGACATAGTGTGCGATAGCAAGCGGAATAGCTGGAAAATAGCGACAAAGTTTAAATTTTAGTTTTCCTTCTACCTTGTCAAGTGCAAGCTAAACGTTGGCCAACATCATGCTCATTCGTCAGTTACTGCTGTTATGGCGTTTTGCAACTTGATTTAGCTCTATGCACTGGAATGCTTGTATCAAGGGGTGAGCTACAGAGCTTGCTTCCCTTTTTTTAAAAGCTTAAAAACATCTATTACGAGCAACACCCCTGATCTGGCTGGCGGTTTCTTAAGTTGACAAACTTTGAACAAAAGGTATAACGAAATTAAATTTCTAATGAATATCGTGTGCATTTATAAAAACAATTATAAGTGCATCTGTTTCAGTATAAAAGTGAAAAAATCAAACGAGTAGAATAAGCAGATGCTAAACGGCCGGGTTCATTTTTATCCGGCTGGGTCATTCTGATTCGCTGTCAGAAGAATCTCAGAAATAAGCCCAATTTGAGTCAGGAGTAGATCCCAAATACTCAATTCACTACTACTGTTTACTCACTTGTCCGTGCAAAGCCCAAATGAAGATGTCAGTGCTTTTTGCGGCTAAACCTTACTACAGTCTTCCCTCTGCTAAGTTATCCCCGGCTACGAAATAACCTCCGGTAAGTTATAGGATTCGGTCTCCACCGACCTCGTTCTATGGTGACTACGGAATAAGTTATACGGAATAGCCTGAGGGCCAAATACAACTTATCAGAGGGAATATTTTTGTCCGCCGTGAGCAGAAATATTGTACGCAGAACCTTTTTTTTGCTATTCACTGCAAGAAAGGAGTGGAAAGAGGAGAGGGAACTACTTCAGCCAGGAATCAAGTGTGGCCTGAGTGGTGCTCGCACTACGGAGATCAGCTTGGACTTGGCGAAGGGTCCGGTGAGCTATACGATGGGACTCCTGAGAAAGGTCGAGAAGGGCGATGGATAGACTAAGGCTGGCAAGCTTTTCAGCCTTCGAATGCTTTTCCACCTCCTCCTCCGCCTCAGCAGCACCTTCCTCCTCCCCATACGGATCCTCAACAAGCTTGATGATTTCGGCATCGGTCAGCTCCGCATGCGCCGTCTCCTCCTCCTCAGCCGGATTGAGAAGAGAAGCGATCGACATGGGATTGCGGAGCGGGAGCCTTTCCAGCGCCGAAACAAGATCCTGTTCCACGCGCTGCTCCTCTACTGCAGCAGCTGCTGCCTCCTGCTGGGCCTGCTGGCCAACAGTGCCGGCTTCGTTTTCACCCCCACCAGTCGGCAGAGCCGGACCGTCCATGAGTCCCGTATGACGGAAGCAGTTGGCAATTGTGGCACTGGAAATCTCGCTCCACGCAGCCAGCGACCAACGCATGTCCGTGAGCTGATCAACCTTGTAAAGGTTGGTTTCTCCGCGCTCGTCACGGTCCAAGGCATTCTGCAGATGCAGCCGGCGGTAGTGCCTCTTGAATGCGGCAATAATCCCAGCATCCATGGGTTGGACCTTTGAAGTCGTATTAGGAGGAAGAACCTGGACCGTGATGTTGGTGAGTTCCAGGTCAGCAACAATGTGTGAAGGAGCGTTGTCCACGAGAAACAGGATTTTTCTATCCTTTTGCTGTGGTCAACGCGTTAGTCAAACCTCCTTTACTGTACCACAACGATGATGTTCAAGGCATGCCCCAAATTACCTTCATACTTTTGTCGACGTCTCCCAGCCATTCCTGGAAGAGTATGCCAGTCATCCAGGCTTTCTTGTTGTTGCGGTAGAGAAAGCCCAGTCGCTCAGCTGTCTTGTGCTCAAAACACCGCGGCTTTTTAGCGTGTCCAATGAAGAACGGCGGGAGTTTGTCGGATCCATCAGCGTTTGCCGTGAGAGCAACTGTGATGCGCGTCTAGAATAGTTGTTAGTGTCAGAGAAACGCAGGAAACCAAGAGGAGAGCAATAATGTACCTTGTCTTTTAAACCCTTCGACCTCTTGCTGGGCGATCGTTTTGTCGGGCGTCATACTGTAGAACAAACCTGAACAGAAAGTGAGCCTTTGCGATGCTTCTGTACTGTACAATGAGTACAGTACTGTACTGTATTCTCAGACCTACCAGTTTCGTCCATGTTGTACACGTCACGTGGCGCATAACCAGCAACCACGGCCTTGAGGTGTGGAAGAGCCTCCTCTAGAGCGCCCATATCGGCTGAGCCACTCTCGCCATGAATGCGGACAGCTCGCAGTTTGTGGCGTTGCTATAATTTGTGGAGCCACCCATGCGAAAAGCTGATGTTTTCCTCCGAGACGCCCATTGATCCCGCAAAGGTCTGAGCCTTGGCCCGTATGAGATCTCCAGTGAGAGCGGCCCCACGGTGCTGGCACTGCAAGACCCAGAAGGCGACGGCCTCCTCCACAGCTGGGTGCTGGACAGTCCGAGGACGCTTAGCGCTGAGGTCAGTGGTGTCCATTGCCTCAAGCTCCTTCCTTTTTTTGATGATTTTGCTGATCGCTGCCTGGGAAAGTGCCTTCTGGAGGTCAAAGGCGTCCTTTGTCCAAGCCGCCAGGGCAGTCTGGGTGATGCGCGGGTTATCATCCTGGTGCTTGCAGATGCGCAGCTTCTGCTCGTTGGTAAGACGTATCTGCGACATCTGTTGTGAGTGAGCAAGATACAGTTGGTGGAACTTCTTAATTAGAGATAGCAAAATCACCAGAGACTGGTGGGGCAACCAAAATCACAAAATCTTCATAGGGCACGTGACACGTGACAGACAGGTTTTGGAAGCCTGGAGGTTTGTTGCGTTTTTGATTCTTTAATTTATTAAATTAATAATTTTTCCGCAGCATACCTCTGCTATGGAATAACCTCTGCTATATTATAGGATTTGCCTTCCACCAAGTCTATAACTTAGCAGAGGGAAGACTGTATATTCCTTACTTCCTGGTTAAAGTTCAGTCCTTTGATCAAAAACAACACGGGTGCGTCTTTTACTACACGCAAAACAACCCATTCTGGGAAACCTGTAGGTGCGGCCTTGTCACCACAGCCATCTGCGATAGACTTAGACGCGCCGCATCCTCCCCGTCGTGTCTATATGACGATAGAACAACCACCTTCGTCTCGAGCAATGATGTGCTCCTTATAAACTGGTCCGTACCCTGAATGCTCACATTGTCATTTGGAAGACAATACGATTCGTACTGGCAGAAGAGCGTCTGTCCGATTACAAGCAGGGCGATGATTCCTTTATTACAAAGAAGATGACATGGAGATCATGGAAGGTGAGCTTGATCTTTGACCAAATAACATTCTGTGGAAGAGCCATTTATACATCAAGTTCAATTGAGGTCGTGAAGCTTGCCTCAAGATATTTTGATCAGCAAGCAAAGCTAAAGAGATGGAGTACTGGGTTAAGCCACGCGTAGCTGCTGTGGCGCTTACGACGTCAGAAGAACCGGGTAGCCAAGTACTGGAGCTGAGTGCGATACCTGTGTAGATGTCCTGGACTGAGACTCTCGATCCGCTTCCGATTTACTGGAGAAGTCGTAAATATGCAAGGATCAGATAAGTAGTTTGATTCAATGGAGTAGTGATCTAACACACGTCGATAGGAAATGGTTGCAGGGTGGAGAATCGGCAATAAAGAGTTCGGCCGTTTACGAGTTGGTAATAATTCTAGGCCGCTTACTTGACGGGCCGTAGATTGGTGCACGCTAGTGACGGCGCCGTAGATGATTATGGATGTGAGAGAGGTATAAACGAATAATTTGGTGCTGCAAACAGCAGCACTCAGCCCCTCATATTATATACTTATTGCATGACAAAATGTGGTCGATCTGAACGGCGTGGAGATAAGCCACACTTCGGCGCTGCACTAATGCGAGCGCCTCATGCTACTATGCACCGCCAAGTGAGTAAGACACAGTAATGGTGAATTGCGGATTTGGGATCTACTCCTGACGAAAATCGGGCGTGTTTCTGAGCTACCTCTGATAACGAATCACAATGAATTAGCGGATTAAAATAAACCGAGCCGTTTAGCATTTACCTATAAGGTCGTGTAATAGATACAGAGCATTATACACGAAAGCGTTTTGGTGCGACACTGGCTGTGGTGTGATAAGGAATGTGGGTTTTTATACGGACCGCACCTTTTGTGGATACAAGGTCCACCGATCTCGACCTGCGATTCTCCTCTCAGTTTGCATTACACGCACTCAACAAAGTTAGGAACTTACCCTCGCGATATTCTACTGGTGGCAACGCACAAGAGCATTAGAAGCAGATCAGTCTCCATAAGTGGCATGCACCACAACGTCGTGTCTGAATGAGCTATTCGAAGGGTGATAGCCGTCGTTCATCTCCTGTATCGACTCCTCGATTTCTTTAACTTCCGTATTCGATTTCGAACAAATATACTCGAAGCAAGTGTGACCATGAAGAAGCTGAGTCATTTTCAAGAGGTCACACAAGTCGCGCGTTGCGTATCGGTTGATGTCGACAACGTATCTGGGTATGTCGACTATGTATGTGGTAGACTCAATGCCAATGACGGAAGGTTGGCAGGTAAGAATGAATGACCTGTCGCCACTTTACTCAGACCACCTGGGACGGTACAAATCTTATACTCGCAACATGCCCTATCGAGGCTTTGACGATGCTCACAGAAAATCACAATAGTCATTATCTCAAGCGTGTTGCCTCGTTAAGCTGGAAGATCCTTTGATCTGGAGGTAAAAAGCAAGCTATTTGGAAGGAAATTGATCCCCCGCAGTGCATGTGAATACGTTGAACCTGTAGAACTGACAGCTGTAGGTGAGGATGCCAAAAGTTGAGCTAGCTGGTGTGAATGTTGCAGCCTTCATAGGCCTGCTCTCTTCTGACACCTGTGCACACGAGTCGCAAGATACGGAGAGACGCTTAGGTGAAGGTGGCCTCGGACAAGAGCACCGCACTACTCATGGTAAAAATGCTGCCGAAAAGGGGCGGGGCCTACAAATGCTTACGAAATGGTCATACGTGGGGGCGAAGTAAGGTATGTGATTCCACGCTGAACAATGGAGCTACGTGTTGCTGCAGCGATGTCAACCCGCACAGGATCCTGACTTAACGACGCTGGATGGGACAACCAAGTAGCGCAGGCGAAGAATTGTTTACGTTTGGTATAAAGTAGTCGTGATCATCAGCGATGTAGACGGAGGGATGATAAATAGCACTTCCGACGTTTTTTTTCTGTGGAAATAGCTGATAACATTACAGAGGCCGTGACAATGATGCTCGCGAAGCATAACGCCCATACGGATGAAAAAGGGTTTGAGGCGTCCAAAGGTGCAACGCCTATGCTATCAACTAGCAAGCTTGTGACCGCACGATAGTACCGACTTGAATTTATTTCTAGAAACGACAACGTTTGCCAAGCTCACGTTTTCATCAATGTGACTGACTGGATGTGATGCGAAACCTGAGCAAAACCGCAAACAGTGTGTACGATCGACGCGTTTCGAAACGTCCTTCGTGAATAGGAATCGCACTGACAATTCTGCTGGACAAAACGGACAGTGGATAGGCCGCGTCAAGAATGCCATTTTGCGTAGTCATGGTGCACCCATCACCAGCTGATCAAGCTCAGATGCTTCCGACTAGCTTTCTGTACTCATTCCTATACGGATCTCGCTGCCTCTTGCAGTTAATTCGCGATGCTTGTCGCGCTGCAAGCTACTAGCTCAGATGGCTTCATTTACAGAAGCACAAAGTCATCTCTGCTCCTGTAATACGAGTGCTGTTCTGCTTGACTCATACCAGTCCGTTCTCGAGTTCTTTGATATTTCACATGAGCTCCGATGGACAAGGACTGACCGTCAACAGCACAGCATGACTGTGCAGCAACACGCTCCAACTACCAAAACACAGAACACGCAGTGATTACGTCCTCTTGCTCACTCTTGTAGCAAATCCGTCCATTGTTGCACGATACAACGCGTCCGTGAGTAGATAATGACGCCATTCGCCACTTCGATCGTGTGGACCTGACACCACGCAATCAACAGTCCTCTAAGAGTGCAATTGGATGGCACAGATAGTTCACGGCAAAAAAAAAGTCGAACGCTATGCATCTTCACACCGTCTCACAAACGACGTATCGATGAGGTTGACATACTGCAGGAAGATGTCCATGTTAACAGCCATGTTCTTGTAAAAGTCAGTCATAATCGATCATTGATCTCCGATAACAGCGAACTCAATGAGCTCAGACAAGATTTCGATCAGCGCCACATGGTCCTGACAACATCTGCAGTCATCGAACTCGTCCTGCCAGGTCAGTCAAGATATCTTTCCCTCGAGTACCTAACCGACTCTTTCTCATCCAGCTAAGCTACAAACGAGCCATGAGCGACTTCACGCTTAGATGGACAATACCGATCGATATTGCTGGCTATCCTCGAGCTCCGGTGTTTTTTTTTACTCACCCACGTCATTGCCGAAGCCACATGTGTATCGTCTAATTGTCCGAAACGAGTCGCTTCGGACCACTTCGAGCCGTTACTACAACCGCACAATCACGGTCCATAATCGCCTTTTTCACATGTAAGAAATCAAGTACTCGAGAGGCACGAGCACGACACACGCGCGTCTGGATGTGACTGGATAGTTGCTTCGAGTGTGGGAGGCCGCTTTTCCGCCTCTCGTTCGCGCAGCTGTCCTTGTCAAAGCAGAGCCTACAAGAAACAAGACCGATAGTTACTGAACTACTACTACTACTACTGCTACTACTACTACTACTACTACAACTAAGCAACCTATAGTCGAAACATCGCAGCCCAATTGACCAGAGACGGCGGCAACCCGAACAGCTGTTCTTCGCAGAGTGATGGTCTCACTGCTTGCCCTATTCCACGCGCTCGTCGCCCTGTCAAAGATCATGCCGTGTCGCACATTCGTTGTTCGAGTCGGTGGACCTCTCTATTTTAATACATGCACATAAAAACACAACTCCGCGACACATTGTAACTCTTGTCAGACAGCGCGTTTGGCCGACGACACTTGGCGACTCGAGACGCTCGTCGCTCTCTCTTTGGAGGACGCCAGGCCGTACTACAGCTGCTGCTACTGCTGACTATGCGCAAGAACGGGTGGCAGCTGCCGTTCCACGTGCTCCAGATCGCGACGTGGGTGATCTTCCCGGGCATCATCGCGCTCTTCTTCATCTTTTATACGCCCATTTTGGACAAGACCGTGGCGATTATCTTGAGTGTTGTATACGCCAGCGCCTGTGGTTTCACGGTTGTTGCCGTGGCCTTGTGCACGGGCACAGACCCGTCGGATGACTGCATTCTGAGACCTTCGGTAGGATCAGCCGTTTTTTATCCTTATTTTGTTTTCTACAAACGTTTTTTCGTTGAAAATACGTTTTTTACGTGTTGTTGTACCATGGGAGGAGTGTAATAATTGACGAGAATTGTGTTTTTTTGTCTTCTTTCTCTAGACGGCTGATGCGGAAGACGTTGATTCAGAAGACCGAGTGTACTGCCACGTCTGCATGCAATACGTGTTCGTAGCTGCTTCCCTTTCTATTCTTCTTCTCTTTCTTGGTCTTTTTGGTTGATGAATGGGTACAGGATGATCGTTGTCTAATGAGGACTGTTTGCTTTTTTACTTGTTGCTGCGATCTCCAGGAATGACCAGAGTCGACACTGTCGGCTATGTGACAAGTGTGTAGACGTGTTCGACCACCATTGCAAGTGGCTCAACAATTGCGTGGGCAAGAAGAATTACCGCTACTTTCTGGGCTCTGTCTTAGGCGCCTCGGTGTTCCTAGGAGTACAGATCGTTATAGGCATTTATATTGCCGTCGATATGTACACGAACGCAACGGTGATGAAGCAACATCTAGCTACGAGCTACGGTTGTGTGATGGGAAAGGACAGTGTGACGAGGTTATGCGTAGATGGACACTACCACATCTCGCTCCAGACGCTACGGATCATCCATATCTCGCTTCTGGTCTTTCTGAGTCCGTGGTTGCTCATGATTGGGCAACTTGCAATCTTCCACTGCCACTTGTGTACGTACTAGGCGGTAGTGTTCGTGAGTGCCGACTTCAGCTGATCGTTTTGTATTTGTGGATGGTGCAGGCTTGGAAAACATCACGACTTATGACTACATTGTCCGTCAACGGAAGCGGAATAATGCCCAAGAGCGGCAAAACACTGTACGGATTCATTCCGGTGACCGTGACAATCTGTCTAGACGAAAAGAGGCTGTCGCACTCAAAGTCTATGACGAGATGACGTATGCGGTCATTTCATGCACCGATGCTAACTTTCTGTTTGTATTGTTTGCTTCGTATCGGCACTTGTGCACTTGTTCTACAGGCCCGTGTTTTATGGTGGCAGAGGTGCTGCGGTAGGAAACACGTCGCGGAGTCCGCGCAAAGCAATCCGAAATCCAGCATGAATCCGACCAGTGACTCACGTGTGTCGGACGAAAGTGTGCGCAGCGAGGCCGAAGAACTGGCAGCCATCGAAGCCGAAGTGGACGACAGTTTGGACGTGCTGAGCAACCGAAGCGGCGAGATTCGCGAACGCGACAGAAGCCGTTTGGGAAGCAGCTTGCACAGTAAAGACAGCAGTGGTTCAAGGCGTGGATTTGGTCGCCACGTTAATTTGGCTCAGCAACGAGGTGGTCCGGCCAACGTCAGTGCAAGAAGTGACGTGTATACCCCGCGATCCGAAAGTGGGGATACAAGTTACTTGGCAGCGCCATACTCTCCTGGAATGATTGAATCTCAACGCTCTGATGCCAGTAGCTTATACTTTGCTGCTCCAAGCGATGAGATCGATCTGCGAAGCGCGAGCGACATGAGTAGCGAGCGTGTTCCAGCTGACAAGATATCGAGTGACTCGGCCGTCGTGATGTTCGGTTGGTCACCCGTCCGGTCACCTTCAGGGAACCGCATCGTGTAAGTGTATCCACTGCAGACGTGACAGGACAGACGGTGTTGTTGTAGTTTGGTGTAGAAAGAATGTGAAGGGAAAGAGACGGTACAGTAGCAAGTGCGCGTACTGATATAGTCGCGAGCAATTTGGACAAAGACGATACGTATTTATGCACATGCGAGCGAGCTCGCCCCGTCTACGTCCATGTCCGCGCCCGACCAGGGTCAGGCAACTTGCGACAAGTAATGCGTTTGATTTCACTACTTGCTGCTGAAACTATTGTACGGAATAGACTGAACACGACATGACCTGTCGCTTGCAATGATCAGAAAAGGACACAACCTGTCGTTTAGAATGGAAAGAACACGACAGAACCTATTGTGTGGCATTAACGGATATGACAGGGTTCACACACAACCCATTGACTGAAAACCCAGCTGTTTCCTTTCTCGATCTTTTCGAAAGGAAACTCAGGCCTCACGCACAGCTGCGACCTTGAAGCTCTTGGCGTCCTCGTCTGCGCCAATGTCCACGTGCAGCACGTCCACAATGCCCCCAACGCTGGGCGTGTACAAGGTCTTGCCTAGCACGTGATGGTCAGTCGAGTGCTCGACTTGCAGCGAGTAGAGCCCGGCCACGGCCGTCCAGCCGCCCATGTCGTACTCGCGCTCGTCGAGTTTCGCTTCTGCACCAGGCGCGAGCTCGCGCGTCTCGTGGATCTTGGCCTTGCCCTCAGCTTCAAACTCGTCCGAGCCAAAGGTGGCAGTCACTTTGACAGGGTGCGACGTCGAGTTCTTCAGTGCAACCGACTTGACATAGTGCGGAACTGGCGCCATATCGTCCCTTCTTTGCTCGGACCGCGCGTCTTCAACGTCCGCCAGACTGGGGACGAATCGAAAAGTGAGACAAGTTCAACGTGGACGGTGGATTTCGATGGTGTGGCGCACATCGAATTGACAAACACTCGTTGCTCGAACTTCCGATGCTTCTTCTGCGCTACATAAACTGTACACCACCACCGCCACCACCACACAATTACACACAGGTGCACAAACGACTCGCGCACGAAGAACTGGCTTGACCTCAGTAGTGAGACGACGATTCTCGACGTTCTAAGGGCGCTAGCAACGTGTAAATTGCTCGATATCGACACACTGGGAGCTCTCTATAGGCTGCTGAATTGGTGGCGTCCCGTCTGCGTTAGTTTGTTAGATATACGCGTGTAAAGACTTGGTACTCTCATGGCCCGGAGCAAGGAGCAGTGGAACGCGCAACAGCGGGCGTTGCATACTCAGAACAAGTCAAAAAGTGCTTTTTATCAAGGCGACGTCAAGGAAAGTGGGCTAACGCCGTCCGGCTCGAGGGTTTTGGGACCGTTTGTGAGCCCAAAGCTTCTCCACATGGACCGGTTCAACTCTGGTGCCCCATCTCCTGCGTCCCCTGCTACTGCTGTTACGAATCTGAGGACTTTTGAATTCGGTCATGCTCCAAGACTGGAACATTTGAACGACTGCCAGTCAAATCAAGTGATTGACTTGACAATGGACGATGAAGATAGTGAAAAAGACGAGACTGTGGAACAACCAATTGGTAGTGGACGAGTGGCTCCAGCTGCAGACGGCGCACCAGCCTATGCACTTAGTTCACGGGCATCGGACAGTACTAACAACGAGACTGCAGTAGTGAAAATGCAGTTGAAGCATCACGGAGAAATGACGTCAGAGATAAAGATGCCGATGACCGAAGATATCGAGTCGGACGTGGACGAGGAGTGGCCGCTTGTGCCAGGAGCTCCGGTATCGTCGATGACATCGAAGGAGTCGCTGTTGATAGATCATCAAGCTGCTTATAGTCGGACGGAGGAGGATGTGGGAGCAACGTTGGACGCTATTTGCAAGACAGTTTCGTTGTTTCAAGGGGAATCAGGTGATGGTAATTCGGAACAGAATGATCAGGCTGACACGAGGTGGCAACACAAGTCCACGCTAAACTTGTGTGACGACAAGGGGAGTAGCACGACAGACACGGACGTGGGCGAAGGTATTTCACACCACGCGCTTGAAGAGAACGAGGATGCTGCACGCGTAGTCACCCTGCCAGATCCAATTAATGAATGTGAAAACTTGGAAGATGGAGAGATTTTTGAAGAAGGAGGTCCTCCCGTGTCAGTGTTGCCGATAAAAATAGTGGAACCTACACCATCTGTGCATGTCAGTACAGCCTCGGTGGACGCAATGGGAACTAATTCGCATCCACGACATAAGAAGCAAAAGAAACGGGGCAAGAAGAAGGCAAAGCGAAAGCTGGAGACAATGCAAACACTGCATGCCTCGCCATGTGAAATCGGTACTGTTTTTAAGCGGACAGTACGCCAGCGACCGTACGTTAGTGCCTCGCCATCCGATCAACACAGGCATGGAACTGTAAGGAACGGCACAAGAGGCGAGGCGATGGACGTACGTCCTGTGTTCCAAGATCCGCCCCCAGCTTTTTTTCATGCTAGTGGCCCTCATGCTGGCGGCCCTCGTGCGGGCATTCTACATCCGCCGACAGGACCCTCGCAACAGCATCGATTGGCTCCCCCACCTGTACTGCAGTACGGAGATAGTCAGATTTTGCGCGTGAATCGTCAAGGCAGTGCGCAGATGCTTGAAGGTGGAGCTGGGCCGCCTGTTCGCGCGACTTTCTCGGAGCCGCTGATGCAAGTTGGGGCTGCGTTGCCTCTCCCTCGGACGTATTTGGAGCCGCCGATGCAAGTCGGGGCTCCGTTGTCTCTTTACCCAACATTTTCAGATCGACCTGTCCAGGGTGGGGCTGGGATGTCTTTTCCTCGAACGTTTTCGGAGCCACTGGTGCAAGGTGGGTTTCGATATCGGTCGATGCCGGCATCTTCATCTCTACCCGTGTCAAATAGACAAGGCTTTTCGTTGAAGCACTTTCAGAGTACTTCATCCCGGCCCCCACCCGTATCCGCCCCATGTCATGATGTTGCTGTTAGTAAGAAGCGTGATGAGTCGGACGATTTCAATTTGGACAGTCTCCGAGTGGCTGCGCTTCGAAGCAAGACGAAGCATGTAGTCAAGACAACGGAATCGACAGGCCAAAAAGTGACTGTCGCACAGTCTTCTCCGCCACCGTTGCGGTCGCCTTCTATCTTGGGCGAGAATGAAAAAGGACGAGAAAACCAGGAAAGTCCTGAGGTTGATGAACTACGTCTCGAGATATTACAGTCGATGAAAAGGAAGCGGCATTGCACTGTGAACGATGCGAAGCCAAAGGAGGTTTCGTCAGTGAGTGAACCGGTCGCAATGGAAACATCCGACGAGAATGGGTTGAGTGAAGTAGCTACAACCAATCCTTTAGCGTCTTGTATGGATCAAGATACGACGAACACGTTGTCAGAACCGAAGGCACTGGACGTAACTACCGATACGGATCACATCGAGGCCGAACGCCCCACAAGCGAGATGAACAAACCGGCGGTGGGGGATGAGCAAAAGCAGGTGGATGACAGCACGGCCTTCTGTATTACTGCTTCCTTGGAGCCAGCACAATCTCGGGCAGGACTTACAGTATCGCCTCCAGAGTTCCGTCCTTTGACAGCAAGTTCTCAGTCTCTTGTGATCCAGCTTAGCCCGGACGACTTTTCGCCGCAGACTCAAGGAGGTGACGCTGACACTAAAGCTTTGGCTTCTAGCAGTTTGCAGAACGCGATCCAAGAAATGAGGCGAAAGATCGCCGAACGCGAGAAAGAGAAGACGAATCGTCTTTCGCTAAGCGCTGCCACTCGGTTGTCGCAGCAATCCTTCGATACCTTGTCAAGTCTAGCGTTGTCGTCAACGTCGTCACAAGACAAGCAGGTGCTTGCTGAATTTGCGCAGTTAGCAGATGCCACGGCACTGTCTACAGATGCAAGTGCGTCTGCTGAACGCACTGGGTTTTTACCTGCTGAAGTAATCGTGGATGGACTCGAGAACAATATCAGTGGTCAGACTGAAGCGAGTGTAATGAAGGAGACGGTGCTGTCACCAGCTGAAGCCAATTTGTCAGCGGAAACAACAGAAACAGCAACAGGTCAAGACTCCCAGCCGAAACCGGTGTTGGCGCCAGAAGCACTGAGTGATACTTTAGGGGTCAGTATTATCGTATGCACGTTTTCGCCTCCTGTGTTCCAGCGCAAATTGCTTGCACGCAATGACGTGTGAAATGCAGACCGGCGACCGGTGTTTGCGTCAAAAGCCGTCGATCATCATCCAGACGGCGTAGTGTTGATTGCGCTGTGTCTGGTCTCCAGCACTGATCGCCTTGTGTGTCTCTCTTGGCTTTGTTATTATTGCAATAGGGTGTTGCGACGTTGACGATTGCGGATGACGTGGAACGGAGGGTAACATGCAGATCTATCGCTACTGACAAGTCAGAGCCCCACAGTGCAACAGTTACTGACAGTGAGCTCGATTTCGACGCCGTTCAAGCGGAGTACGAGCAATGTGTGAATGAGTACAAAGAAGCAGAAATGCACATTGCCCGATTGTCACATGAAATGGCTCAGCTCGAAAAGCGGCTGCCTCAATTTCGATCAATAGTGGAAGAAGAGTCAGGAAGGTGAAACGCTGTCGCAATGTGACGCTTCAGGTAAACTGAATCGTGGTACTGCTGAACCTTTGCTGAGCTTCGGCAGCAGCTAACTTGGTTGTTATACCTGGTAGACTTGAGGCTCTTGTTTTTGCACATAGTGAAGACGAAAACGGAAGAAGGTTATGGCGGACGAATAATGCGGATGATGCCTTACTGTTGCGCTGAAACTCGTAGACGTCGTCGAGTAATCAAGCGGCATTGTCCAGTCGTCCGGACACTCAGTTACACGATGGGATCGCTACTCAAGCTGATGAGTCTGAATGTACGAATGGACGCAAGCCGAACAACAGGGTAACTGGTATGTGTATGTGTATATTTATCGCAGCAACTACTTTGGTTCATTGTTGGAGTGGAGTGGCTGTCTCATGTTTTAGTTTTTAGAGGTGTGGTAGATTCGAGGCAAGCATTGAGGCATCGACTAGTACGATGACACGAAGCAAGGCAACGTGGTCGTCACATGACGCCGGTGCTGACTGCGTCGCTCCAGCGTTGCATTGATGTATCAGCTTCGACAAGAAGTAGGTGATGCTGTAAACCGGTCGCTCGATACGTGACCTGCAACACGCCATCAAGCACCTGTGTTTATTGTGATACAGAGGCAGGATGCTGAAGCAGACAGCTTTTGCAGTTGCGTGTTACTAGACAAGAGAACGAATGAACAAAGAAGAGCTTTTGACAACTTTGCTGCACCTTTCCGATGACGATGTAAGTAGATCAGCAGCATTGAGACGATCTGTGCAGCAGCTGATGCAGCCAAAAAGATAGAACTTACCCGACGTGTGGATGTGCCGTTGCCATCAATGCATTGACCGCAGCTTCTTGCGTGATTCAAGTGTCGCTGAACTTTTGCGTATCGCGCTGTTGTCAACCTCCATCAGCTCTTGTTTATCGGATGATCTTACCTGATCAACTGATCACTATGAACATTCGTCAACTTTTGATGGCAATTGGCAGCTCTAGCAGGATCAACAACAGTGTCAAGTCACTCTGGAGCTGATTGCATCCGTGCAAAGCTCGCAATCAGCAGTTTAATGTCGCCGTCTACGTGTCGGTTGCTCGACATGTCGCAGAGCTTTCGGCGGACGAAGTTTTTTCAGTGCAAGGCATCGGAAGGACTCGAGAAAGCGCCTCCGCTATATCTCGACGACGTGTTACCTGACAAAACAAAGACAGTATTTCTTCTTTCAGGAATGAACATCGGCTGTGGGGGATACAGTGTCCATTTCAACGCAGTGGGGACCTGCAACGATACACTGCATCATCTCCAGAGAAAACATACAATCAAAAACGCGGGTTATACCCAACATCCAAGGGTTGGTAACGTAGTGTATTAGCACCAGCGCCATCATCTCACCGTCAGCGGCATTATTTCCAGCCTAAAATTGACAAAGCAAATTCCGCTAGGGCATCCACGCCTGGACCTTCGACGCCGTAGTACGCTCCGTTCGGAGGCCCAGCAATACAGAGGCACATTCATTCCCTCTAGATCAGCAACGGACTGCTTATGACTGAAAAGCCTGTCGCCACACCACCCTCGTCAGTGCCCGAGAGCTTTGTACGCAACAAATGTCCGGCGTGCTTGTTCACAATCTCCTTTCCTTCACCATCGAACAGACTTGTGATAAACATACCGAGCTCGCTGATGGTGGGGCCACTCGATGCCACACCATTACGGACGAGGATGGCAGGGTTCTCGTTGGGAAAGATACGCTCCATTAGAATATACGACTCCAGTTCGGCTGGACTCATGCTTTGGATCGCCGAAGCCACCTCATCACCATACAAGTTGTTGCCTCCGCCCTCGCGCTGGGGCTTTAGCACGTACGCGTGCGGGTTCGCAATTGCCATTTTCTTGACTTCTTCGACGGTTGGCGAGTTTGTCTCGAGTCCATAGAGACCCGCAAAGGACGACTCCAGTTGCGTGGCTTCCTCCTCCAACATAAATCGACGAAGAATTACTGGGTCGGCAAGTACTTGCTGCACCTTCTTCGTGCCAGCTAAGTGGTAAGCAATCGATGGGCACTTGATAGCGTACGATCGTTCAATGATGGTACGACCGGCCCATTCTTGCTCTGTGGGGTAGTCATTCGGCGTATACGCGGAGCGATAATATGCGACAGCGACCTCACGCCCATCGACCGTAAGTCTTCGTTTGCCATCGCGCTCAACCAGTTTACCGTGCGCATTCACCTCAGCCAACGTCCAGCGCAGCACGTGGATGCCGTGATGTTCCCACAACTTGTACTCTAGCCAGCGTTGGTCAATGGCATTCGTCTCATTCGGTTGCACGACAAACATGACGACCGCGCTAGTATGACCAACGGCAACGCAACGATACCCACAAGATGTTAGCAAGCAGCAAACACACACAGTAGCTGGAACACTCATGAACACATCCAGCAATAGAACCACAATAATAGCAAAGAAACGCACTCTTTGACTCCGTACTGCTCGTACGCCGCCGCAAGCGCATTCGGAATCTCCGTGATCGCGTCGTTCTGCGGCAAGGCCGTCCGGTACTCAGCTGTTGCAATGCCGTAATGCTTTTCAAGCGCCATCATCTCAGGTCCAAACCGATTCAGCAAGAACCTGAGAGCACCAGCACCAGCAAATGGTAGAAAAATGCACAAAAAACAACAAAAATTAGAAAACAACAAAAAGTTTAAAATAAACAGTTGCAAACAGTAAAAACACAATGAAAAATGCAGACGAGCGTAACAACAACACGTTCTAGCACATAGACGTGCCAGTATGTACCGATGCATGTCCGACACGAGGGAGCTGATGCATCCAAAAGACGACGCGATCGTGTTCAGCTCGACCTGCAACAGCTGCTGCTGCTGCGTCACTTGGCCTTGTTCTTGTTTGTGGTGCAGCATATAGTCCGAGCGGTGGATGCCCAAGTACGTCAGTTGCTGGACGCCTTGGAGCTGCACCATCTTGGAGAGCTCCAGCAGCCGCAGAGTAAAGGCGTCTTCCGTTCCCACGTTCTGGACGCAGTCATGCAGCCACACGACGTCCCGACTCACGCGGTCCACGAGACGTCCATACAGAGGTGACAACTGGACCGCCCGCTCAAAGTGCTGCCGTGGAAACTAAACAGCAGCAAGTGAAGTGGTTAAACATATGAAGCGCTTATCTCGTGATGTGCATCATTTATTATGAACTGTGCAGTTTTAATTTGGTGTCTTTCTAAAAGCTTTTAGAACACGTCAGTGCGCAATTGCTTTTTTCTAAAATGTGCAATTTTGGTTTCTTTCAAGTGGTACCACGTACCGGTACGGGCAAGAGACACAGCGGGATGTGGACAAATGCAGACGGGGCGTCGTCCAGGGCGGAAGGATCGCGTGGCCACCGCACGAGCAGTCCGTGGGCTGCTGCATACGCAATCGCGTGCTCCTTGACGTGGACGAGCTGCTGATTGGTCAAGTCGAGGACAGCGCCGCTCTCGTCCGCGCGTGTCGTCGCGACTTCGGCTGCTGCTGCTAAGAGATCTGCCATGTTGACGGGTATTTAGACGAGTGCGGTGACTTGACGTTCTGTGATTGGCTGAAATGAGTTGAGCGCTGAGTTAGAGGTGGGACGATGGGATATGTGTTTTTGCAGTGCTGCGGGAGTAGGTTTGTCTGCAGGATATAAGTTTTGGAGGGGTGTTATTGGTTTGTGGAGGCGCTTTAGACTCGGTGGATGCAAAAGTGGCCAAGTAAAAAAGTTAAAGTCTTTTTCGTACCCTACGTTGGAAAAGTGCTTTGTTTGTTGGCTTGTCGTTTGCGGAGACGAAGTATCACTTGCAGATCGGATATGACTAGAGTCCCATGTGCGAGCTCAGAGCAGTTTCCTGCGTGAATCCGCATAGTCGTGCAATAAATTTACATTACGACCAGCTTGTAATAGTGGAGAATTATTAGTTTTAATTGGTCGCGAAAACCTTCGATGTAGTTGCATGTGCGTAGTTTCTATCCGGTGAACTCCATCTGTGTAGTAATTATCAGCAATGAGAGAGCGACCGCAGTCGCAAGCGGTCAACCAAAATATTGCAATATCGTATCCGTCGTTCATGACAGCTATCGGTTCCTTCTACATGAGAGAATTTACGTGGAACAAGGTATCAAAGACACAGCCGCGACAGATATCGGGCACTAATCAGGCAAACAAGACCGAGCTGGACAACATCCATTGAACAGATTTGACATGCGGCAGTAAAACGATCAAGTCGATGCACATCAATCAGCTTCCTTCACACGACGTCTCTTGGCTTTGTCTACGCAACGACATCCAGTCGTCACCAGTCCTCCTGCCGCTCTCGCCATCTATTTGTTCTTGCGCTTGGCCGCCTTCTTGCTAGCCTTCTTGCTGACTTTCTCAGGTGCTTCACCAAGCGCCGTCATGATGGTGTCAGTGTACGAAGTCACGGCTTTGCTCATGTCGTTCGGGTCTGTCCACGGCCGACGCAGCTCCCCCCACGCTTTGTGCCCAAGCAGCGTAACCTTCGCAACCGGCGACTGCAACAGATTCCAAGGCTGCGTGAGCGCTTGAATCACGAGCGGCGGGAAGAAGCCCCACTTCCAATGGATCAGCACGGTCATGACCGTACCTAGCACGTACTAGTGCAACAACACACAACCAAACAGCCTCAGTCCAAGCACATCCATACACCCTCTCTCCTCTTCCAAGTAAAAGCAGCAGCAACAACAGCTACTTGACGTACACGCTGCAAGTCCTTCCTGACCATCCGTTGGTCATGCTCCGCCACCGAAATCTTCTCAACCTTCTCGCCTTTCTGACCAAACCCCACGTCCTCTTTCACAGTCACCACTCCAGGCTCTGTGTTTCTCTTCGCCTTCATATACATAAACAGCAGTACACTGTAGCAACCAAGCTGCGAGAGGCCATACAGAGCCCGCACCAAGCCCGTGTGAACTACAACAACCGCCACCGCAGCACCAATTCACACAATATCGTTACAAAACCAGCACGAGCACCAGCACAAGACACAGAAGCAGTAGAAGCCACCTACCGGCGTTCTCAAGGTCAAGTATTGACCGCGTCGCGAGCGCAATCGCGAGCGTCACGCCCATCATCACAATGTTCGGAGCCATGATGTTCAAAAAGGAGTCATCACTCGCTAAACCTGTGTACACTTTACGTACACTTGATGTCCACTCTACGTCCATCGTCTTGTTCGACCCTCTATAATGACATACCTCGTCAAACGCGTTCCACCTCTATCATCTTATTCTCGAGCACGCGCGCACGCCCGAGCAGCTCCGGGCGAGACCGCAGGCTTCAAGGCATGGCAGCGGACAAGCGCGTGCCGCGGAACCCGTACAACTTCACGCGTGAAGACTATGATGATCTGGTGCAGCAGGTACCTTCGTGTCGCGTGAGTGCGCGGTCCAAGTACCACGAGATCGAGCTCGTAGAGGACTGTACCCTGTTTGAGATGTACCGCCAGCCTCGGGTGCCTGTGAGCGACCGAAAAGCGACCAAAACGCTGTCGATGCGGCAATTGAATGCCGATCTGACCTGTCCCATCTGTCTTGGCATCATCAAAGAGACAATGGTGGTCATGGAGTGTCTGCACCGGTTCTGTCGCGCCTGTATCTCGACGGCGATTCGCCATAGTAAACGCGAGTGTCCGTCGTGTCGCATCCACATTCCGTCAAAACGGTCGCTACGACCGGACGTGACGTTTGACGCGTTCATTGCCACGGTGCATCCGAACCTAGAGGCATTTGAACGCCACGAGGATGAGATCATTGAACAGGTGAACCGCGCACGGCGGTGCCACGCGGTTCAGAGCAATCTTGATGGAGATACGACAAGTACAGATCAAGGAACAGCAGCTGAAGCAGCAGGGTACCCGTCTATTGCTCGTCGGCAGGTATGTTGTGTGTGTAATACACTGGGACATGAAGTGATGAGGTTGGGAGGGAGAGGGTTCATGAGTATAACCGGTACTGATGATGATGTTATGGTATGTGGATGTGATGATGGTATATTGGGTGGTGGTGGTGGCGTTGTGGTGTGTAGAGCGGAAGGATTCATGGCGAGAATGCAGTGAACCTGTCACGTCCGTCGTCTCCAGTGTATGGCGAGGGACCATTGGTTGGTGAGAAGCGCCATTCGCCTGATGGTGGCTCACCTCGTGCGAATAGATTGTTGTCTGCTGCTGGTTCAGAAGATGAAGGACCGGCTGCACGCAAGAAGTTACGAAACGCATCAAGGTCGAGTACGTTGATGTCGGCAGTTGCTTCTGAACGCGTGAACTTGCGCGTGTTGCTACATGACGACGAGCAGTTGAGACTCCCGATACTGGAGCGCACGCTTTTTACCACGTCGTCCAAGCTCAAAGTCCGGCATTTGAAGAAGCACCTTGCTACGCTGCTCAAGCTCGACACATACGATCGGTTGTGTATTGTCTTGCCGACTGTGAACTGTACGCTCAGTGGCTTGAGTGAGCTGGCCAAGAAGCAAAAAAGTAGCGGCGGTGGTATTCGACAAGATCTGCTGTGCGATCAAGAGCTCGAGGACTTTGTGACTATAAGAGATATTTATCAGCAGTACGGCATGAGTACGGATTGGGAGCTACGTCTGCTGTACCACTTTTCCTCGGGTACCATCATCAATGGCATCGCTCGCTTCGTGCCAGCGGCATCTTGTACCACGTGACTGAGTGGGAACGAGACCAGTATTGCTGGATTATCAGCCGGATTGCGAGTCTCATGTCGTCAGCTGGCATGCTTCGGGTTGGAGCTTCATTTGCCTTTGTTATACAATCCACGTCGAAAACAGTCAGATGCGACTCTACAGCCATATGCAGAGGATCGAGGTCTCAAGCTGCAGCGTAAAAAGTTGGCATTCAACCGTCACTCCCGACTTATTTCAAATGGTGCCACAGATGCTCTAGCGTGCTGTCTTCGTGTGCCAATCGTTTGTGTAAGCCAGATACCATCAAGCTGAGCTCGTGCGTCAACGCTTCGTGTGCAACCTTGTCTACGACCATTTGTCTTCCTCGCAAGAATGCTCGAAGTCGTGCGAGGCACCAAGCAGCATATCGCCGAGAAAACAAATTTTGGCACTTCCATGCAGTATCAATCTCACACAGCATCGCGTGAGCAATGGAAGAGCATTGAACTCGTCCACTGCTCAACATCTTCAAAGTTTCATCCCATGACGATCGCAGTGTTGCAGCATCTGGTGAGCCTAGCTCGGCATCCAAGAAACTTCCTGTCACTTGAGAGATGTGCACGAGCAATGAAGACGGATCTGTCATTTCTTCTCGAGACGTTTGCTCTAGCAAACGCTGCATCACGTAGCGTCGATGGCACCATAGCGCTTCGTGCGTCGGATAGGATGCCATGACATCCGAAACGAACTTGAACTCGGCCAGAAAAATCATAGTCTTTGAAGAACTACTTTCATCCCTCGCATTCTGGCTTTGATTGACCAGCTGGTCGAGCGTGTGTTGTCGATGGTTCCATCCCGAGTGATCGGACACGTGCGTTCGACACCAATATTCCATCCTTTCCAGTTCTTCGGCCGTCAAAACTATCGGGAGTCGCGAGACAATCCAGTGACGATAGCTCCATGCATGGTAATTCCGTGCCTTCTGATCTGCTAGTCGACTAGAATCCTCGATCTGTTGCTTGTAAAACTCCTGCAGATCATCTAAAGATAATGCTGAGCACAAACGCGTAGCCAGCCAACGTCTATATGTGACATTGTCGTTAGTGCCCCAACGTAAACATAAAAAACACATCAATAATCAACTGCGCCATTCACTTTTTCGCACCGATGAGCCCACGTATCAATGCTCTTGGGGTGCAGTGTAAAGATCAAATTAGTAAACTGCATGTCATCCTGAGCGTCCAGCCATCCTCGCGTCACGAACGACTTCCTGCATCCATTTTATAGCAATCGAATCGTAATAATGAAAATAAAAATATAATCCCCCAAACATTAATAATCCCTCCCAATAGTCATACAGCAGAGACTCCGCTCGGCATGACTCTCCAACGTCTTCAATCTCACCGAGTGTTCCACGCCGTGTAAAAGTCGGCACTCACAAGGAGAATAGCTCGTGTACAATACAGCAATTGGGCTCGTTCTCGCTGTCCTTGGGCTTCGATTTGCGTCATTTGGACCGCTTCTTGTCGCAAAAGATCATTTAACGGATGAAACTGCGTGCGAGCAGCTTGAAAGAGCGCGAGTCCAGCGGCAAAAGCCACGCCAAGTTTGTGGTTTTCCAGGACAAAAGCCGAATCAGTCATCAAGTCACTTGGTTCGAGGCCAAAGAGCAGTCCGATTTCATCACTATAGAGAGAGAGAGATGCAGGAATAATAAGTAATATCGAAAGTTTAGAGAATATAATAATCGGGATATTTCACGAAAACCAGAACCATTTTTTCTGTAAAGAAAATGTAAAAAACCACGATAAAGACAGTCAGATAGAGCGCGTACATGAGCGGGTCTTGCTGGAAAAGAAGCGACAGTTGAGTGAGCAGCGCCTCGCCAGAGACCATTTTGGCTCCAGCTATTCACAGGATCGAATAGTGCGGGAGTTGACCAACGTTTTCGGTTGTTAGGTGCGAAAAGCTCGATATGACGGGTTGATTTGATTGATTTGTTAAAGATGACTGGAACATCATAATGTGTTAGGGGAGTTCGGTACATACCCACCCACCCTCTAATACGTCCACACCTGGTCTGTTTGGTATGAAAATGATGCATCACTCATTATAAACCGCTTCTCCAAACACGTAAGACTCAACTACTTTCACCTATGTCGAAGTTGAGCAACATGCGATCATGAAGGTCGTGATCGTTGACACTGAAGCTTTGAACTCCGACTCTATCGCTCTCGGTGTCTCGCTTGGTGCTGTACTGCAAAATGATGTACAATTGCTCGATTGATGCTAGTACAAGATCGACCTGTCAGTTGTGCACTTCTCTATGGGACAGAAGCAATCCCATCAGGTGTTACAACTATACTTCAGGTCGGTTGTCAATAAAATTTAGGGTATCATATAGTCGGTCTATTGCAGCACTCCAAAGGTTGAAATACCTACTAAGCCGCCAGGTTGCAGCGGACTGGAGGTGTACGTAGCAGAGGATGGGTGTGTAACTCTCCTTCTTCAGGCGTCACGCAAACTTTGTAAGGCTACTTGTCAGGAAATACTCAAGAATTGACGAATGCAGTCGATATGTCATCAGAATGGACCGCCGCAAAGCAGCGTTGTGGCAAATCATGAGCTTGCAAAGTGCATCGCTACGTTGACATAAGTTGATAAGATACCGACTAGAACCATCGAATCATCCAGGTCCAAGACTTTATCTAGATCTGGTGTGAGCTACGAAAATCTAGGCGCGAGCTTTCAGCGAGCTTGCTTCTCTTGAACATGGTGATCATTATGTATTCGGTTCGTATGCTTTTCATGCAGTTTCGAATTGATTGGGTCGTCCACTCGAATTACTCCAACATGATTACTAGCATAAGCAAGAGTCCAACACCTTTACCCAGCGCTGCAAGCTTACAACCATCTACACCCAACTGCTTCGTACTGACAGAGCTGCAGCCATTTTCGTGTCTTGTTTGCCCGTGTAGAGAATAAAATCAAACGAAGTGATTGAGCGATTCGTCTGCGTCTGGCATAACTCCTGGATCATGACGTCTGGGCTCGTCGGGCCTACACCTTTTGATGAAGGCGAACACACCAGCTTTCTTCAAGTCTAGACCATCTATACTCCTTACTTTATTTGGTCACACAATGCTCACTTGAAAACTATAGTCACTCTCATGTGCTATACAATGACAGACTCGCTACATCGGTCATTGCGTTCTATGTGCAGCGCCGTGTCTCTAGTATCTGACTCGTAAGTTGATGTTAGCAAAGAAGTCAGCGTGGCTAAATAGCCACTGTATCTTGGTAAGTATCCACAATCTCGCACCACCAGGTCAAAATGTACAAACGTTGACATCTATCATAGAAAGGATTTCTCTTGGCATTAGAAAGCCAATCATAACCAAGCCAGTGTCGTATAAGTATACCAGCCTCGACGCGCCCGACGTGGCACACTTGCAAAGTGTCTATCCACCACGTCTTTACTACCTACCTTGAAGGAACCGCATAGTCGACCGATGACGCGCCCGACTCCGCTGCCATCATACCTCTCACTTGTCATATCCGTGCTGCGTGGAACCAACCAAACTTCAACGTCCACCGCCCTGTATACTCCTTCCGTATTTCCAAAGAGTATGCCACGACCGTGTCCTGCGTAACCCCGTCATAAGTCACTCCGTCACTCAGTATGATACAAAAGTCCGACGTCGCACGCTTGAAGAGCTCATTTAGCCTTTTACCTGCTCTCCCTCACTCGTAATGTCCCTCGCGCCACCGCTCATTAGCCACACGTCAAGCTTCGACACTGCGCTCTTAGCACTTGCACATAGTCGTCACACCATTTACGAACACACGCGCATGTCAGGCGAGAATCGCCGGGCACATCGAATGCTGCCCGTCCATCTTTGGGACAGTTCCACTGATGCCCTCGAAGCTTCTTACGCCCGGAACATCTCCAAGCACTTTTGTGAGGGACCGGTCCGTGCATCAAAACTGCACGATACGCCAATGTACCCACGGGAGACGCTGCTGCTCATCGCACAAAGTCAGTGCTCGATCTACGACAAGACACGGATCTCGGGGGAGTATCGTACAGCACATTGCATGCTGCCTACAGACGTCCGCGTCGAGCAATTGGACCGCTGCTCGGACACCATGGACGCTTGCTATGTGAACGCCATGGCCAACTACTTTGTGACCACGCGCGCTAGTCGGTTGTGACGAGAGAGAAAGCGAGAGATGACCCGGGTCGTATCGTCGTAGGCCCTGTGTGGGGCTACAGGGAAACTGATTTCCATGTTCACCGTATAAGAACTTTGCGTCACGTTTGGGTTGTGTTGGATGGTAGCAAAGCAGCTCGGACGCCGACGGTGGTGGTCCGTTGGAAATGGACCGATTGACCGTGAAGAGGAAAGCTTCCGGCTAGTCGACAATGGATGAATAAGACCAATGGAGATTTCGTTTTGCGGGATGATGGCCTTGCACTCCGACAAAAATTGGACACCGGGGGTTTGTCGTGTTTGCGCTGCTGTAAAGATAGTACCTACTCGGTGTCGTGTATGCTGTATGTTGTGCCCACGCTTGCTGCTGTGGTCGGGTCTTCGGTGACTGATGTAATACAAAAAGCTTGCAGGTTAGTTGATCCTATCCATGGTAGCCGATAAATGAGTATGTGTAGGTCGCCAACTGTTTTTGATCAGCAAGTGATACAACGGCATGCATGACTTCATGTCTCTCAAGCCAATTCTTCAAATGAAACCTCTCGATCCCGTCTCAAGAAGATACCCCGTCGCACAATGTTGCAAACAATCTAACTGCCTCAGTAGTAATGTACATCGTCGTCACCTCAGTTTGATTTTCTCCTGCAAGCCAAGTCAAGCTTCTGTTGCACAAGATGAACAAGGCATTCGGATCTGCCCTGCTTTTGGTTGTTGCAGCTTTCTCCGGCATAGCTGCCGCTCCTTGCAATACTGTTGCCTTGTCGAAACTTTTTGTGACGGGAAATGTGACATCGTGTCGGGCAGACTCAGGGTACGACCCCACGTCTATGGCAGTGCCGACTGATGCGCAGATCACAGCAGTCTGCAATAGCGATGCGTGCAAGAAATCGATCGGCGCGATCAAAGAAGTCGCGCCTGAAGAATGCACAGTTGGTTCCATCCGTTTGTACGCGGACGTCCTCAACCCCTTATCGGAGCGTTGTGGTCTAAGCTCGGGGTCTGGACCCAATACTGGATCAGTTGCTGGAAACACAAGTTATCCTGCAAACACCAACACAACCGGGTCAGCGGCAAACACTTCACAGCCCAACGCGCGTACAAACTCTAGCTCACCTTCGCCAAATGCTGCTGCTAGCAATGAAGGCGCTGACGCTCTGACCATTCCGATGTTTGCTGCTATCGCAGTGCTTGTTGCAATGGTTACTTTGCTTCTATAAGGTATCGTCGACACTGGAAGTGTGCTCGTGTCGTTGGGCGTGTTGCCCATGGCTATTCACAATAACAACCGGAACAACAACAACAACCTCTTGAGTTCTGCATGTACCTCTTCTTGTGTGTACCTTTCCATTTTCCGTTTATCAAGAAACTGAGGCCTTCGTCTTCGGTATCTAGGATGCCTTTCAGCACAAATAAGCATTATACCAATCCAATACCGCGTTTATCACTACTTATTCCCGTTCGCGGAGAAGCACAAGCCACGGATTCATACATAACGCAGCATCGCCATCTTCTTCAGGTAGATAGGGAGCTGCTTCTACAAAGAGCGCTACGTTGAGTCGTGCTGGAGCTGAGTGCGCGCCACTTCCGTGCGGTCGATAGCAGACTGCACGCGATCTGCCTGGAACGCGTCAGCAGGTAGTATTAAATAGGTATCACCATCGATCTCGACCGGTGCAAACCCGACTTCTGCAAGAATATCGATAGCACCAGGTACAGCCACAAGCTTGGACTGAATCGACGCATTCGAAAGTCGAACCTTGCGGAACTTTTCCTCCTGTCAGGAAAGAGCCATCACATGTAATCAGCCAACCCAGATCAACATCACTAGACGTCCAACAACCAACCTGTGGATTCTTCACAACGTTGCTCAGCATCTTAATCAGCGTTTCTGCTGCTGTGATCGCACGTGTCGGATCTTGTCGAAGCAGCACGTACACAGCACCATTCTCACCAGTCTTCTCGTCTGCCGATATAGAGCCAAGTAGTGCAGCACGAGCCATCTCTCCAGGAGGCACAAACGACGTCCCAGCCCCACTGCTCTCTGCTGTCAAAGCACCAGCATTCCCGCCAATACCGTTCATAGCAGACACTGCCTGTGTTGAGGATGAAATAGTCACTGCGTACGGGTTAAAGCCCATCTGCGCCTGAGCGCTTTGCAGCTCTCTAGCCTTGACTTCTTCATTCGAGAGCACGACAGAAACAGCACTTGGTGCAGTGGTCGGGACTGGATCTGTGTATTGAAACTTGCTCTCCTGCTCTTCTTCCTGCTGGAGCCTCATCTTGCGTGCTGTAGCCACACGTTTGTCCCACGCATTACCACGTTGCTCGAGCGCTTTAGCCTGCACCCAAAAGTCTCAGCATGTTGTTTTACTTTCGTATTATTGACGGAGCTACGACGCACCTGCTGCTCGCGTCGCTCCTGTTGTTCCTGTTCCGATAAAGCAGGCGGTTTGTTCGTGATAAACGGCAGCTACAATAATAAAAAAACAATAATTGTTCGGCATACAAAAATCAAGAGTAAATCGTCAAAAACAGCACATATATAAGAACCACTAGATCAAGAGACGGGACGGTCAGAAACGAGATGGAGGGGCACCTTTAATGACGGACCACGAGATGACGCCGTGGCGGGCGGCGGCGGCGCAGACGAGGCGTCAGAAGTACCACCAAGCACGTTTCCTTCCCCTTGAAAGGTCGAGCGCTGATTCTTCATCTTGGCTGCTGCCCGCTTCGCCGCCTTCTTCTTCTTGTTCAGCCAGTCCATGAGCACGAGCAAAGCAGGACGGTGCTTGGTAAAGTTTACGATTAGGGATAAATATCACGGTAGACAAGAATATTTGCTTTTTGAATGACGTTCGTGTCGGACTTCTTTGGAAGTTATTGTCTTTTTTGGCATTCGTGGATGATTTGTATTCGCAATTTCTACGCCAGTGTTCGTTCACTTGAGGATCGGTACGTGCACCGAAATTTAGAAGCAGTGCCATCAATCAACGCCGACTGGAATCAACGAAGCGTAATAGTTGATGCAATGTTACAACAACTATGCTAGTGCGTTGACGCGGACAAGTGTCAAGTTGGCTGTCACTAGCGACTCGATTGATGAGTCACGGTTCATCCACCTATTGCTGGCATTAGGTGAGTCGAGCCGATACAAGCTCTGTATTTCCAGTATGTTTGTACTCGCTTGTCGAGAGAAATCGAAGACAAACGCTGATCAGCAGCTGTAGAACGTGGAAGCAATTGATGTCTTTGGATCGTCAAAGCTCCGCCACAAACGCGTACTGAACGCAAAGAGCGCACACATGATGGCTTCGAATCTCTCGGGGCAACAGCGGGTCCTATCCATGGCTGTTCTGCGTGAGGTGTCTTCGATGACACACGGGCGTATCGAATTAATGTCTGAGTCTCAACACGATTGTCAGAGGCACGCGCTCTATTTTTCAGTGGCTGTCAGTTGTTAATAATTGATCGACGCCTGAACTAATGTCCACGGCCCTGTTTGCTGATTCAACAGCCTTGGCATGGAAGCATCTCCTTGCCGCAACAACTACCCGCAATCTGCTATGCGAGCAACCACGCGTTGCAGTATCTACCACTGAACCGGCCTTCGCACACAAAACGTTGCTGATAGCAGCACTTCCTGACCTTTCTGTAGACAAGCCGCGGTCGCTCAAACAACCGCTAATGTAAAATCACAGCAACGACAAGCTGAAATACGTTGCCACTAATTGCTCCTACGTAGCCACGAATACCCCCGTCTCTCAGACGCATCGGTCTGGGGGTTGCTAGGGTACTCACTTGCTCACCGTAAGAAACGTCTGCCCACGTAAGTACGTACACGCATCAGGAGGTCGAATACAACCTATCTGATGTTTTGTCCACATGCAACTAAAGCATTTGTCACGTGGGACTCGAACACGTGGCTGCAGCCACGCGCCACGGCGGCCTGTGAAGCGTGTCACGTTGATGTTTACGAATCTGTGATGCCTTCAACTTCCGATCGTACCTCAATGATAGATGTTCTGTTCTCAACCCTACCCCCACATCACATGGTCCATCTATGTGCACGGCAACGCACAGAAAACAAAAGACCATCACTCTCTCTCCATGTACGCGCTCGTTGACCGCAAAGATGCCAAGCAGGACGCGTCGCTGCCGCCGCCGTCATCCTCGTCTCCCCCTTCTACCACCAAGCGCGTCCTCCTCGTCCTCCTCCTTGTAACCGTCGGTCTCACCGCCAGCCTCGTCCTCGTCCGCTTTATGCGCAGCGACTCCTTTCACCACGTCGTGCTCTGGCTCCAGACGCACGAGACACTGGGCGCGGTCCTCTACGTCTGTTGCTTCACATTGTTCGTCGTGCTTTGCTTCCCTTCCACGGCCTTTGAGCTGCTCGCTGGCTACGTCTTTGGCTTCTCTCTCGGGTTAGTACTCGCTACAACGGGCAAACTCGTGGGCTCCGTGCTCTCGTTCGTCATTGGCCGCCACGTCTGCCGTCGCCAGGTCCACGTCTACATGTCGCAGGGCCACCCCGCACTCCGTGGATTTCAAAGTCTATTGCGGAAACGCCAGATCCTCGTGGTCTTTCTGACGCGTGTCGCATTTTTCCCCATTGCTCTCAAAAACTACGGCCTGAGCGTGCTCGACGTGACGTTTCCCGTCTACTTTGCCGCTGCGGTACTCACAGGGCTGCCGTTCTCTGCCATCTGGGTCTACTCGGGCCACGCGGTCGAGAATGTCGCGACGCTATTGGCGAGTCCGTCGACGTCAGGACACGGGACCGAGATGATTGTGCTCGTCGTGGGAGCCGGCAGCGCGTTGTTGCTACTGGGCGTTGTGGGCATTTACACGCGCAAGTACGTGCTAGAAATGGCACAGGAAGAAGAAGAAGAAGAAGAAGAGGAGGAGGAGGAAGCCGTGGAGAAAGAAGCGCTGTCGGGCGCGACGGTGTAAAGTGGCTACATTATACCAGATGCTTGCTTCGGAAACGGCTGTTTTTATAGAAAGAGAGAGAGAGAGCGGGCGAGTGGAGGGAGCTCTTGGATGCTCGTGTCATCAGTGGCGCCGTGTGTTACACAGTCCCACTCTTCTAAGGACACCGTGACACGGCCGTTTGACGGTTTCTAGACGGCGGAACGTGGAGCTCCACTCGTTTGTGACAGCACCAGTACTTGCACGTGATAATGGAGGTAAGCAAAGGGAAGCACAATGACGGGATGCGAGTGACCTGGTACCTCTTTTTTCCCCGTTTTTTCATCATTGAGCGATTACTTGATTGACTGTGTAATCACTCATTCGCCATTCGGCTTTGCACTTCCTCAGAGAGTTTGATTTGACTGACAGGACTTACAAGGCTGGAGTCCGCATCATGCCAAGACGTTCTCGTCAGCTCTCGCTCACTACCAAGTGGCGACCAACCAGTTCTTGCACGACATTGCCGGGATCCAGGGTCAACTTGAACTCGTCTGTCTCGAGTGTGTCAAGCGCGCCCACGCCCGTGCTCCAGTCATCGCTCACAAGCTCGTACCAGAAGCACGTTCTACAGAGCCATCATGAGATTGGAAGTTCTAGACCCCACGCTACGTCGGCAAGAGGTCTAGAAGCTCCAGAAGCTCCTCAGGCCACGCTTTTTGCGCCTCGACGTCCAGTTGGTGCTGTTCCTGAGCTTTTCGTGACTTTCCGACACGTTTTGCTTTCTGTGGACATCCCCGTGCCTTCTGCAGCAGTAGCAGCTCAAGCTAGTTCAGGTCAACTGAGTCGAGAGTCACTCGCTGCCAAGCACTTACCGACCATACCAAATCATGTCCGAAATATTGTAGGAGGACTCACTGCAAACAGGACGTTTGTCCGTCGACAGCTTCTCAAGAATGTGACTGGAGCTTTCACACCGGGTTCGATGACACTGGTACTTGGACGCTCTGGATCGGGCAAGTCCGTGCTGCTCAAGCTATTGAGTGGACGTTTCAATGTCAATGGAAAGAGCGTGACGCTAGATGGCGAAGTTTCGTACAATGGGTTGAGTCGGGATCAGCTCACGTCACAGCTCCCACAATGTGTGGCGTACGTGCCGCAGCAGGACACGCATCTGCCTGCAATGACAGTGAAGGAAACACTGGACTTTGCATTCGATTGCTGTGCGATTCGCGCTGATGCAAAGCCTGTGAGTGCTGTGTACAACGCGCCTACGTTGGAGCACCCGGTCGCGCTTCCAACCACGTATCTTGGTGGCGAGCGAGACCCAGTGGCTGTGACACGGGAACTCGGTTTGACACACTGTCAAGGCACCATCGTTGGCGACGAACGCATTCGAGGCATCTCTGGGGGTGAAAAGAAGCGCGTGAGTACGGGTGAAATGGCGTTTGGTCCGCATGCTGTGTCCATGATGGACGAGATCACGACAGGGCTTGACAGTTCTGCGGCTTTTGATATCGTAAATGTGCAGCGTCGTCTGGCTCGACAGCAACGACAGACAGTGGTGATATCATTGCAGCAGCCTGCACCTGAAGTGTTGGCACTTTTTGACAACGTGTTACTGCTGGCTGAAGGCGAAGTACTGTACCACGGATCTCGTGCTCATATCCAGGCATACTTCGAGGCGCTGGGCTTTGTTTGTCCTCCTGAGCGCGACCTCGCTGACTTCTTGTGCGATCTGGCTTCTCCGGAGCAAGTTCAGTACGAAACTTCTCGTATGCCAATGTCCGGGAGGCGCCGCCACCCTCGCAGTGCGAGCGAGTTTGCTGATCTATGGATTATGTCACCTATGTACGAGGCGATGGTGGAAGAATTGGACTATCTGGACAAAGATACGAAGACGTGCAGTCAAGCATATAGTAAGAATGGTGAGAGAGAGCTGTACTTTGATCAAGAAGCACTGCTGCGAGTCCCAGCAACTCGTCAAAGCTACTGGTGCAGCACGTCGATCGTGGTGAAGCGACAAATGCGTTTGGTTATACGCAACAAGGAATTATGCGCTGGTCGACTGCTGCTGGATCTACTGGTTGGCCTAATGGTGGGTGCAATTTACTATAACATGGACCTAGCGGACCCACAAGTTACAGTCGGCGTGGTCTTCTCATGCGTGTTGTTTCTCGGACTTGGTCAATCGGCGGCGCTCGCACCATTTTTTGATGCACGGGGTGTATTTTATAAACACCGCGGTGCTAACTTTTACCGCACGTCCAGCTATGTTCTTGCCTCGTGTGCCAGTCATCTACCACTAGCACTTATTGAAGCGCTGGTCTTCAGCTCACTGGTCTACTGGATGGGTGGATTCACTGCAACTTTCGAGCATTTCATGGTGTTTGTTACGTACATGCTCCTGACAGTGCTGGTGTTCATTGGCGAGTACTTTTTTCTGGCTGCAGCATGTCCGACACTCCATGAAGCCCAGTCAGCTTTGACATTGGCACTGCTTTTGTTCATACTCTTTGCCGGCTTCGCAGTTTCTCGTGAACAACTTCCGTGGGCTTTGCGATGGATTTACTGGTGCAACCCCCTTGCGTGGGCGATTCGCGGGATCATGGTGAGCCAATATCGTAGCAGTGAGCTGGATGTCTGCGAATACGGAGGGATTGACTACTGCAAGACGTATCAAGGGCAGACGTTAGGCGATTACTCTCTTGGGTTGTATGATGTTCCCGGTGAACCCAAGTGGGTTATGCTGGGAATGCTGTTTCTCGCACTAGTGTACGTCGCAACCATGCTCATGTCATACGTGATGCTGAATTACTATCGTCATGAGGCTATTCCAGCATTGCCACTATCGTGCAACCCGTCATCAGGTTTTTTTGGCGATACGGTGATGACACCGAGACAACCAAACGAGTCATACGCTATGTTGTCTACGCCTCGAGGGAACGAAGACGATATGCAGGAGAGTGATTTGGTTGGGTTTCCGCTCCGCGACGATGGCAACGATCTCGTCGCTTCGGGTGGAGGTGATGTCGGCCTGGGCGGCTCGTCTGTCGTCTCACAAGGGCTCAAAACGAACCCTGAGGACGTTGTGGTACACTTGACACCTCGACGGGACGTGCTACCTGTCACGCTTGCATTTCAAGATTTGCGGTACAGCATTTCTGTCCCCACAGGTGCTATCGATGTAGACGGACAAGCAGAAGGTGAAGGAGCTCCAGGTGGCCCAGTTGCTGTTGATGCTCGTGCGAACACGAGTAAGAAGAAGGAAACAGTGACTCGAGAGTTACTGAAGGGTGTCACAGGGTATGCATTGCCTGGCACAATGACAGCACTGATGGGCTCTACTGGAGCTGGAAAAACTACGCTTTTAGACGTCCTAGCTGGTCGAAAGAGCGGAAAAACAGGCAGCAAGAATGGCACATCAACTTTACGAGGCAGGGTGCTGCTGAATGGAGTTGACGCTACAGAACTCGCGGTGCGTCGATGTACGGGTTATTGTGAGCAAACGGATGTGCATTCTGAAGCAGCGACATTCCGAGAGGCATTACAGTTTTCGGCGTATCTCCGTCAAAGCGACCAAGTTGCACCCGATAGGGTCGAAGAGATTGTCGACGAGTGCCTGGACTTGCTGGGACTAAATGACGTAGCTGGTCGGTTGATCCGTGGCAGCTCGAGTGAGCAGCTCAAGAGACTGACTCTAGGCATCGAACTCGCTGCGCAGCCCAGTGTACTATTCCTCGATGAACCAACGAGCGGTTTGGATGCTCGAGCTGCAAAGTTGCTGATGGATGGTGTTCGCAAAGTGGCGGATTCGGGACGGACGGTCATTTGTACGATTCATCAGCCATCTACTGAAATCTTCTTGCTTTTCGATAGCCTCTTGCTTCTCCAGCGCGGTGGCGAGACCGTGTACTTTGGTGAATTGGGCCACAATGGTGAAACGATAGTAAACTACTTTCAGGGATTGAGCTCGCAATGTCGTGTGCCGCCATTTGAACCAGGCGACAATCCGGCCACCTGGATGCTGGATGTGATTGGTGCAGGTGTTGAGAGGATGAAGCCAATGTCGTCGCTCGCGCGCAAGTTCAGACGCCCTGATCCACGTGCACTGAAAAATTATCGTTTACAACAACTGGATGGATCGTTCAATTCGTCCGCTAGCGTCGAGCACAAGCGGCAAAATCGTGCTGAAAGTGTGGACTTTGTAGCAGCGTACAAGTCTAGCCGCATCAAGCAACGTCTGGATGTCAAGCGTGCTGCACCAGGAGTGTTTATGCCTTCGGATCGGTTGCCGCCCGTGACCTTTGCTCAACGTCAAGCAGCTAGTGACCGACTGCAGTTCGCGATGCTCCTGCGCCGGTTCCTGCGGCTTTATTGGCGCACACCGCTTTACACGCTTACTCGAATGGTGACTGCGCTGACTCTCGGCTTGGTGTTTGGACTGGTATACTCTGGCACCAATGATCTCACCACGTACCAGGGTGCTAACGGTGCCGTGGGTTTAATTTTCTTCTCGACGTGCTTTTTGGGCGTTGGAGCCTACGTCCAGGTGCTCCCACTGGCATTCGAAGAACGCGGCTCATTTTATCGTGAGCGTGCTTCTGAGACGTACAGTGCGCTGTGGTACTTTGCGGCTTCATCGGTGGTGGAGATTCCCTACGCAGCCGTTGCTTCCATGATCTTTGTCAGTGTATTTTACCCGATGGCAGGCTTCGCTGCCTACGGTGACTTTGCTCAAGTTGTGGTCTACTGGTTGGTGTTGACCATACACATCTTGTTCCAGACGTACTTTGGTCAGTTTTTCACATTCGCCACCGCAAGTATCGAGCTCGCCGCTGTCTGGGGCGCACTCTTCGACTCCATTTTTCTCATGTTCATGGGCTACAATCCTCCCTTGTCAAGCATCCCCGACAAATACAAATGGCTGTCCCATTTCGTGCCGCACCGCTACGCGTTTCAAGTGCTCACAGCGTTGGTACTTGGCGAATGTCCGGATGAGCAAATGCAGCAGATTGCAGAGGCTGCTGCCACCAACACCACGATTGATGTCTCAAGTTGGCCACTAGGCTGCCAACCGCTCACTGATGCGCCTCCCGCTGTGGCCAACATCGCGCTCGCCTCGTACATTGATAAAGTGTTTGGAGCCCGCCGTGAAGATACCGCAAACTCGGTCACCGTCGTTGTCGGTATCTTGCTCGCGATGCGATTAGCCACGTTGATCGTCATGCGTGTCATCAACCACCAGAAGCGCTGACGAAAAACGCATGCAAAGTGCTGCTTTTGTACATATTTCCAGCCCGGGTGATCCATGACACATTTCGCTCGGCTCTCGTGGATGACTGACTACAGCTGGAAACACTCGGATTCCTTGCAACAGCACCATCATGAATATGCTCCGTATTTGACTGGATGCAGCAAGATCTCGCGTGGCTACGTTCCGTGGTGTTGTGTCGAGGCATGAGACACTTTTGATGACGATCGGACCAGCTTCTTACTATGACAAGAAAGAGGTCGAGTCTATCATTGCACTGTCTCGTCCTCTCGAAAATCGATACTGGCAGGGTATCCTGTCGTTCATGCACCAATTTTGTGGTCTGCTGTAGAAACAAGTTCTCCAGCAATCAATCGAAAGCCCACGCACGGTCGGATGTAAGCTGTTCACGCTCAGGTTTAGCTATGCGATGCTGTGCGGTGTGTTTAGAACGTTGCCAAAGTATGCTATACTGGGCTGGTACAGACATTGACAGCATCATACTCCTTCTCCAGTGACTGCTGCTAGTGTATAGACTTTTGCAACTTGATTCAGCTCTCCAAACTGAATGACTCATATCGAAAAACGAGCTCCAGAGCTTGCTCCCCTATTTTACCCTTAGATTCTTGACGATGGTAAACATCGTCCCCACCCTTTTACGACACGCAGTCATAAGTTATCGAAAAACAGCAGGTATTCATTCCCCAACCAAATTCCGTGGTATAGACAGCTTCTTGATGACCACGTTTTGCTACGATTGTCACTGCATATGCATAAGCGCAGCGTTAAAATCCAAAAACATGGTGCTCCGTGTCTGAATGAAGCCGATTTCGCTACCGCCGCTGGACGAGCAACACAAATAGTGTCTTTGAATTTGTAGGCACTCTAGCTTTCTGGCGAGGACTGAAGGGTACACCATCTATCTACCCTATAACAACAACGAGAGGGTTTTCTATGCTTCCCGTTACTTTGAGAACGCTGTACGAATCGTAGAAACTGTTTCGTCTCCCACCCCAGCTGCTTCACTCTGATGTTCGAATCAGTCGCGTCTGTCGCCTCGCTCTCTGTCACTCACACTTTTGTTTTTGATCCGACGAGCTCGGACAAGAACGAGAACCCGCAAGAGGCGCCGCAAGCATGAACAAGATGATGATAATTGCCATGGCAGCAATGCTGCAGCTGCCTGTGACACGGGCACGAATTGGATCTACAGTGCAGGGTTCCGACGAGGCTTGTCCGACTCTCTGCACGCGCGAGTATTATCCTGTGTGTGACTCGGCCCATGGTGAACACGCAAACAGGTGCTTGTTCGACGTGGCCGTGTGCAAGAACTCGTCGCTTACTGAGAAGCCGTGCAAGGCTAAAAGCGGGTACTAAAACTCCAGTGCCTCTCGAGCCATGTGAACAACACAAGTCCTCGTTCTACCGTCGTCTTCGATACAAAAAAAAGACAAAGTGTCACTCCACCGTAATGCTCTGCAACATGTATCCACCCGTCTCAAAAAAAGTACAATCACCAAAAAAAAGAAGGCAAAACCAACCCGCTTGATTCCACACCAAAAGCGCGTTTCACCATCCTGTCGCTTTTTATAAAAAAAAACTAACGATAATTTGCGTCGCTACTAAAAAAAGCACCAGCGCCCCACATTTTTTCACCCGGTCTTGTCCCATTTGACATTCACAAATACGCAAAACATGGCGAAGCTCGACTTCTTCCGGTGCGTCGTCCCCCCCTCCCTCGTACCTGTATGCATGTGCGTGTTTCCTATAATGTGCTTTTCCCCCCAGACGCGTCCCCGACGACCTCGAGGTCCCGACGGCCAGCGGGAGCGTCTTCTCGCTCGTGTCGTTCGTCGCCATGGGGTTCCTCCTGCTCACCCACTGGAGCGCCTACACCGCGGCCAGGACCAAGACCGCCGTCGTGCTGGACGAGCACCAAGAAGACCGACTCCGGGTCAACTTCAACGTGAGTCTCGTCAACGTGCCGTGCGCCGTGGCCAGCGTGGACCTGGAAGACTTTATGGGGCAGCGGTTCACCAACTTGACGCGCCACATTCGCCACTTTGGGCTGGTGACGGACGCGGAGACGATGCGGGTGCATCGCATGGACGAGGTCGTGGTGGACAACCACGAGAAGGGGATCCCGGTCTGGGGCGGAGTCCATCGCGAGCCACCAGCACTGGACGGCGGCAACGTCCGCTACTCGACGCCATTGACGAGCAAGACCTTTGACGAGTTCATGGCCAAGTACGAGCTCGTGCTCGTCAATTTCTATGCTCCCTGGTGTGTCTTTAGCCACCGCCTTCATCCTGAGTGGGAGCGAGCGGCGGCCGAGCTGCCGGACCATCCAGAGTACAGCGAAATGGTGCGGATGGCGTCCGTGGATTGTACGGACCCGGACGCGATTTGGCTCTGTCGGCGCGCGCACATTCGCGCGTTTCCGTCGATGCTCATCTACGTATACGGCAGCACGTCGACACGCTACGTCTACAACGGACCACGGCGGACCGAGCACTTGCTGCAGTTCTTGGACTTGTTCTTCCGTCGTCTTGAGCCGGATGCGGACTTTGCGGAAGAAGTGAACGTGAACAACGACCCGCTTGGTCTGCCGCTGCCTGTGCGCGTGAACGAAGGGAACTTGGACGCGGTAGACTTTGCAAAGCGCCGCCCGTCGAAGGCCGTGCAGACTTTTGAAGGGTGCGAGATTGTGGGCAGCATCAGTGTCAATCGCGTTCCTGGCGTGCTGGCGTTCACGGTGCGCTCCGATGATATGACGTTGGATGCACGGTCCATCGATGTTTCTCACGTCGTGAACCACTTTTCGTTTGGTCAAGTGCGACGGACAGAGCACCTCTTTGTTGGCGGTAACAACGTGTTGGCAGCTCCATCGAACCGCTATCCGCTTGACAAGAAGTTGTTTGCCGTTGAACGCGTGAACATCTCGGTGGAGCACTTTTTGAACGTAAGTGCATGTTGGTGCGGTGGGGGAGGGGGGCTAGAGATGGCGACTTACATCGTGCTTTTGTGTCATTTTCGTGCGCTTGATGACAGGTGGTGGGTTTCGACAGCCACGTTAACTCCGGAGCGACGCACCTGCAGCAGCGTTCGTACGAGTTCTCGGCAACGTCCACACAATCTGTTGATAAGCAGCCGAGCGCGCTCTTTCGGTTTGACATATCTCCGTTGGTCATTCAGGTCACCGCTGACGACACTCCGTTTTATCACTTTATCACACACTTGTGCGCAGTGATAGGGGGCGTGTTCACGATTCTTGGTCTCGTGGACTCGGGGGTCTTCCATGCTATGAACTCCATCAAGAAGAAGCAGCAGATTGGGAAGCTGTCGTAGAGATTGCACCATTCATTCCCGATGCATTGGATCGAAACCCGCTTGCCCAGGGCAAAAGAAATAACTGCAAGAACATTGGTCTATTCATTGCAGTGCTGGTAGCACTTAGTCATGTATATATACATCCATTGCACGGACAGCACGATATCGCAACGAATAGTCACCGTCGTGTTGGTCTTTGTGCGTCGAGGTAGTACTTTACAGCATCGAGTTTCCGAAAGTGCTGCGTGACGGCGAAGCCCCACACGTAAATGTTTCCAACGGCACAGCCAACCGAGATCAGCATGAGGGGTAGAAACGGATATCGCACGCCAATACGCGGGACGTACGGAAACACTGCAGCCAAGAAAGCTAGACCAGTCAGCCCGGCGAGGAAAACTCGCTCGAACATCGACATGCCAACAGCAGTGACCTTGATATGTCGATCCTTCAGCGACTGCTTGAGCAGCGGAACAAGCACGACCTCAGCAAGCAGCGCATGGCAAGCGCCCAGAAGTACCTTCGATCCCTGTTCAGCAGGCGTGAATAATAACGGAAAGAGCGAGATCGTCGCGACCCCCGCTGCGAATCGATACAACCGCATACCGGCAACACTGTCGGCAGCCAGTAGTGCCAGCGGAAGCGTCACCTGCAAAATAGCTTTCTCATGCACATGATACCCGAGCAGGAACGAGCACAGCATGCAGTAAGCAAGTGCACTCGTAAACAGCGACGAGTCTGGATACTTCCACACGCTTCGTAACACCGGTATCATCATGGCGAAAGTCAGCACTGCACACACAATCGGAGATACAGTAGGCAGCACGGCAAAGCTCGCCTCCTGAACAAGTCCGCCGCTCATGAGCGCAACGCCTTCCGTTGAAGCTGGGAAGCCAAGTATCAACAGAACCTTGTCCAGAAAAGCATACAGCGCCCAAACGTTAGGTGCCCAGTAGGCATGACACAGTCCTCTCTGAACAGGAAACAACCGCGACACAATCTGCTGTATGCCAACTATCGGGTCCTCGTGGTCCCACAAGAGACTTCCAAAAGCACAGGCAAAGACCGCAAGTACAATGGCTCCTAGATGCAAGAATCGGACGAGCGAGAACGTCACATTCCCATCCTGAAGATCCTGTAGAGTCTCGTGCACGTCCGTGCTCGAGATCGACCGCTTCCTCAGCATCTTGATCGTCATGTTTGCATCATCATAACAGTCCTCAAAACTGCCGTCTGCCACCTCTAATCCCGCTTTCTTCACGTAGCAATAATGGCCCAATAAATAGACAAAGTACAGCGGGGCGGCGTAGAGATAAATGTGCTTGAACATGAGCAGCACAGCATAGTACAGAGCGCCTCGGCGATCCTCTTGCAGTCGAAACTTCGTGGCCGAGAGAATCAAGAGCCCCAGGAGCATGCCATTGTACTGGAAATGAATGTGGTCCACATAGAGCAACGCTGCATCCAAGACCGTAACCAGCAGGATAGCGCTTCGTTTGGCCTTGGAGAACGCCCACTCGGTCGTTGTCACACTTGGCCACGACGCACAATAGGCGTAGACCGCATAGAAAAGCACCACGTCCGACGCGATGACGCTCACGCGCTGGAACAGCACGAGCGACGGCGAGGTGATGGGTATCCGGCTAAGTACGAGCACCTTGTCCTTGTCCAGCAGCACTTGAGCAGCTACGACACTTAAAACGTACTCAAAATAGGCAAAAAACGGCGGGTAGTCAAGAGTCCATGGACTCGTGTGGTCCACATACCACAACCGACGGGGTAGGGTATGTGTGAGACTTAGCCAGTTCCGATGGACCTCAAAGTCCGTGCTCGTGTAGGAAGGAAGCAGGAGCAGCTTGAGGCAGACGGAGAAGAGAAAGAGCGCGACGAGTGGAGCGTCCAGTTCGTGCGTCCGCTGGCGCTGCGTCGCTGGTGTAGCAGCAACAGCAGCGGCAGTTCGAGTGGCTGAGGTCATGACGTGCTCGGGGATTGGCTGAAAAGAAGACGGGTGGACACTCGAGCGAGGGAAGGACTCGAGTGGTACCAAGCTGGATGGTGACGAAGCGAGTTGATTGGAAGATAATGTTTTTACAGGTAGAAATAGGGAACGATGGAAAGAAATAGAGGTGGAAATGATTTGGGTAGGATTGGATTCGACGAATGTGGACTGTATCGCTATGATCTGGCATATCGTTGAAGTGTGTGGACGACGCAGGTGAGTTGTGGTTTATGAAGAAAGTATTCTTGACGATAAATAACTTGCTCATTCCGTCATACACGCTAATTGCGGTTACTTTGCGTTGATGTCATACGACAATATCGGGAATTGGTAAAAAGTATCTTCATACCCTCGCCACGATCGAAGAGTGTGGTTGCCATACTGGAAGTACCTGATGCAGTATTGGAGATTTCTGGAAAAGAAGAGGAAAAGGCTTCGTAACAACTTCCTGTGACTATAACTGCAAGTGCTGTTGAGAAGCCAAGCTCCGATCTCCAGGTCCAATTTGAACAAGTGACGACCAATCGCGTCCAGACTGCAACAACTTCATCCGTTAAGCAGTATACGTGGCAGTGAATAACGATGCAGCACCAGATTCATGAGCACAAAATGCCAATGCTCCATCTCTTGATGCCTCGTCTGTACGGCGATGATGCGCTGCACCAAGCGAGTCGCTCATCTTCGAAGATTTGTTGTTGCGAGCTTGACCAGTGTGCAACTTGTCAGATGTAGACCACCTGCCATCCAATCATAGATACAGGTCCCACAATGCCAGGATCAAACTTACGACCTGAAGAGAGAGCAGGCGCTTCTATGAGGTGTCCTCCAGTAACAGATGAACGTGTCGTTCTGTGTTCCAGCTCGAGTACACCTCATTTGCAAGACATGGTAGACAAGGGTGCTTGAGACGGTTTGTCACAAGCCGGATGGACCAACTTGGTACAAAGATCAAGCCAGGAAGCTGCGATTACCATCTGATTATGCGCACGGTCCAATACGGGTAGTCACCATGCAAGCCAAACTCACCGACTCGAGTCTATCCGTGTATTCATTCAGCTGTTGAAATAATGCAGCATGTGCAAGATGACGGAAAACCCTGCGTAAAAGCAGAAAATCAAGAACCCATAACCATTTCCAATCCCTTGCGTTTGCTCAAGGATGCGGTTGCTCTGCAAAAAGAATTCGTTCGAGCACAGTCGTAAGATGAGCGGTAATTATACGAAAAAACGTGTTCACAAGCCGACATCTCACCTGGCTGACGTTGGACTTTGTCTCGTAAGCATGGTGCTGAATTTGCTCGATATCGCTCTGCTGCTCCATAATTTTGTCCGCAAATTGTCCCATGAGGCTCGAGATTTCAGCCATTTTGGACTCCATCTTTCTGTAGACAACAGGGCAAACGACTGATATGTTACCATGGAACGCTGTTGGAGCATGCTCGCTCCACCTACTTTGCATCCTCGAGATTTTCCTGGAAATGTCGATGTAATATCACGTTCTCAACAGCAAAGCGGCGGCCTTCCTCTTCGGTAAGCTCAAGCTCGTCGCTTTGTGAGGCGAACAGCGGTGGTTGCTGCAGCATTGAGTTTCGAGACGTTAGCATTCGGCATTCAACTCAGCTCAGACGTTTGTTCCACCTCACCTGCACGGATGCCGTCCGATTTCGTGTGTTCAAGATGTCGCGGTGAGGTTTGTTCGCCCTAGTTTGCTCCACCAGTGGTGCATTCACTGATAGTGCGGAGCTAGCACAGGTCGACAATGCAGGCGATCCAGACGTCTGAGACGATGGAATTGCTGGGGCGTCGGTATTTTTATCGAGCATGGTAGCGATCTGTTTCTTCGTAACTCCTACATGCCTCAAGCGTACAATTGTTTTCTCCAGTGCATCCAAACCTTGTCGGTCGTCTTCCGGCAGCAAGCTGGAGCATCAAAGGCACTTACCAGCGTTAGCTAGTTGTTTCAGCTGCACGGAAAAAATCGAACGGTGCTGACGAGAGAGTACACAACAAACTTACCGCGAGGACAGCAGGAAAGGCTGCTGGTATCTCTTCTTTTGCATCTGCTTGGCACTGTCTGCCGTGCATTTCAAACGCTACACCAACAAAAACGACAACGACCACACAAGACGTTCATAGTCCAGACTCTCCAGCGGCCACCACAAACCAGCCATTACCTCTAGCAGATATGCTACTACTTCTTTCCGGAACTCTTTCACGCTAGCCACAGCAGCTTCGTAGCAATAATTTTCAGTGTTTTTTCGCTCAGCAAATCTTCAAATACCAAGCTTCAGTAGAAAGATGCAGTAAGACGTACGCTGAACATCTGCCGCCGACTTCAAGACATCAATCCTGCTGCTGCAGTTTTTAATGAGCTCCACTAAATCCTACAATCGATTAAAACAAAGTGGCGTCAGTGCTTTTTGCTTGACATAAAATGTCCCTTTTTGGTGGTTTTTTTACTTACAGCGTCCAGCTCGTCCTTGTCCTCTTCACTCATCCGGGACCCTTTGGTTCGAACGAACCGCTTCGGTAGCAGATATTTCGGTCTCACTTGACTTAACAGCTTTTCCAATTCCAGTACACTGCTCAGCTAGAATTTCAAAAATACGAGATTTTTACAAAAAACACAGCAAAAATGCATATTACGGCATCTACTTTTTAGGAACCAAATTTTTCGGGTCAGCAGACGTACCAGCTCTGAGGCTTCCCGAACAAAAACACTTTGTTCGTTTGGGACGATACCAGCACGTATTGGAGCAAGCTCCCGGAAGCTCGGGGTCACGTCCACACGCATTCTAGCGACAACCTTAAAGTACTGCCGTTTAATTGGATCAATCGGATTATACCATTGAGAAAGCCGATTGGCGGTCGCAGCGGAATTATAGTTTTTATATATTGCGCTTTTTACGAAATGCCGACTAAACAATGATTTTTGTGGACCACCAGCAAGGGTATCTTGGCGTTAAGAAACTCAGCTGAATCTTTTGCTATTTACGAATAGGTAATAGAGCGAACATAATCAGGCGTCACTATTAACAAATCACACAGAGAAAACTGGATGGGATGCTACAGTATCGTATCGCTCAAAACAAACGCTGGGAACTCTTCCGAAACTAGATGTTAGCACCAAGAATACGCTAAACTGAGTGTTACATACTGAACTTACGTCGCATGCACAGCTGAGTACAAGGTTTGTATGGAAAACAACATGAACTACCTAAGCAATATCAGGGTCGTGCTGTCTTGTCACCAGGCCGAAGTAACCTTGGACTCAGTGTGAACCGTGCATCTGGCCAACGGGTGCATTACATCATCAAAGGAATTGCGGCGGAGGATACATTCACCCGCGTATTCACCTCCAGGTTTGGTCAATATGGCACGACTAGGACATTCAAGAAAGGTCTGACGGCCTGTGGCACGAAAGAGTAAACCACATGACATTAGACAAGCGCACCCGTTGTTGAAGTGGAGGTAGTGTACAATTGAGTGCTTTTGTCAAGCGTTGATGGTACTGTTAGGGCCGCTTTCGACGCTTGCTAGGATGCGCTAACTGCTACCCGGTTGCAATGGCTCAACATAGCAAAGAAAAAATCATTGACTAGAGAGATAATGGATGTCTTCTACACAATAATGGCACGGTAGAAACTGCCAGTCGAGGAGTAGAAGAAAATGGAAAGTAGGCAATATTAGTGCAATAGACATAGTCCTGGTTCATGACTGCTTCCTAGTGTACTCTCGACACTCGTCGTCCTCCTGCATTACGTTCCGCTGTGCCTATCCTCATGTACATGTGTGTGATCAAGACGAACGCTTGGTTCCACATGAAATCAAGCTTGGGATGATCCCGCAACCTCCAGTCTTCTAGTACGCTGCTGGTCATCAACCAGCCGACGTCAGATGAAGCAACCGAAAATAGCCTCCGGATTTGGTGCAGCTTCATATAGATATTACGTAGATCCCTAGTCCCTCGCATCACGATAAAAATCTGTACGCTTCACCTACGATATCGGCTTCTCCAGAAGGAAGATACGTCTTACGTAAGACTTTTAGCAGTTGAGCTGCTCGCTCCATCTGGTCGGGTAGGTCTTTGAGCAACAGAAGATAACCGTGCACTCTCTCCGCTGATCTCCAACAACGAAGCAGTAGACCAGATGTCGTGAAAGCTCCGACAAGATCGATACACGTCCACACATCTCAAGAACTGTTTAAGTTCTTACAAACGTCGAGCGCTGGCGTCTTGTCCATCGTGTAACGGGGTAGCCCGTTACAAGACATTGACACCGAACGGTGTCAACAAGGAGATTGTCTAGCGTGACAATTCCCTGCCAATATTATCCGAGATGGATAATATTGCAGGAATATTATCTTCTTTGTAGAATAATATTCTTGCGCTGCTCAAAGATTGGTTAATTAAATTGTATCAACCAAGTTTACCACCAATCGCTGCTAGACGCGCGCAATGAGTGGTGAGCAGGTTGTCGTCACACGACAATGTTGATTAATATAGTTAGATGAAGACTGAAGCTATATTGATAGCTTAACTATATTAAAACAGTTCTCTTTTTACCTTTTACCCAAACAGCTAGTTTGAATAGATTAGCTTCCTCTGCACGTACTAGTGTACGTAAGTTTTGTGGCACCCGAAACAAAGGGTGCCCCGTTACACATCGTAGCACCTGGTACTTCCAGGCATGTTGATTCGATGGGCATCAAACGGTAAACATCTTGGAAATCGAGCCAGACTTCGCCCACATATCGTGTAGCAGCACTACTTAGTACTCCTAACCGGGGGAGTCTTAGACTCAAAGCGTATCTCAGGTATAACAAACTAACAACGTCATTCGTTCAAGCGTACAAGCTCAACAATCCCGGTTCCAAAGGGATTACGATTCATAGAATCACACACTAACTAGTCACTACTAGTTGAACAAGAGTAAGTGCCTTTACAAGGCTCATGCTCTAAACAACGCACTACGCCTTGACTAGGCACTTGTGTACGACGATTTATAAAGGGAAACTAAATTTTATTGATTCTTTTAGCTACGGTAATATAACCCGAAAGCCTTGTCTGACTGACTTCTACATTGCAATCCGATGACAGGAGTCTTATCCCTTATCCCCACCCGATAAGGTGCGGTATTACCGTAGTACGTGGTACCTATACTGTACCACTCAGATCCACTGTTATTTACTTGGTCTGGACACACAACATAACCGGTTTGATAACGGCTTTGTAACCCCGTTACAACCTTCCTCATCATACTGTCAACACCCGTGTGTGTACAATTCTTCTACTGTTCTCTGAAGTCTCAAAGCTCTAGTTCTTGACCATCGTGTTCACTACACATCTCAAAATTACTGAGTCAAAGCCTTCGTCCAACACCCTGGAAGAATTCCTCGACGAGGGTATGGTGGATTATGAGAGTTACATCGCCGCCTCAAGTATCTACGACCGTCGTCCAGCTGCGCCACCTCCGCGTGACACCGCGCGAGTCGCGCCTAATCCATTCGTGGAACGCGATGCGGTACATTCACCCCTTGCACAGCGTGCAGCCGTCGACCTTGCGTTGGGTGTGTTGCACAACACACTCAATGAAGATCAAGCTCATTATCTTCAGTCAGTCGATGACCAGGCGTCCAGCATATTGTATAGCCACAGCGTACGCTCACAGTGGTTACCGCTCCACACGACCAAGTGTAAATGAACGCATTCGTTAAATTGCCGGGCAGTCACTCGCAACATGAATCACGGGACCTAAGGCTGCCACAGTCACAGCACTAGTGGAGAGGGAGGCTCTCAGAGCGACGAACCCTGGGGATCGAGTGCATGACCATTCAAGATTATCATGACAGGCTGAATCTACAAGCACAATGTGCACCTGTGTTCGCCTTGCGAACAACACCCATTATTCTCTTTCTGGTGAGACAGACAGAAGAGGCGGAATTGATGTCGTGTCCACGCGTTGGGATCACAGAGCTCGCCTTCTATTATACTTTGGTAATATCCAAGAGAGCGCTTCACTTGCTGACGTTCAGCTTAAACGAAATCTGCGCTTTGATTTTGCCAAACAAGAGGCCAAAGGCCAACTGCGATCATTCTATCGCACCTTCTATGCTTCGGCAGCTACGGGCCCTCACATCAGTACACCTGATGCAACTTCAGCCCCTTCCACAACCGCACCAATTGTTGCAAAGCGGTATGGTTCGACTGACCCTGAAGACGACATTAAAAACGTTAACGGCGTACGGACAATCCTGCCACAGTGGCACGTCGTACTCCCATAAGTTCCCCGAATCCAAGTACCCCCGCCACTGTACCAATTACTGGTCCTGACCGTCGCGACGACGTCGCTGGATGATTCGTTCAACATGACACTGTTGATCCCCTTGATCGTTAACGAGAGCAGGCGGTGGTCGGTGGATCTCGACGCGTCGTTGACGAATCAGTACACGAGGTGCATGGTCTTCATGACCGAGTGGAGAATCTTGAAGGACAACTGGATCTTCTCTTATCGATTCCTCGACTTGTGGCATCGCCACCTTCTTCGGCGCAAGCGTCTCGTGATCCACCATCGACGGATCACGATAAGGCTTAAGCAATCCGAAGTAAAACACTGGGTGTGGTCGCATCTTTCGTGGAAGGTTAAATGTATACGTTAGGCCTTTCTTGGCCTCAACCGTAAACGGTCCAATGGAGCGAGGACGCAACTTGTACCTACATACCGCTAACTACACCTTGGTAGATAGATTATTAGCGTTAAGTAGGACTAGGTCTCCAACCACAAAACTCTCAATACACTTTCTGCCTTTGGCATCAGCTTGCTCTTTTTGTCTGTCCTGGCTATCAATCATTGCACCATGTACATTTAGTAAGACATTCAATCGCGTAGCAAGAAACTCGCCAACCTGTTTCTGAACAATAGCTGGGCTAACATCAGCAAAACGATCGGCTATTCCTCTCTCGCCAAGCCCAGAACCTCGTCGTGGAAGCTTTAATGGAACGCGTGGGTGAGTGAGACCATTCACGCAGAATGGATTAAAGCCAGAAGAGGCATGAATAGCGTTGTTTTAACGCAAACTCGACCACAGAGAGCATAGGGATTCGACATCCAGGCGTATCAGCACAAACACTGCGCAAAATGTCGCCAATGACACGGTTGACACGTTCAGTTTGATCATCGGTCTGCGGATGATCCGCTGTGTACATTTCCAACCTGGTGCCCAGCACCTTGAAGACAGAAGTCCAAAACTTGCCAGTGAAACGTGGATCACGATCAGATCAGAAACAATTGCCACAGGCAAATCGTGTTGACAAAACACACGGCTGATAAACAGATTTGCTATACCTTCACCATCGATGGAATCAGGCACAGACGCTTAATGAGCCATCTTGCTCAGACGATTCACAAAGACCACAATTCTTTTGTTGCCTTCCCAATTCTTCGGTAGTCCAAACACGAAGTCCATACTGATGGACTTCCAACACCCAGTGAACACGGGTAAACTAGCAAGCGGTGCAGCAGCATGTGCTGAGGGTTCAACCCGTTGACACGTTTCCATGTACGCTCATATGTGCTCACCCATTTGTACAACTTAAGCCACCGCAATGCCTGGCTAACCAAGCTATAGGTGTTCTCACGACCGAGATGACAACTTGAAGCAGTGCCATGTGCCTCAAAGAGGATACGATACTTCAAGTACTTCTTATGAGAAACAACGATGCGAGGCACATCCTCAACACCCGTGCGATAGCACAACATCCCACCATCGATGACACATCGATGTAGGCTCAAACGTAGACGTGCCTACAATTAAATATCCTAGTCTTGAAACTTCTTTCCTCCAAGAGCATGTTGCAGTGCTACACATTGCTCATCATGTGCATATGCCGCACGATTTAAATCCACACTGGATGACGACGGAGTCATAACATGAGCAAGCTTGTAATCAGGTCTGCGTGACAACGCATCAGCCAAAGCATATTGCTCGCCCAGCTTATACTTCATTTCGAAAAAGTAAATAGCACAGAATGAAAGCCAACGGTCCATACGCTGTGAGAGGAATGGCGACTGTGTCGCAGTGCGTAACGACGCATGATCTGTTAATATCACAAAAGGCTTTGATCTATGTAGATGGAATCTGGACTTAGCAAGAGCATACTTTATGGCGTGTAACTATTGTTCAAGGACTGGTATTTCTTCTCTGCAGCCTTTAGCTGACGAGACATATACGCAATGACGCGCTCATGTCCATCGATATCTGTCTGCAAACTGCACAACCAATAGCAAAATCAGACGCTTCACAGACGACACTGAAAGGCCACTCAGGGCCAGGTGAAGCCAAAATTGGATCATGAAGGAGACTGTCCTATATAGCTTCAAAATCTTGAGCAAAGATTGCGTCCCAACACCAAACTGCATCCTTCTTGGGAATTGGTTAATGGTCTTGCCATACCAGCGTAGTTTGCACTGTACTTGTGAAAGTAATTAGCAAGGTCGAGTCATTTACGCAAGTCCTTTTGGTTCGACGGAACTGGCCTGTCAGCAATTGACTTAACCTTAGCGGGATCCGCTCGATGGTCACGCTTCCCAATGAAGCGCCCCAGACGGGAATTTTCTTCATCACCATAAATACACTTTGATTTGTTTTCTTAAATCTTGTTGTTCGCATGCACTCGAGCATGGCTCTCAAATGGTCAATGTGATTGTCCACGTCTGACCTACCATGTTATGCACGGCTATGGACGACAATGTTATCAAATGTGCGTATTCTCGGTGAGGTCGGAACAATTGTATCACAAGGCGATAAAATGTAGTCGGGGCATTAGACAGCCCTTGAGGTATGACGAGCCACTCATAAAGCATAAAGTTTGGAGTACTACCCGCTGTGAGCGGAATATCACTCGCTCGCGTGAGAAATTTATACTACCCATCGATCAAATCGAGTGCAATGAACATGGTACATCCTATCATAGCGTTCTGAAGAACGTCTTTCTAGAGGTAGGCGTCTGCGCCGGTATGGTGGCTGGCTGCATTAAGCTTCTTGTAAGCATGCAAAGTGCACCACTTGCCATTCGGCTTTCTGACAAAAATGTCGGTGTCGAGTGCGTAGACTTGCTCTCACGCACCATGCCAGCCACGTGCTTTGTACGAAAGAACTCGTCAATGACGACACAATGCTCCTTTGGTAGGGGTCATTGCCGTGTCACAGTATTTGGTTCCGGGAACAGGTCAATTTCATGACGTACGCCTCGATCGGGAGGCAGAGCGGAAGGGAGGCCGTGACACACCACATCCTGAACTCCTTAACCAAAGGATAAAACGTCTCCTTAGCATCTTTCAAGATCGATTACCCACTTCGAGTACTTAAGTCGCCTTTGTGTCTTTCAATACAGCTTCATCAAAAAGTGACGACGAGTTCAACTCACATTCGGATCTAATGACCACCACTTCAGATAAGTCACCTGAATTTTAGGTCAGGCCAAACTCATCGACAGACATCGCTTCTAGATCTAACAGAGAATTTAGTGAGGGTAGAGTCTCAAGACTCAATGAACCATCTACGTCACCGGTCAATCCTTTAACAAGTGTATGTAGCTGCTCGCTAGTTCACTTAGTGTCGTAACAGACGCCTTGCGTTGCATAACATCACTATGGCGTCTTTTTCGTCTCTATGACGAGACTAAACGTCTAAAAGAGACTGGAACTTTCTTGCTCCCAAGGTTGATAGCGTGATCATTCATAAATTTCTCTGTACAAGAGCCAGTGTCATTGCTGACATCCGGGACATCAACGCCCCCAAGGTGACGGAGTTAGTTAACCTTAATTTACCCAATACCAGGGAATATGTCATTGTCGACATCTGGGACGACAATGTCCTCAAGGCAACGAACTGCGTCAACAAGAATTGTCAAAGATCAGGACCGATGTCATTGCCGACATCTGGGACTACACTTTCCTCAAGGTGACGAGCTGCGTCAACCCTAATTTGATCTATTTCCGATCCGATACCAATACTGAAATCAAGTGACGAGTCACTTCCAGTGAGATCACCATCCAGTGGGTACTTACGTGCCAATAGACTCTCCCAAAGTGACCGTTGCCCTTGATGACTTGATGTTTCACCAACAGTGTCTTGACTGACATTCAGTGTGTCGTAATCACGGCCCACATCACTCAGTGGGTGATTATGTGCCACCCCACGCTCACAACACGGGCCTCGCCCTTGATGACTTGATATTACACCAACAATGTCTTGAACGACATTCAGGGTGTCGTAATCACAGCCGACATCACTCAGTGGGCACTTACGCTCGACTTTACGCTCAACAGATAGGTTCAATCCATGATGACTTGGATCTAGGCCAATAATGCATTCAGCATTTAATGATTCGTTATCACAACGATAATCACTCGGTATAGTACGTGCCGTTGTTCTAACAATCATTGAGCTTGACTCGTAGCTATCGTTTTTGAAATCGTCCAACTCAACAAGATCAGCTATACCAACGTCCAGCACACTGACTGTCTCAGTCCGTGGCTCGCTCCAATAGCGCTTTTTTTTCCTCGCAGAGGTGGGCTCATAAATCTCTAAAGATCCACTAGAAACAGGGAGCGTTGCGCCTAAGGTCTTCGACCTCCGATTAATCCATGGCTCATGGCGTTCTAGCCAATCCATACTAAGGATGAGATCATACCTCTCATCCAAGTCAAGGACAAGACAGCGTTCAATGCTGTCAAAGTCCGAAAGCTTAACGCCTAGGCTCACAGGAACTTTAGGCACAGTGACTAATGCACCTGTCGCCAAGCGAACAGTGCTAGTCTCATTCTTTCGCGCTTTCAGCGCCTCAGCATACTGCTGACTTCCGTCCAGGAATAACGTCACATAATTTCCGATGCCGCGGAGTCGATCATTTTCGACCATGGATAATTAAAGCACTCCACCGTTGCTTTCGCAGCTGACAAGCCTGGCTTGTACTAATGCTTCGTGACATTGTTCACGAAGCCACTTGGGGCTAAGCCTTAATTTACATCACGTCCCAGAGGTACAACAGCCTTAATTCTCCCCAGCAGGGTGCCCGCGCCTACTGGGACACGAAGTTTTCCTGCGCCTTACCAACTCGTTGGTTAGCGAGGGGAGATCGGCTCGAATGATCCTGTTTGGTTTTTCTCAAAGGACAGTTGGGACGAAGATGTATGATGCTCCCGCACGTAAAACATGTACGGATGTTCAATCGCTGTTCGACAGCGTAAAGCTTAGCTTCTTCGTCTCTATCAGCGAGACTAAGGTCCATGGGCTCTGCCCTATCAATGAGATGAGCATTGCTCGATGAGTTTGAGTGAACCTTATGAGTTCCGTAGCGGGCAGCTTCAAAATTCAACTCTGCGTTCAACACTACGTCCACTGCACCCTCAAATGCCACGTGTTGTGTACGAAACAGTTATGTTCTGGCAACGCCAGTGCGAAGACCCTCCATGTGAAGATGGTTTCCAAAACCTTCTCAGGTTAAGGGCCAAGCTTCATAGCAGCGATGAGATATCGCAACGCCTGGACATTATCGACGATGTCCTTTATACCCTGGCCGGTTGACAGGAAGCGTGATCGTGTCCGAAATGCCTGATTAGGCAAAGCAAACACCCGAGATAGCCGCTGTTTCAGCGTGGCCCAGTTGTTAAAAGCCTCGTCTATAGAGGTGTCAGAGGTGAACGCCCGCTCTCTGGCTCGCCCACCTAGCTTCGATAGGACCAGGACCACATTTTGCTTCTCTAGCTGCAGCAGGCCGAGCTGATGACAACCTCCATCTCTGGAACCCACAAAAGGAGTTTCTTCTTCTTTCCCTCCAAAAGTCTTGACGCTTAAGACCAGAGAAAGATCCCTTGATTCAGTGTCTGATTTAGGAACATACCGAGTGGGCATGGCAGATGTCAAATGGTCATGGACCTGTCCGATCGACGTAATTCAAGCTCGAGAGGCCTCCAGACGTGCACGAAGGGCTTCCGGGCTTTACAACACTATAAGAGCCACTTACTCGTGCCTGATCAACGCCGTGATCTTCTCAAGCGTTATCTGCTAGGCCTCAAAGAGGTTCATGGCCGTCTCCATCCTCGCAGTCTCCATCCTCACAGAGTATCCGGTCTATGAAGACTCAGGTGTATATTGACTACAAGTGCTACCAAGTATAGCGGCGCTACTTAGCGCTCCTTACCGGGGGAGTCTTAGACTCAAAGAGTCTCTCAGGTATAACAAACTAACAACGTCATTCGTTCAAGCGTACAAGCTCAACAATCCCGGTTCCAAAGGGATTACGATTCACAGAATCACACACTAACTAGTCACTACTAGTTGAACAAGAGTAAGTGCCTTTACAAGGCTAATGCTCTAAACAACGCACTACGCCTTGACTAGGAACTTGTGTCCGACGATTTATAAAGGGAAACTAAACTTTATTGATTCTTTTAGCTACGGTAATATAACCCGAAAGCCTTGTCTGACTGACTTCTACATTGCAATCCGATGACAGGAGTCTTATCCCTTATCCCCACCCGATAAGGTGCGGTATTACCATAGTACGTGGTACCAATACTGTACCACTCAGATCCACTGATGTTTACTTGGTCTGGACACACAACATAACCAGATGAATAACCGCCGTGTAACCCCGTTACAACGGCTGTGCGTTTCTATTCCGTCATTTTTGAAGCCACAAAGCTCACGCCATTTATATCACGGGACTCAATACGGCTGCAAAATAGACGTCATGGTCGTGCAGACCGGACATAGATTCGTGGAGGCAAACTTGTCAAGAGATTGCGTATTGTACGGTGCTGGTAGGGTTGCGCATAGCCGGACTTGACTTGACGTCAACTTTCATTGGACGTACTTTAGCCTACCTGAAAGCAACAGTAGTAGCAAGTTTACTCTTACGCTACCAATGGGTCGAATGATGTGCCAAACGCAAAACCGACTCATTAAAGTGAGCGATGTATCTGTTTAATGCAAGTGCTGGTGCTACTGATCGCACTGTAGTGCAGTAGAAGATGTCGAAAGAAGTATTGATGGGCTCAAGATTTTGACTAGGAATGGCAGTTGTCGATTTCGCCAGGTTTGCCGTAGCAGACAGTAAGACCACAATTTGGTCTCCTGCTGACATTGTAGGAATCAAGAGAAGTGGATAGGAGCAACACAAAACTGACAACAACCACAGAGAGACTGCAGCAACACCATCCTCGCCGGATAAGGTGTCGCACAGCGACGAGACACACAACAAGCGATTTGAACGGAACACACATCGACATTTAGATTAATACTTACTTGGTAGCAAGCAATCGTATCTGGTTGTCTTTTTGCAACTCTTGGCGATTGTTCATGAGACGGTAGGCTGTTTAAGATGCACTGGTTTGAGCTGTTTTGCGTCCTGATCGATAGGACGACTTTCAAGTTGCTTATAGGAGAAGTGGTCGAGTGGTGTCAGTATCGTAACAGCTTCGTTTTCAAGCTAAAGGTTACAATTGATACCCTGAGATTTGTTGCCGCGATGCCTTCCGGTCATTGTGGAATAGCAAGTGAATTATGTGTTGCGTCTTGCATTAGTGTCTACATTCTATCGATACAAATGAAAACATCGACATGTGATTGTGTGGTGTTCATTCAATCGGCTACTTCCAAACAAGCACTAATCTACTTGACACCAACGCTGTCTATCGCGAGCAGCAACTTGCTCCGTTGGCAAGGCATCAGAATCGTTGCAAAGAATGAGCTCGCGTGACATCCTGCAGCTCGAATTTTCCGAGACTTGAATTACATTGCGCACTCGGTGACACGTTGGGCCTGCAAATTCAAGCCACGTGTCGAACAGGTCTTACAATCACGTGCACATGCAGCGTAGAGTGAACACCACAGTTCGTTCTTCGGAGCTGATCGCACTCATTACAATAACAAGCAACGGCAAGCGACTCACCATCAACATGTCAGCACTAGAAGATCCACAAGAAGCGTTTGCGCGGAAGCTGCTCTTTCAGAGCAACTTTGCGTTCCTCTAAAGCCGCAATCTCCTCGTCTACTGCGTCAACGTCGCGTCCTGCATACTTGGACGCTTCCAACGCCGCCTGCCGCGCACGAATCTCTTCGATCTCCTGACGAAGCTCATTCACTGAGTCCTTCGGCTTCCCGTTCTTCTTTTCCAGGGCTGCAGCAGCACTGCCCCACGTCACTCGAGGAGCAGGCGGCCACGCCTCTTGTGCCGTGGGTACCGCCTGCTTGCTCTTTTTCTCCACATCCTCTCCTTCCTCAGCAAAAGTGACAGCAATCACTCGGTCGGACGTCGGATGCATCGACTCCTTGAGCGCCAGTGCGTCAATTGCCTCCTGACTCGCCGACCCAGCGACTTGAAAACGCACCGTCTGACCCGATTGTAGCTGCGCCACCACAGTCACCGCTACACAAAAACACAGATAAGGCCGTAAAGATATCTCACGTCGTACACCCGTACCCTTAAGTAGCACTAGTAGTCGACACAGCCGCGATCCACGTACTCTCATTGATGAGGTCTTCCATCGAGCCAACAGGTCCAATGTCCTCACGACTCGCTAGTTCCAGCAGCGACTCATTGAGCGGCACATGGCCTTCAATAGCTTTGATCAAGTCTGGGTACCGGTCGTTAAAGTGGCTGTAAAACTCGTCGTCCGTCTGGAGGTTGTACACAAACACGGCGCCAATAGCTCCTGGGATGCCCAGCATGATACCGGTCGTGTACCAGAAATACCGAGCAAAAGGAGGGCCCTTTAACCCAGCACTGACAGTAGACGCTTTCCGCATTGCAGACGAAAAGAGACCGGACGAAGCGCGCTGTAGCACGCGCGTAGGAGCGTCCGAACGCAGCAGCGATCGGCCTCGCAGCATTGTCGAATGATGGATCGAGTCGATGATGTCAAAAGTAACACGAACTGTGTGGCTACACTCGGTGAAGTGGCTGCTGGCGTAACGGTATGTCAGCCAATCCGTGTGCTCGTCGTCTGTGAAATCGGAGCAGCCTACGATATGTCATGCTTGTGAACCGAACGACCGCAGTTTTACTTTTTTTTTAGCAGCAGGAGCTGTGAACCAGCTCCTGTTAAATATCACTCTAAAGGTTCCCAGACGCCAATAGGTGCTATCAGCCGAATTTTTTTAGCAGTTTTAGCAGTTATTTGGTTGACAAACAACACGTGAGCAAGTGGATGGCAGTATTGAGCTTGCTACACCACGTCATAAAAAGCAGAAACTGGGCTGCCACGTTTGACTTGTATCGACCGACGTAACGACTTTTACCAATGGATGTGACCGGTAACTACTCCTTGGGATGATAGTTAAGGTGCGAAAAAACTGTCCGACAGCCAGAAGTATATTATCACAGCTATAAAGGTAAAACACTCACACTCTTGTACGTACAAAGTTACTCGACATCATGTCAAACGCTCAGCAAGTACTGCCGACCTCTGCGTTTTCTTCACAGCTATCTTCGTCCTTGCTCAAACCAGTTGCTGAGACAACCGGTGCAATAACCTGCACACTGCCGACTCCTGTGCCTTCTTCGAAACCGGTTTCGTCCGCAACGCAATCCTCACCCAAACCTGTTGCTGGGATAGCTGGTGCAATAACCTGCACACTGTCGACTTCTTCGCCTTCTTCAGAGTCATCTCCATCCTTACCCGAACTAGTTCCTGAGATAACGGGTGCAATAACCTGCACACTGCCATGTTGCTCGAACATCCAAGGTGCAGGGGCACGCGAGCGAGACGCCTTGAGATCCGGATCAGACGTGCTTGATTCGCGGTGAACTACTTCGGATGTCTCGTCGGTTTCGTCCGTTTGTGCTGCTTCACCAGAACTCCCTGAAGCAGCTGCGGTCGCGTGACTAGGTAGCGAGAGACCATGCAAAGCGCCCATAGCACTGAGCGCTTTCATTTTCTTGCGCGCGCGTTTCCATTTCGCATGAACAGTAAGAGTTGCGTTGATACGAAAGCCCTCCATAAACTCGTTGATGTTGATTTCGTTGTCGTGGCTAAAGTCCATCATGCGCATGTAATCCATGCCGTTAGTGCTGAACGGCTTGGCTCCGGGAGGCAAGTGTTCGTTTAGCAACTTGATGCCGTTTTCTAGCTCGTCTACAGAAATGGTACCGTTGCCGTCGCGGTCAAGCACACGGAACAGAGCTTCTAGTCGTGAGCGGTGGCGATACAGCGAATTGAAGGCGCTGCGCTGCTCTGTGCCGACTATATCGGTATTTTCGTCATCATCGGTGCATGTTACGGTACCTGTAGCATTATATCGGTCCAAGAAATCATTATATGGCACCAAGCCTTCTTCGTCTAGCGCAGTCAATAGCGGCTGAAGAGCGTGCCAATCCAATGACAAATCCAACACGTCTTCCATAATAGCACCCCACACCTCAACCGTAACCTTTCCGGATTCCTCCTCATCAAATTCCTCAAACTCCTGGACCAAATCAGACCGGTACTGCACGATGAGCGAGAAAAGTGCATCTAAGTTGGACACAGCCATGTCGCGACTCTCGGCATTTGCCATATACTGGAAAAACGCGGGTTTGCCCCTTCCCGAAGGAATGTGCATAAAGCAGCCCAAATTATTTGCCTTGCCACAGTAGTTGGATGCCGAAAACAGCGTAACCAGCATACCATTTTCTTTGTACGGCCAATCGAAACCTTGTGGAATACACTCATGTGAGCGAACTACAAGAGTGAGTTTATTCTTCATCATGAACTTTTGCACAATGTCCGGACCATACATAGTACCGGCGCCACGCTTATTTTCTTCGTATCCCTTGGTCTCTTTTGGATCACTCCAAAGCAAGTCTCGCATAAGCTGCATCTTTCGATACGATTCACGCTCTTTCCGACACTTAGGCTTGTTACGGTACCGCGCGAGATCGTAGCCAGCCCTGTCTAGCGTGTTAAAGTCTTTGACCAACATATTGTCACGGGGAACACCGCCGTGCACGACGAGGACGCGTTCGTCAATGAGTGTGGCAAGGGGCAGGTAACGAAAGCTCTCGCAGAAGAGATCGTACACATATCGGTCGTACTTGACATCACATTCTTTCATGAATCCAAACAGTTGAGTGATCGAGTTTTCCTCGTGGTTGCCACGATTCAACAAAACGTGACCCGGGTACAGCAGTTTGAACAGATAAATGATGACAGCAATTTCCACGCCGCGGTCACCACGGTCGACAAAGTCTCCATTGAACACGTACGGGTTGGACTTGGATGGTAAACCGTTTTCACGAAAAATCAGTAGTAAGTCATCTAACTGTCCGTGCAAATCGCCAATGATGGTAACATGTTTCGCAGGTGCAATCGTAAACTCCACCATGGTCGGACTCTGCCGAAGCAGCGCCGTCACTTCGGTGACCACGCGAACCACGACATTCCGTGGGATCTTTCGCCCGTTACGACACGAGTCAATCAAGTTTTCCACATTCTGAAGCGTAATGACCTTGTCCAGCTCGTTTCCCTGTACGTACATGTTGGCAATGTCAATGTTGCCTGTTTCAGGCTGAAAGATGGGACGATCGTCCGATGCCTCATCCGGTTTTACTCCATCAAGACCAGGAATGTAGTTTACGAGCGCATGTAGAAACAGTGACAGCTCTAACTGTAGGTTGAAAAAGAGAGCACCACACTAAATGTCAGAAACCGAACCCTCTACAAAGTACCCATTCCAAAGACCCAAAATGGACTCACGGCTTCCGCCTCTTCTCGGTTCTCAAGATCATTAAAGAGCTTCCAATTCGAAATTATCTGGTCACCCGTAGGCGTCGAAGCTGTTGACGAGCATGGAGACGGGGACTGCGACTCCTGCGGACGCGGAGGCGGACGTAGAGGTATCGGCAGAGGAGGCTGGCTTTGCACAACCGGTCCTACGAGCAACATAACAGCAACAACAACGACATCCTCGTCAGCCTTCGTGCAACTTAAACAAAGTATTTGGTTCAGACCTTGGTGCGAGGTCCGTTGCGGGCCGCATCTGCCAATGAAAACGCGTCAAACGACAGGGTCAAAGCTGCTAGTCCATTAAGAGCAACATCACAGTATAGATGACCGTACATGGCGCTTTGCCGGTGCGCAGTCGTGGGCACAAGACGCGCGGAGCCCGTCGAGTGCCTCTGAGCTCCTATGCCCGGTTTGTTGCCCATATTACAAGGTCGGCCAGATGAAGCAAATCGAGTCGACATATCGCCCAATCAAGTCAGTGTGTGTGTCAAAATTTCAGCGAATCAGAAACCGTGGAGGGAGCTCTTCAGAAAGCTTTTTTTAAATTCGCACGCAGAACGATGGTGGGATCTGGAGCGGTCAGAGAAAAGCGAAAGTCAGCGCGAGAAACGCACCAAAAGCAATTGTATGCCCGTTTTTATCAGGAACAAGTCCCGTTTTTGTATTGTTTACCATGACCCTTCAACGTGCAGTTTTTGTGATCCCGCTCAGCGACTTGTCCCCATTTCGCCTAGTCCGACAACGTCTGAAAAGCCTGTTCCACGTCTTCGTCCAATCCACGAAAAAACGCCTTGAGGTCAGCTTCTGGCTGCTTGGGCAATTGAAACTTGGCCTGAATAATCTTTTGCAGTACTGGATTCATGGACGTCTTGATCTGTGCCCATGTCACCTTTGCATCGGGTGGAGAGTCAGCAATGACCTTTTGACTTAGATTGTAAAACAGGATGATCGATCGTAGCATTCCCACACTCTTGACCAAAGGGCACGTAAAGTCATAGTCCGAGAAAGCATTCTGCTGGAGAAAATCCTCACGGATAATCTTGGCCACTTCCATAATCACCTTTTGATCCTCAGATAGCGACTCTTTCCCAACAAGCTGGACGATTTCAGTCAAATTATCTTCCTTTTGCAAAATTTCTTGGCACTTTGTACGCAGCATTGAGTATTCCGGGTCAATCTTGTTAAAGAATGGCTCTAACACGCGCATGTACTTTGTATAACTGATCAGCCAGTTTACGGACGGGAAATGCTTACGCTGAGCGAGCTTCTTGTCCAGACCCCAAAAGACTTGCACGATACTTAGAGTAGCTGCCGTTACAGGGTCAGAAAAGTCACCACCAGGGGGCGATACGGCACCCACGACAGTAACGCTACCCTCACGCTTTGGACTACCCAGACATGCCACTCGACCAGCACGCTCGTAGAAAGCAGCCAGACGAGCACCCAAATAGGCCGGGTAACCGCTATCAGCAGGCATTTCACCCAGACGACCCGATATTTCACGCAGAGCCTCAGCCCAACGACTCGTAGAGTCAGCCATCATCGATACATTCATCCCCTGATCACGGAAGTACTCGGCCAGCGTGATACCAGTGTAGATCGAAGCCTCACGGGCAGCCACAGGCATATTCGACGTGTTAGCCACCAGCGTCGTACGCTTCATAATCGGCACCTCACGGTCGTTGACAGTCATCGTTAGCTCAGGGAAATCGTTCAGCACTTCCGCCATCTCATTGCCACGCTCGCCGCAACCAACGTACACAATAGCATCGGAGTTCGAGTGCTTGGACAGGGCTTGCGAAATAACGGTCTTACCGCACCCGAACGCACCTGGGACAGCGCACGTTCCACCCAAAACGGATGGGAACAAAGCATCGATGATACGCTGGCCTGTTGTCAAAGCAACGTTGCCAGCAAGCTTCTCTGCTACCGGACGCGGCTTTCGCACAGGCCACATGTGTGCAAGTCCGAGTTTGTGCGTGACGCCAGTGGTGTCGTCATGTACTTCAAGCACCGTATCCTTGAGCGTAAACTCTTCATGATTGTCGGTATCGGCACCATAGATCTTGACGACAGTACCAAAGACATTGGGTGGACACATGATCTTGTGCGAGTGTAGAATGTCGTTTTCATGGACGAGACCAAAGATATCGCCACCAGAAATCGGGTCGCCCTCCCGCACATTCACAGGCTTGTAGCGCCACATTTTGTCAGCATCTAGGGAAGACACGTCGACACCACGAGGAATGTAGACGTCCTTCGTAAGTTCACTAATCGCATGCAGCGGGCGCTGGATCCCGTCAAAGATATTGTCCACAATGCCTGGTCCGAGCTCCACTGACAGCGGCTGCTTGCGACGCTCAACAGGGTCCCCCACGGTCAGCCCAGAAGTGTCTTCGTACACTTGAATGGACGCGTTGGTGTTTTCCAGCTTAATGATCTCTCCCACGAGCTTGTCATGGCCAACACGGACCTGAACAAAGAGACAGACAGACAGAGAGAGAGAGAGAGAGAGAGAGAAAGAGAGGTGCTTAGTATAGCATCGTTATCGATGGCTTTGTAAATCTGGTAGCGTACCAGTTCATACATGGCAGCGCCATGCATGTTCTCTGCAATCACCACTAATCAGAGCACGAGAGAGAGACGTACATAACGAACGTGCATACAAAACGATACCACAACAACACAACAATAACAACAACCAGTGCCACATCAATTAAAATGATTAAACCAATAATTGTAACATCAAAAATATAAAAACATTGTAAGACCGCGACAGCGATAGAGAAGAGGAGGGCAGGAAAGGGAAAAGGCACGAGGAGTGGGAGGAGAGAAGGAGACACGTACAGGGGCCCGAGACCTTGTAGACGTATCCAAAGTCCGACTCTTTCTCATCGTCGCCGAACACGTGCGCCATGTCGAGATCTTCCGTCGCGCTCAAATCTTTCGATCGCGGCGTGTATACAAGCTATGAAAAACGCGGTATACAAGCTACCTCATGTGGTATACACGACGATGTCAGTCCGGCTGGATGGAATAGGATTTGCTGAAAAGAATGCCAGACCGGAAGTTAAGTACGCCACACTAACTGTCGCGTCGATCGACACCCAGCTCGGCGCTCATTGGCTGAAACTTCGACAACTATTGGTTGGCATCCAGGTCATGTCCTGCATGACGGCGACCGAAGGTGAGCACGTGCCGGCGTCTATAGCGCCCAGCCAGTCGATCAATGCAGCTGCTACTGGGTCTGTCGAACCTCCTCAACCTACTGGGCACTCTGACGTAGTATCGGCGGCTTCTTCGCGCGCTGTACCGACCAAGAAGAAGGTCTTGCACCTGGTTATTGACTCTGGTGCAATTATTAAAGGCACGAATGTGACGGATCTGGCCGAGGTACTACTACTGCTTCGTCGATGCTACATACAGTGTTGAATTCGACTGGACGTGCTGGTGTTTGTACTGATCTAAGTGCATACTCTTTGTCTCGCGCTGTCTGTTTCGTTATAGAACTTTTGGACCGTGCCGGACGTGCTGACCGAGATTCGAGACAAGAAGTCGCGCAGTCTGTTAGAGCGACTGCCGTTCACGTTGCAGACTCGTGAGCCGTCAGCCGACGCAATGAAGGCAGTGGTCGATTTTTCCCGTAAAACTGGCGATTTTTCGTACTTGTCGCTGACGGATCTGCGTGTCATGGCGCTGTCGTATCAACTCGAGGTTGAGACGAATGGCTCGGATCATTTGCGTTTGAGCCCCGAACGGTCGCAGACTATAACGCGCGATGCAAACGGCAAGATTGTTGGCGGATCGCAGACTGCGATTCCGTGTAAATACTTTGGCTCGGCCATCGGGTGTAAGTTCGGATCTGCGTGCAGATTCAAACACGATGAAGAAGCTGCGCATAGTGTGGAGGGTGATGAGGCAACGCTGACGAAGAAAGTGGATATTCCGTGTCGGTTTTACAACACCGCAGAGGGATGCAAGTACGGTGACGAGTGTTCGTTTTATCATGACCTGGCAGCGCAAGAAGAGCAGCCTGTCGACGACACGGAGCCGACCGAGCCTGCCACTGAGCACATGATCAGTGAATCGATTCGCAACGCTGACGTAAAGTCGCGCATTATGGGCCGGTTTGCGGCGTCGAGTAATGCTGGTGCTGCTGAGGACGACGGCAAGAATTGGATTACTAGTGACAACTACGTCAAATTTACAGCATCTCCGTTCGGCGACGGTAAAGGTCTGGAAGAAATCACGTCGCGACTTGCTGTGGCATGCATTACTACGGATTTCTCAATGCAGAATGTGATGCTGCAGCTTGGACTTCGGCTTTTGTCGGCAGACGGTATGATTATCAAGCGTGTAAAGCAGTGGATTCTGCGTTGCATTGCTTGCTTCACGACGTCCACGGAGATGGAGCGCTTGTTCTGCCCCAAGTGTGGTAACAGCACTATGGAGCGCGTGTCGTACAGTCTGGGCCGTGATGGTCACATGACTTTTTACACACGGTCAAATCGCCCCACAAAACTGTCAGGCACCAAGTTCTCGCTGCCCAAGCCTAAGGGTGGACGTAGCGGTGATTTGTTACTCCGTGAGGATCAGCTGTTGGTTGGTATATGGGGCCAACGTCAGCGCCAACATAAAAAGGTGATGCAGAGCGCTTTTGGCGAGAATGTAGCGCACGATCTTGGCGTGAAAGCCGAGAAGCAGACCAGTATTACTGTCGGCTATGGGCGCATGAACCCCAACGCACAGAAAGGTCGTGAACGCCGCGGCAAGAAGAAACGCCATTAGATTATCGAGCAAGTGGTTGTTGGACTGTACATCGGGTTTCCAGTGGTGTAGATATGGCTGACAACATGGCTGGGGTTTATGAGGTATTTTTGTGTTGTTGGTGATTCATTGATCTAGCTGCGTCTACATTTGGGGTTTAACAGGGGCCAAGGGTCGCACCGTTCGCTTCGTCCGGTCGACCGTTGCGATTGTTCTGGGCAGCAATTGCCGTGATGACGACTAGGATGTATCATTCATTGATTGTACTGCAACAGATTGCAAGACGCGAACGTGGGAACCTGGCGGGTGAGGTGTTCAAGTAGGAGCAGGCGTGCGTCTGCGTCAAGAAGTTGCCTCAGCTCGAGCTTGAGTGGGACTAGAATGTTGATGCATGCAATGCCATTTGCATGCATCATTGTTTTGCTACAGTGGGGATTCAAGGCGATAGAAGAGCTGTAGAAAGCAATCGAAGACGCTTTCTCAGAGAGAAACGGCAAGTTGTTTGATGATGGACGGATGATACATGTGAATTGATTGACATTCGCAGGAACGTCGGGGCTTTGGAAACCTGGACAGAAAAAAAATAGCCTCATCCAAATGGGACAGACGCGATCAAGGGCACAAAAGCAGGGCAGGCGAGCGCATGCGATATTGAACCGAAGACTGAGATCGACCTGTGAGGTTTCATCACAAGAGCTACGCGGAATAGTTGAAGTGTCAAAAGCGGTGTTAAAGAGTCGTCGCGAAAGTGAGCGGCGTGAAGCATAGATGATCGCATAGCGGAAGCATGTGGGAGCATGTCTCTGTGCTGGCTGTTGTCAGCTAGCAGACACATATTGTGATGGGCACGATGAGGATAGGTGGCAATAATAGCTCTGCTGATTCTCAATCAACAAATTGCGTGTTTGTGTCGAACTATAGCAGTCCGTTCAGTCGTCCTGACGATCGCAACCCGTTCGCACGGACGAGCAGACTTCGAGAAGTTTGAATGACGAAGCAGCTGATCGAGATGACCGTCTCCCGCACCATCTAGCCGTCCAGAGTATGTTCCGGTTCAAGGCGTCTTGTTGAGAGTCCCTACCTTTGATTTGCACGCAACTCTGCAGGGTCGTCACATTCGGCCGCATGTACCCAAGCAGTGCGAAATCGAACATCTTTGTCGAATGAGCAAGACGGAAATGCGGATCATTCAAGTTCGATGACGTCCACGTTTCTTGTGCTTGCAGCCGGTCTACTGTCCGCAGTACCTCGAGACAGCTTCGTCAAAGCAGCAATTTCCACCTGCTCGTCATCACTCGTATCACTGTCCAATACGGTTAAATCCACGGTAGCAGAAGGTCCTGCAACCTGTGCACTGGTGCTTGTCGCACAAATACTTCCGTCACCTCCAACCTTCTCAGATGCTTCACGACGATTGTCTTCTCGATTGACACGATTCGGCGGCTGTGCTGGAAATGTCGGAATGAGCGCTCGGATGTCACCAACTAAGAAATACCCGTCATGATCTCCGTCTGCAGCGAAAACGACTGAAGCGAAGGTCGAAATCTCTGGCGTTGGCTGGGCCATAATTTCACCAACGCCTACAAACTTCTCTCTTCGCTTCTTCTTGTTCTGAACGTCAGTATCATGCTGACGCGTGGCCTTCTTCCCCACAAGTGGGAGTCTGGCATCGCTACGTGCCGTTCCAGTCAAGTTGTCGTCGTCAGTGTTCTGCTTGATCAACGGAAAAAACTCTTTCACACTCACTGCCGCCTTTGCTTTCCTGTCTTTCTGCTTTTGCTTTTCCTCACGAATAGCTTCTCTCTCCTTTTTCTTTGCCTGCTTTGCCGTGAACTCCGCCGGTTCTTTAATTTTGCTGTAGCTCCCTCCGCAGCGCTGTTTGTGGTCAGCCCACCAGCGATCAGTCGGTCCTGGAGCGCGATTCATGGACCTTTTGACAAGGCCAAAGTACGGTGGAGTCCGCCGACACGAACCCTGCAATACGTCAAAACTGATCTGTAACAGTGAAGCGGCAGTATGATGTGCTCAACGTACATACACTTACATTGCACTGCCACACATGTTGACGGTACGAGTCTACTTCGTCGTGAAAAGTGTGGAAAACCGTAATCTTGGTCTGCGCTGCTTTGTTGATCCGGTTCATGTGTCCCTGGAAAAGTGGACCATGGTCATCATGATCTCGCACGGGAGTCGCCACGAAAACGTACGCGTGGATCATTTCATGCTACGTCATCATAGACGAACCACATAACCAGTTAAAAGTGTTATGGTAAAACAAAACAGCATACGTTGGCCACCTCACCAGCAAAGTGTTGACCAGATCACTTCGAGGCCGTAGCTTTAACAACGGTTCACTGCAAAAAAAAACAGCAAGAAACAAAAAAAAACACAACAATGAACTCAAGTAACACTGACGTTGTGTAGAGCGTCATCAAGGTATTTTCACGTGACTGTCGCCTTATCTTCGTACCTTAGTCGAATGGAACAAAACCCACTACGAGGCTGGAACGTGCACAGTCCCGCACTATCAGACACAAAAAAGTAAGTGGCAAGAAGCAGGCATCAGGCGAGAACCAATTAATTGAATCCATCAATTGTATCAAACAACAAAAGAAACAAATCAACAGAGATACACTACTGCAACGCACCAGAGCGTCATGCGCTTACTCCACTTTACTTCACAGCCGGATAGTCGCCCTTCAAAGAACATGCGATTGTATTCCTATTGTTTAAAAACACCAATGACAAGTGGGCACCTGTTTCATTCAACATCTGTATACCACGCAAAAGTATACAAGTTCGACGAACCAGGAAGAGCGAATGCAGGTCAGGAGTCGGATCTAGAGCGCAAATGAAATTTAGAAAAAAGTCCCGTCGACATCAGGCCATGAGCAAAACTAGGATGTTCACAGAAGCTACTAGATAGGTTAGACGTTACGGACCTATGTACTCGTTTTCGGCAGCTAGTAGCTCGCACGGTTGTGTATACATGGGTGAACAATGCATCGCCACGGTTTTTCACAAGAAATACCGACGGATTTATTCGTCTCGACAGGATGCCATGGTATGTTGAGAGTTTGAGCAGTATTATACGGTTTGAAACGGACTTGATAAATCTCCTGCTAGCGATAAATGCCTGATTAGGGAATGATGTGCTCTATCGAACAATTGGTTCACGTATTCATCGAAAATTTTAGGAAGTCTTGGCGCTATTTACCTCATAAATTATAGGGAGATGCTAGATTCACCAAACGAATTTGCTATTACCACCACAGTAACCACAACTTACGTACCTGATACACTCCAGACCAAAAGTAAAGTACACCCCACGCTTTTTAACAACTCAGCGACTATTACGAATTACCAACTGCCATTTGAACATGATAGATCTGTAAGAGTGTGTTCTATAAAGTCGACCCGCTTTAGCAGTACATAGAGGGGGTCTACCATACAAATGTAAAAAATATGGACGTGGCCAAACGATGAGCTACCCTCCATCCATACAATAAGCAAGATTAGATACGAGAGAAAAGCTGGTTTTACTCGATAATGGGTCTCGTTCACACGCAGCTCGATGACTTCAATACAGCATTTTGGCATTATAAAAACAAGGTTTCGCAGTGTTACCGACTCGATACCTCCTCACTCAAACACATAGCCGTTGTAATCTCGTTGACATTGTAATACTGCTCTCCGCTAGCGTTCACTTTCGCTACCAAGATTGACCGCAAATTTTTGATCGGTGTAGGATCAGGTGAATGAGCTGACCATTTCATCATCTCCACTTCTAGGCATATCCCGTTGTCCACTCCAACGTATGAATCGTTGCGTTTACCTGCTCGAAGATGTAGTCGTTACAGTAGTGTAATGTGCAAATGGAAGCAGAAACTTCGATAGCGTGTACACATAACGCTCAGTTGTTTGCTTATCAATTAGCACTAATATCTTGGACGTTCCCTTTGCGCTGAATGCGGTCCGCCCAAACTATGACTGATCCATCCCCGTTCTGTCTACGGATGGTCTCACGATGTGGGGACCGCAGTTCACGACAGTAGTTTTGGAAACCGTCAGAGCCGTCAAATTAAACTTTATTTTATCCGAGAATAAATAGTGCATCCCAATCTACTTCTATTATCACGTGAATGTTGGCCTAAGTCTGTCTCGCTTTCTTGGGTTCGTGTGTGATAGGAAGAATGAATTAGTTTTTTCATATTTTGCAGACAATCCAGTCTGGATCAAGGAGAATGCGGCGGATCGGTCCGCGGAAAGCACTTGAGCTCCAGCTTGACAGTAGACTAGATCACTAGATATAAATACATTTCCTGTTGCTGCCTCTTGCACGACGCACTGCAAGTCACTGCTTGTTCAAATATTAGGACTTCAAGACGTACACTTTAACTGCTGAAACTGCAATTCAGTTCGCACAAACGTGCGCGAGCGCTTCTATACTCTCGCAATGGGTTTAATCAAGTTCCCGAATATACGCGGACCGCGGATTCTTCCCAGCTCTTCATACGACAGCTCCTTTCCTCTCCCCATTACTTGCAAAATGGTATTTGACAAGCGGCCTCTCTCTAGTATGTTATCCTGATTATTGTATGGATGAAGAAGGCCTATCTTTGGGCCACGTCCATTTTTGACATTCGTATGGCAGACCCTCTATGAACTGCTAAAACTGATCGATTGTATGAAAATGCACACTTACAGACCAATTATGTTTGGATAGCATTTTTAAATTTGTGATAGTCGCTTAGATATTGAGTGATCGTAAGATGTACTTTACTCTTGGTATGGAGTGTGAAGGGATACTAAGACCAATGCTATAATCTGACTGATTCTGACCGCACTGCTACAGTGAATACCCTTATTATTGAGAGGAAAAGGCTTGAAATACCGGTCACGAGTGGGTCAGTCAACCGGCGATTTAATTTTGACCAATCAAACCGTAGCTTTCCAATTGTAATCGATTTAACCAAACCATAGTGATTTTACTATTATGATTATGATATACCTACCCTTCCTCGAAATTTTAATTGCATTTGATAAAATGGCGAGTGCGGGCAGGCAGTGAGCCAAGAAACTAAAGCTGAGAGAGCACAGCAATTAAACACACTTTGGCAAGGCCTCAATATAGTAAATAATTGGATGAGGTAACTTTCAAGAAGCACGCTACTTTGTTTTTTTGCGACCATATTTAAGCCATTAAACTATCGATTCTTGTTTTAGCACAAATGGCTACATTGCACCACGGTGATTGCGTTTCCAAAGTCAACATCAAGGAACTGTTATAAAATGCCTGCCACACTTTTTTAGCACGTCACGATTCGATGCAAATAACGAGAACTTCTTTAGCAAAACAAATACTCACAACGAGACGGCCAAACGACGCTAGTGCCAATCAATGCAGTCCGTGTAAACGGGTGCTTAACGATACCACGAACTACCTTTAACTACACCTACAGGAACCTTCGAGGAGGCTTTTCTTCGTCTTCTTTCGCGTGCAGCAAGGTTAAAATATGAGTCTTAAGACTGAATTTCAGATAGATGAACGCTTGTTGTAGGTGTGGCTTAGACGCGCTTTACCATCCTCCGGCACATGTTACAATTAAGTTGCAAATGATAGACTAATTTCAGTTTGATTAATCGAACAGAAACAGAAATTGCTATTAGCTATACGACAAAAGATTAGACGCGCGCTCTAATGAGACGCCTTATCTACAGCTCTCTAAACTAAATATAGGCGCGCTGATGACACACACCAACAACACTATGTGATGAAGTCGAGTAGTGACGTCACCCGTGTGTGTGAAACTCGATTTTCGTCGTGCAGAATCTCGACGCCATTCCCCCCCTTTTCTAAACAATTATTTAAATTTGGTAAAATCTCAAGACGTCGAAGCACTTAAAAGTAAGTCGTCATGGATGTGCCGCTCGTACAGCTGTTTACATGATCATTTTGTGCATCAGTGATGGGATCAATTGATTCATCTCCGTGCCACTTACGCTCACTGTCGTTATAATCCATTGATGATGGCATGGGAGTGTCCTCGTTAAATTCTACCATTTATTCAGGGTCATATTACGCATTAGATGCGTGAGGTGAATCACCATGACCTGTCAATGAGGTGACCACTGTACTTGCAGTCGTCGTCGTGACACTAGCGTCTTGTCCCTTCATCGATTCTTCGCGATGCACAGGCTTATTAACTGAAAACGTGAGCGCCTTTTGAGGCGATTAAACCGTCCTTCTTATGCTTATATATAATGAGAATGCCGTTCGCTTTCGGTTAGTTATAGAGCGCACTCACTATCTTTTCAGACGAGTGATGTAGATGTCATAACAGCCTCGCCTTCAGGCTAAATATTACAACCGATACCGCCAGGTTTGTTACCGATAATACATTTTTATCACTGAATGATGCCGAGTAAATTATGTGCTACATCTTGCACTAGTGCCTCTATCTTATCGATAAGAAAAAAGAAACATCTCCGTGTGATCTACATGTTGTGGGATTTATCGGCTATTTGCAAGCAAGCATTTGTATATTCGACACCGAAGCTGTCCGTCGCGAGAAACACATTATATCTATTATAACGATAGAGGTTGAAATTGATATAATTGATACGTCAGCTGATACGAAAGAGAAATGTTGTTGAGCCTGTAATATACCGTTCTCTGCCATGTGCGTCAATTTTGGCTCTAACCAACACGCGCAAACTGGGTTCTGGCTGAGCACGACGAGACTTAATCGCTATTAGTCGAGAGGCAAGCTGTCAGTAGGTACACAACCAACTACAACTTGGGACGGGTCAGTCCGCTATGTAGGCTGCCCAATTGGATTCTTTTCAAAGGCGAAAAATGAGAGTAGTAGGTACTGTATCGACTATCCCAAGCAAGCTATTTCATCAGGGAAACAGCGAGAGGCGTGTGCAGAACAAAGAGCAAAACAGTGGTATGACGTAGTAAATATGATGATCATGATAGCAACAAGGCCACAAATTGGGAGACATTTGCTGTTTATCGACCCGGACATAAACACGCTTCGTTCAACAAAAGCATTCAGTATTGTTGGCACGAAATGCGTTTAAAAGACGACGTTAAATCAACCGACGGAAAGTGTGTCAACTATCGGGTAGTGGTAAGTTGCAGATCGCAGTTCTTAACACTGTTTCTTAATCAAAGAGGAAGGCCAATGTATACGTGATCATTTTATCAGTATCTTAAGTAGAATCCTTAAATTACCTCAGCATCTGTTATCCACTCACCCCACGAGACCTCGGCAAACTCAAAAGCTTCTACAGTGAAAATGCTTCAACTATCGATACATTATTTTGACGCTCGTGTGTATCTTGCTAGAACGACGTGCTTTCAAACGGTGACACACCCAAGTCCTCCAGTTCCATTACATCTAAAGAAAGACACATATCTCCTCAAAGGAAACTGATAAAAATATGAAGTTTACTATAAATACTTCAGGGAGGAGTTAATCGAATGACCCGCACTGAGAGAAGAAAGTAGAACAGTAAAAGCTGAAATATCTAAGTGTGTCAATTGTCGGGTAGTGGTAAGTTGCAGATCACAGTTGATCAACACTTTTCTTCATAGAAAAGGAAGGCCAATCTATACGTTATTATTTTATCAGTATCCAACGTACAATCCGTAAATTCCCTCAGAATCTTTTATCCACTCACCCCACGAAATCTCGGCAAACTCAAAAGCTTCTACAGTGAAAATGCTTCAACTATCGATACATTATTTTGACGCTCGTGTTTATCTTGCTAGAACAACGTGCTCTCAAACGGTGACACACCCAAATCCTCCAGTTCCATTAAATCTGAAGAAGGACACAGGTCGTCACATAGCTCCTCAAAAAAGGCAACTGATAAAAAATATGAAGTTTATAATGAGTACATCACGGAGGAGTACACTAAATATTTTTTGAGGGAAGGAAGAAGAAATAGACAAGCTGGGCGCTCTATCATGAGCGTCC